TACCTTTGATGACCTAGCCAATAGCCGGGACCTCTGCAGACACCTAGCCGGCCCCCAGGCTCCCCACACCTCCCCCACATCTCCCCACACCTCCCCACATCTCCCTCTCCCCACACCTCCCCACATCTCCCCACCTCTCCCAACATCTCCCCACACCTCCCCACACCTCCCCATTCGTGGTAGTAGCCGTGACAGACACGCCCGCACACACACGCACACACGCAAACACACACACACGCACACACACGCACACACACGCACACACACGCACACACACGCACACACACGCACACACACACACACACACACACACACACGCACACACACGCACACACACGCACACACACGCACACGCACGCACACACACGCACACACACGCACACACGCACACACACGCACACACACACACACACGCACACACATGCACACACACGCACACACACGCACACACACGCACACACACGCACACACACGCACACACACGGACACACACCCATACCTCCTCGTGATCCAACCCGCCACCCCCCTCGCCTCGTCACCCTCCCGCCGCCTCGCCGCTACCTCGCCCGCTCGCGCCCGACTTTCTACCTCCTCGTGATCCAGCCCGCCACCTCCCTCGCCCCGTCACCCTCCCGCCGCCTCGCCGCCACCCCGCCCGCTCGCGCCCGACTTTCTACCTCCTCGCGATCCAGCCCGCCACCCCCCTCGCCCCGTCACCCTCCCGCCGCCACGCCGCTGCCTCGCCCGCTCGCGCCCGACTTTCTACCTCCTCGTGATCGCCGTGCCGTTTGTCTCGCCGTCCGAGACGTCCTGCCTGCCGTCTGCTGCCGCCGCGCCGCCTTACCGCCGACCCTTTCCCCGCCGTCCAATGCTCCGCCGTCCCTTCGCCGCTGTGGTCTGCCGTCGTGCCACCGTTCCTTACCGTGCCGCTCCTTCCTCCGTGCCGCGCCGCCCTTGCCGTTTAGCCTGCCGTACCCCCTGCCGTCCGTAACCGCCGTGCCGCCATACCGCCGCTCCCACAGTGCCGCGCCCGCCGTACCGTATGTCCCGCCGTCCGATGTCCTGCCTGCCGTCTGCTGCCACCGCGCCGCCTTACCGCCGACCCTTACCGTGCCGCGCCGCCTTTACACACACACACCTTACTTTCTGCTCGACCGAGTTTGCGCTGATGAGCGAACCGAGCCGCCGGGTGCCCCGCAGCGGCCTCGCTGGGCCAGAACGTCGGCCCCGAGTGCTCCGCAGCAGCCTCGCTGAGCCAGAACGTCGGCTCGCGAGGTGGGGTGCTAGTCTGGGACCCATCCGTGGCAGTTCCCTTGCTCCAAGCGCTTGCGCTTCGGCGGTAGTGATCTAATCACCCGAATACCACGTTCGGATCGCTCCTCATCGCAAACCCCGTCAGCAGTTCACCTTCGGGTATGTTCGTAAGAGCTACATACACTGTAAAAGAAATGAAGGTTCCCACTGTGCTTTGGGCGCCAAATGCAACAAAATCTCCCAGCGTGACAAGCGATGCTCATCCAGAAGGCACAGCCCGCCTCCGTCAAACTCATCCCGTCCGACAACGGGACCCGCTACAAGTGCGTCTACGACAGGGGCAGCAAGGACCCTACGCGGCGCTACGAGGTCGCGGTCTCCCGCGGTTCCGTCCGGACTGTCATCGGCCGGTTTGCGACGCTGGAGGACGCCGCGATCTGCTACGCCCACTCGCCCGAGGGGCAGAAACATGCGGCCAAGCTCGCCGAGGTGGAGGCGCTGCAGGAGGAGCAGAACATGACGAGCGCCGAGGCCCGAGCGACGGCCGCCAAGGAGGGGCTGGAGCTGCATACGCACGGCTCGCACTTTGTGGGCGTCTACCAAAATAAAAAGACGTACAAGCTGCCATTCGTGGCACGCGTGCAGCGCAGCCGCAAAACCATCAACCTCGGCTACTTCAGGTCGGCTGAGGCGGCCGCTCTCTGCTACGCCCGCTCACCCGAGGGCCGGGCGGCGGCGGAGGCCAAGCGCGCCGAGGCGCAAGCGCCGCCGCCGATGACAGCTCCTGCTGCGCTGGCGGCGGCGGCGGAGGAGGGGCTGGTGCTGCCCGCGTCCGGCTCCTCGGGCACGCGCTTCCAGGGCGTCTACTCCTCTGCGGGAACGCACTGTTCGCTGCCCTTTTTCGCCACCTATCGTCGCGACGGCTTCCCAACCTCCCTCGGCTGCTTCGCCACCGCCGAGGAGGCCGCCCTCTGCCGCGCGCGCGCGCTCGCGGCCCCGGCCGACGCCCCCGCCGCCGCCGCGGACGAGCTTGTCGCGACTTGCCCCATCTGCATCGAGCCGATCGACGCCGGCTCTGAGCCGGTCGCCACCACCTGCCTGCACGTGTTTTGCCGCGGGTGCATCGCCGGCTGGCTCGATCAGGCAGTCGAGGCAACCTGCCCGATGTGCCGCGAACCGCTCGAGGGCGCGTTGGGGCAGCTCACGGCCGTGCCGCTGCCGGCCGCCGCGGACACGAGCTCCGCCCCGCGGCGCAGCGGCTGGACGCTCCGCGAGTGGCGGCTGGCCCTCGAGCAGCGGGCCTCCGTCGAGGCCAAGCTCGCCGCGCGCGCCGAGGCCACCGCCCGCTCCGACGAGCAGCAGGCGGCGTTTGTGTACCACAGCGGCGTCCCCAGGCCCGTGGACCTGGCACGGGCGGGGTTCCGTCCGCTCTTCAGCCAGCGGCGTGGCGGGCACATGGCCCGCGGCGAGGCGCACCCGCGGGCGGCGAGGCCCGTCCGCCCCGACCCGCCCGGCAACAACTATGCCGAGGTCAAAAAAGCGCAGCGCCGCCTCGACGCGCGGCGCCGCCTGGACACTGCTGCTAAGAAGCAGAAGAAGGGGGAGGGGCAGTAGACCGCCCAGCTCTCTCTCTCTCTCTCTCTCGCCCCCTCTCTCTCGGCGCGCCCCAGTCGCGCCCCCGTCTCTCTCTTTTGCGAGACGTGTGTGTGTGCCGAGGCTCTCTCTCGCTCTCGCCCCCTCTCTCTCGGCGCGCCCCAGTCGCGCCCCCGTCTCTCTCTTTTGCGAGACGTGTGTGCTCCAAGGAGAGGCGCGGCGAGTGTTGGCCCCCGGTTACGTCAAGCCCGGTTGTAGCGTGTGGGCCGCGCTATCAAAGACACGTTAAACGAAGCAGTGCACCGAAAGTAGACGGTGGGTGAGTGGGCGCGTTGCGATCTCCTGTGGTGCAGCACGATGTCGATGTGACACAGCCGACGCGCTCGCAGAGCGAGTGGTCCTGACAGCCCCGCCACCGCAGCCATCCCGGTTTCCCTCCGACGAGCCGAGTGCACGAGGCGTGGTCTTCTGGGCTCGTGGCTCGATGCGGGCACGGTTTTCTCTCCGCACGGTTGGGTTCGCCCCCTAGTTGCGGATCCCGCCGAGCCCGCTCTGTACCGCCAAGCCTCCCTCCCCGCCCCACCCACCAATCACCACACGGTTCCCCGTGGTAGGGCCGCAGGCAGTCAAGAGGCCGCCAAGGAGCGAATGGAGAGGGCGAGCGCGTGCTCGCCCCTCCCGGGTCGATGTCCGTTCCAGGGCTTCGCCTTGGCGGCGAGGGCGGGGGAGGAGACGCGCTTCGCGGTGGCGCGCCGGAGCACGCGCAGGAAGATGTCTTCGGGCGGAGAGGGGGCGAGGGGGAAAGCCGGAACTCGTCGACCCTGATGTCGCATGTGCTGACAATGCTTTTAGACTCGAGGAGGTAGACGAAGTACCCTCCGAGAGTCTCGGGGTCGGAGCCGAGTCGAGGAGCCGAGGGCGGCGGCGGGCTTGCTCGGATCGGCGCGCTAGTTGGCCTCGTTGCTCCTGCCCCCGCCCTTGCCCTTGCTCTTGCCCTTGCCCCCCGGCGCGTAGCGAGAGGGAGACTTCCCGAAGTGCTCGCGAGCCTCTTCTCAATGATCTTGGCCTTCTCCTCCGGGCTCTTGTCCTTGAGCAGGGCCAGCTCGCACGCCCTGTATAGGTGCTGCAGGGCCTTGCCCGTCTTCCCGGCCTTTTTGCAGACGAGGCAGACGAGCGTCGAAGACGTCGCGGGGGTGCCAGCCCCCTGCCCGGCGGGCGGCGAGTAGGCGGCGAGGATGGCCTGCAGCGCTGCGGGGTTGGCGAGGAGGGCGGAGAGCAGGTCGGTGGAAGAGGGAGCCGGCGGCGGCTCGGACGGCGGCTGAGCAGCGGGCCGGCATCCGGCAAGGGCCTTCCCCGCGCGGGGGGCGCACGTCTCGCCGCGCTCGTCGTGAGTGTCCATGATCTTCGTGAAGACCACGACGCAGGCCTGCATGAGGATGTTGAGGCGGACGGTGCCGTTCTCAGCGGCTTCCTTGGCTGCGAGTAACGGAGACCTCAATGATCCTCGTGGCCACGGAATCGGAGGTGGCGGCGGCGCGGCGGGCGGCGAGCAGAGGGCCTCGGACTCGCGCCTGATCCGATCCCGGACGGGCTCGGCGAGGGTGTCGACGAACTCGAGGAGCAGCAAGTGCAGCTCGTGGTGCGTTTTGGCCTTGTGGCTGCGGCGCTCGTTGAGCCACATGACGGCGTGAAGGCGCTCTTTGAACTCGGGGAAGACCTGCTCGGTCTCTCCAGCCCGAAGCCGCCGGCGAGGAGGGGCTCTCGGCCGAGCTCAACGTAGATCCGCTCCTGGAGCTCGGGATCGGCATTGGCGACCTTGGAATAGATCGCCACAAGGAGGCTGGTTGCGGTGGGCAGGCCAGGCAGGTCGTCGACGACGAGCATGACTCCGCGGGGCCGTTCGCCGACGATGATCGATCTTGTCGAGGAGGGTATGGTAGACGGCATTGTTGATCGAGGCGATGGCGCGCTCGTCGATGTGCGCGACCGAGACGAAACGGTTGAGCTTGCCGTCAGAGAGCATGGTTTTGGTGATGGTGGTAGCGGGCCCACCAAACTGAGTTTTGTTGGCCTTGCCCTTGTCGGCGACGAGGAGCTCGACGTACTCCGAGACGGTCGCGCGAAGGTCTGGCGCGTCCGACTGCAGAAACAGCTTGACGAGCGCGTCGCTGTCGCTCGCAATGATTTTGCTTGAGAGGGGATCGGTGTAAATTCTTCCCCCAGTTGCGATGAGGATGAAAATGCCGGGGTCCGCGTGCTCTGGTCGCTGGAGCAGCTGACGCGAAGGAGGGGTGCCGGCCAAGGTAAGCGTGCCGGCGCCCGCATCGACGCGGATCCGCTTGATCCACCTTGCGGCCTCATCTGAAGCGGCTTTTGCGAAGGTTGTGACATCCTTGGCGGGGACCTCCCCGAGACTCTCCGCCAGTGAGTCGGACATGTCTGGGATAGCGTGAAGGTATCTCCCCCAAAGTGCTGGTCGTGACCAGTTGACGCTGCCACGTTCGGCCGAGCCCCCGCCTTCTGGTGTGTCGACACCAGAAGGGGGTCGTGGGACGTTCTCAAGAGAAGACGACGTAGTCGTGGACGGCCGCAATCACAGTGGACGGGACACGACAGGGTGAAGTGTGAAAGCACAGAGGCAACTAAAACACACTAGGGTTCGGGAGATGGCTAGGGTTAGGGAGAGAGTGCCTGACGGGCTTCGGGGCGGACGGATCAGTCTTGTATTCTAGTCTTCTAGAGAAAGATGTTCAACGCTTTGCTAGTTTCTTTTCAAGTGCCAGTGCGCGCCAGTCCCGTGCCCAGTGTAAGAAAGAAAGAAAGAACACAAGCAACCAAAGGGAAGGATGGGAGGACGGCACGCCGCCGCCACACAGTAAATAAGTAAATAAATAAAACGGACATCCCAAGCTAGGGCTGGGTCGAGGATAGACACGTCCCCACCTTTGCAGGATTTTGCAAAAGCGAGGGGGGAGGGCGCATCGCCGCGCGGAGAGGGCTGGGCACAGGGCACAGGGGATCTCTCTCGCATAGGATACACACTCGGCGGCACGAGGGCAGGGCTGGGCGTCCTATTTGTGCTCCCCTCTGGACCCCTCGCTCTCTGGCACTATCCATCTGACCACTCATCTGGGGGGCTTGGCGAGCTGCCGCGCTGCGGGGCAGGGCTGGTGAGAATGGGCTCCGGCCACTCGCCCGTGCGGGTGTAACCCCGCATCTGTCGGACAGAGGCCTCGACCGCCCCTCGCGGCAAGCTCTATAGCAGCTCGAGAAGCTCGCCCGCCGCCACCGCCGCGTCGAACTGCGTCCTCATGCCGAGCGCGCCGCATACCCTGCGGACCTCCCTCGTCCGGCGTATCGGTTTCATAGCCGGACGAGTCAGCGGAGGCGGCCCGCTTGGCGGGCGGAGAGTCGGGCGACGGCGAGCGCGACTGGCGCGAGGGCCCGCTGCCGCGCGCGCACAGCGCGTTCTTGTCAACGACACGGAGCTAGAATTATTTAAATTCGTTTCAACGGACACATTATCGGCGTCTTGTGCCTTGTCTCATGTGAGAACCAGCTTGGAGCAAAAATAGAGCAGTCATCTCCAGGGAGAGATGGGCGACGCACACGAACACAGAGGGACAGTGCGCACCCCGCCCCGCTCGCAGGGCGTGCATCACACAGGTGGACTGTGTGACTCCTCGGGTGATTCTTGATTTTGTTTTGCGCTTCGCCGTCGTTCTTCTTCTCCGCGTCGACGAGCGCGTAGTCGCACACCTGTCGTTGGTGGTCAGTGAAGATGGTCTCTGTGCAGCGCTCGGCGGAGCCGACGCGAGAGAAGTGCCGCCATGCGTTCAGGCGCTGTGAAGGGAGAGGGCCCAGCGTCGTGCACTTGCGCGGCCACGAATTCTTTCTCAACGCACACATTTCGGCGCCTCCTGCATATTCGGGACCTCGTTTGCTCACCTCCCTTCCTCCCTCCACACGAACCTTAAGCGGCCTGCGATGATCACTTCTCGACGCGGCTCTGGGGCGCGCTGGGGCACGATGGGCGCCCTTGCGCTCGCCGGCGCGCTCGCCGGCGCGCTCTGCTTCGTGGCCGCACCCCGCCGGGCCGCGCGTAGCCTCCTCCTCCCAGACTACGACTACAGCGCAGCGGTCGGCTCAGGCCCCTTCCCTTGGGAAGAGTGGGAAGAGCCATCCTTCTCGCCCTCCTGGCCAGTGGTCGACATTCGCATTCCCGACTTCGGGTCCTTGTTCCAAAGCAGCCCTCCGCCTCCGCCTCCGCCGCTCGCCCGCGCCCGGCTGATGGACTGGACGATGGCGTTCATCTCGGTCGACACGCACACCGAAGTGCCCCCCTCCGCGCTGGGTGCGCTCCTGTCCCATGCACACGACCGACCCCGGCCCTATTCCTCGCAGGTGCCGGTCAATGTGCAGGTCGGCGACACGGCGCAGAAGCAGGCGCTCGACGCGACCGTCGACCTCACAAAGACCGCCGTCGCAGGCAGCCAGGGCTACGTCGCGGCGGACGGGTTCGTGCCTGCGCGCGCCTCCTCCTCCAGCAGCGGCGGGCGGCTCGGCGACGAGATTGGCGCCGGTGGGCCGCGCGCCTTGAGCGACTTCCCCTTCCTTCCCCCGCCTCGGTGAGCCTGCCTTGGAGGGGTTGAATGTGTGTAGGGGAGCTGCGCAGCGGGGACTTCGCCGCGGACGTGCCTCCGTGCCGGTACGCGGGCGAGACGGGCTGCTTGGTCGCCGCCCCCCTCTGCCACGACGAGTGCGGCGAGTACCTCTCGACGCTCCGCAGTCAGGGCGTGACAGACTACGACGGCGTCGGGGTGTGCGACGACGGCGGGGAGGGGTCGGAGTGGGGCGCCTGCGCCTTGGGCTCCGACTGCTCCGACTGCGGGCCGCGGGAGGCGGAAGGGGCCCCCTCTGCCACCGGCAGCGGCAGCGGCAGCGGGCGAGGCATGGCTCAGAGCGGTGCGGGCGGCGGCGGCGGCGCGAGCGCGAGCAGCAAGGAGGCCCCTACTGGGGCCCCTAGCAAGGCGCACGCTGTTGTGGCGAGCAACCCGACGCTAGGCACGCTCTCGAGCTTGTCGGGCATGCTCGGTGCGACGCGCCACCCGCACTAAACCCGCACTCCCCTCTCCCCTCCCTCGCCTCCCCGCGCGCTCTGCTCCCGCTCCCCCCCTTCTCTCGCGATTGCATCTTCTTCCGGCGACATCAACGCGACGTCCCCTCTCTCATGGACACAGGCGTCAAGGCGCTGTTCACGCCGCCCCCGCCGCCTCCGCCAAACAGCGTCGCCTCCTTCCTCTCGCACGTGACCACGTCGGTCGACAACAAGCTGACAGACACAGGGCTACCGGCGCTCTTCGCCGACCCGCCCCCGCCCCCGCCAGATGTGCTCCACGCACTGCTCTTCGACTGATACGCTTTTGCAACCTCTCCCCGCCTGCTGCTGCCTCGTGTGTCGTTAGCCCAGGCCGGTGGTGGAGATGGACATGCGATTCTCCTGAGCTCTCCCCGAGAGAGAGAAAGCCCTCGAGGAGAAGTGAAGCTCTTTGGGGAAGCGCTTATCACATTTTTGTGGTGACTGTTTTGTCACAGATCTGAGCTTCGTGCTCGTAGCTCGTGCGTGTTGCAGGCGTTTGTGTGTGTTGTTGCTGTGTGCCATCTTCCCTCTCAGTGTATCCTATTGGAATATGCGACTTTGGAAATCAAATCAATTCTCACAAGACTGTACAACTCGCACAAGAGGCTGCAGGCTCTAGAGGGGTAAAGGAGCCCAACGGCCAACGCCCCGGAGCGTCCGGGCGGAAGTGCATCGCCCACCGCTCACCCATGCAACTGTGTTCGGAATTCTCGGCCCGGAACAACTTGCGGTGGCCGGTGGTCGCCTCGCCCCAACGACACGAGTCACGAGAGTCAGAGAAAGTGGAGACCAGTTTCTGGTCGCAAGCGAAGTGTGGTGTGTGGAAAAGTGACACCGCCTTAGCTGCCTCGAGGCACCGCCTACCGCCTATCTGTCTGTCTGTCTATGTTTAGTTGGCCAAGCAAGTACAAGTAAGTAAGTGAGCATATACACGAACGAAGGAACGAGCTTTCTCTCTCTCCGCTCCCGCGCCCGACTCCCGTGTATCGTGTGCGAGCTGTGCTGTCTGTCTGTCTGTCTCTCGCGTCTCACTCCCTCTGCTGCCACTCTTGAAATCGTTGGTTGGGTCGCTTCAGTTCACGAAGTCCCCCCGTGGGCCGACCCTCCGATTTTATGAGAAGAGAACAAAGGGAGGGCACCAAAATTTGTTTATTGCAATCCCAGCGCCGCGCCTGCATGCCTGATCCGACGCTTACTCAAAACGCGAAACTTGCATTTCGGGTAAAACTTTTCGTTCGTCCATTCCCTCAGTCGCTCGGTGCCGTGCCTGCACGACATGGCGCTCCTCAAGCTGCTCGTCGCGTTCACGGCCGTCGCCCGGGCGGCACCCATCGGGCTGGAAGAGTCGCGCCGCCTCCAGGAAGCGCTCGAGGTGCACACAAACAGCGCGCCCCGCCTTCCCCCCTTTTCATGTTGGCGCCTCAACAGTCCCTACGGGATTCCATAGGCGAACGCCAAGGTGGTCACCGCTGGGGCCACGAGCGACGGCCCCGAGGTGGGTCTCACGGCCGGTGCCACCAGCGACGGCTCCGAGGAGGGTTTCCTCTTCGCCGGCGCCACGAGCGACGGCTCTGAGGAGGATGGCAACTCCCTGGAGGAGCTGCGCACCCAGGGCGCCGTCACCGCAAGCGCCACGAGCGATGGCCCCGAGGAGATGCTCACTGCCGGCGCCACGAGCGACGGCTCCGAGGAGGACGGCAACTCCCTTGACGATCTGATGAAGTCTGCCACATCAGGCGCCATCACCGCAAGCGCCACAAGTGATGGTCCGGAGGAGGTGCTCTCTGCTGGGGCCACCAGCGACGGCAGCGAGGAGCAGGAGGGCATGCTCACTGCTGGTGCCACGAGCGATGGCTCCGAGGAGCAAGAGGCCGAGATGGCCGCCAAGAGCGAGCCGGCCAAGCCCAAACTCATGCTCGGAAAGTTGAGCTCGGTGCTTGGCGGCGGCCTCTGATGTGCCTCGCATCCTGGCCCTCCTCGCCCTGCCAGGCGGCGGTGCGATGATCAGCGGTCAGGTGCCGCTCCGCGAGCCCGCCCGCACCATCGAGCTTACTCGCGGGCTGTAATTACATCGTGCCTGAGAGAGAGAGATTTGTTTGTCGTGCCTGTGCTTTGGCGTATGGCGGCGGCCAGTGTAGCGTGTTCGGCCGGGCCCTGAGGCTTTGCTGCGGAGGTGGAATGATGTGGTGAAAGAGATTTAGCAGGAAGGGCAAAAGAAAAAAAGCAAAAGCACAACTCCGAATTCTTTTTCTTGTCGCTTAGCCTTAGGGATAGTCAAGCGCCTGGCGAGTACAGACCACGCGCCTCACTTTTTCACAGGGGGGATCCGTCTTCGCTGCACATGCTGAAGCCGCCAGGCAAAGCTTTGTGCTGTGAATACTGTCTGTGCTTGCTTGTGCGTCTAGGTAGGTAGGTAGAAAGGTGAAGAACAGCCAGGCTCGGACTGGACACCAACGCGGTATGGGTGGACGCTGGACAGATGATGACGACACGCACGAGCGACACACAGACACAAACAAGCTCACAAGACACACAGCCAGCGGGCTGCCACACATCCTGAGTGGGCGTACACATCACTCAGGCCACATCCTCCCTGTCGCCCCCCCCAGCACTCCAAGGTGCCAAGAGAACAAACAAGGGCACAACGACACAACAGACGACAGGAAGTGACATGCGAGGCTAGAGCAGGCTTGCTCTACCTCCAGCAATCTCTCCGGCCGGCGAGGCACGGACGAGACCGTGTGTGGGGTCTAGTGAGGTGTCTATGGACGCCCTCCTCAGAGGCTAGCTGCCTGCGGCTAGCCCTAATCTCGCACTCACAGGCGATGACAATCCAATGTATGAGTGTATTCAAGCAGAGGCGCGTGTGCTAATTCTAGGCCGCACGTCGTGGCACTATGACGGAGGTAGACGTGCGACCGCAGCGCGCCCACCACAGTCTCGGTGGTGCGCGCGTGTTAGCGATAGAGTTGCGGGGAGAGCCATGCCCGACTTTTCGAAGGCGATCCCCACGCCACGGATGCCAGCCGTGCCTTCGCGGGAGTCGTCTCACGAGCCGCGCCCCGTCGGCACTGTCCCCGAGTAGGCCCGCCTTGGCGGCACACACTCTCAACCAGGACAGTCCGGCCTCCGGGAACGTGTCGCGCGCCGGCGACGATCGCGGCATGGTCGTTTTGAAGCGAAGATGGCACGACCACCGCCCTGCTTCGCAGACCGGGCAAGGAGGGGGCTGCTCCCGTTCCGCGAGGAACAGGAGGTCTCCCCCCCTCCCCCGGCCTGAGCAGCGACGTGTGGAAGGCAGCCCCTTGAGTCGAGGGCGGCGCGACCATTGCGCTGACTCAAAGACCAGCAAGCTGGCCCGTTCAGTACAGATGGTCTCGCCGCCCCGCTCCGCGCCGCCCGCCGATGCGCCGCGCCGCCGCCCGATGATTATTAAACCCGACGCGGAACAATACGTAATTAATTAATGGATTAACGAATGAGGTTAGGACGTGGAATACGTCAACTCATATCCCTCCAGGTTACCCAATATGAATAACTAAATCGAGCCGCGCAGTCGCGCCGCCACCTCGCGCCGTCCGCGCCTTTCGCTGCTCCTGTAATACGCGCCGCCGCGCCGCGCCGCCGCCTCGCGCCGCCCGTCGCCGCGCCGCGCCGCCCCAGTCCTCTTAGTCCATCATGAAATAAACTCAAAGTCCACCACAGCCACCAGCCTCCACCTCCACCTTCGAGCCGCGATCCCTGCCGCCCGCGACGCCGCCCGCCGCGTCAGATTGCCCCGACGCGCGCCTCGAGTCGAGTCGGAGAGCCGCGCCGCACCAGCAGCATCATCTGCACCACCAGCAGCAGCAGCACCACCACCACCACCACCAGAGAGAGAAGCGCACCTGCCCGACGCCGCCCGCCGCGTGAGATGCTCGCGACGCGCTCGTCGAGCCCAGTCGCAGAGCCGCGCCGCGCCAGCAGCAGCATCGGCACCAGCAGCAGCACCATCACCACCACCAGCACCAACAGAGAGAGGCAGTGCAGGCGCAGAAGCGCTCGCAGAGCGGCGCGCAGCGCCGCGCACGCCACGCTGCGGACCGTCGGACGAGCGCAGCGCACGTCGGCGGCGAGCCGCGTCGCCAGCCGTCCCGCGAGAGAGCGGCGCCGCCGCGTGCGCGCAGCAGCCGCCGCGGCAGAGGCGAGCCGCGGCGACGTCCGCACAACCGATAACTGCCATTCGCGGTTTAGGCTAGCTCTATGCGTCTTGGGCAGGGGTTGTGTTGTGTGTGAATAGGCGGAGAAGGCGGAGGCGAAGGCTCGCGGCAGAAGGAGCGCGTCGCTGCCATCCTCGCGGGCACGGACGCTGCGGGCGCGGGCGCGGGGGTGGAGGAGGCGCTCAATTGCTGGGAGGAGGGTGCGTACGAAGCGGAGACGCTGGAGACGCTCGCCGAGTTCGTGCGCCGCGATGAGTCTCACCTCGCTCCCTCGTGAGCTGCTCCAAAAGATCCTCGGCCATTTGCTGCGCAATCGGACGAGGTCTGATGAGCATAACGCTGAATCGTGGATCGATCTGCTTCATGCCTGCAGCTCCTGCAAGTCGTTCATCACAGACGCCGGGGACGGCTCGCTTCTCGAGGCTGTGTCTGAGGATATGCTGGCGAGGCTGCTGCCGTCGCCCTACTACCGCTCGGCGCAGCCGATCGCACGCAGTGCGTTCGGCGCCCTTTCCCGGTCCCTCAGTCCCTGCGACCTGTGCTACATGGGACCGACGGGCCGCGGCCAGCCGTGCAAGCGCAAATACGTGTCGTCCGCTCTGCGCGCCGTCGATCTCCACCTCAAGAGTGTGCTCACGGCTGCGAACGGCGCCTACCTGCTCCAGCACCGCTGGCTGCGCCACATGGGGATCGGCGCGCGGGAGTCTCGCCTCTTGAGGCTGCGCGCTGGGCGGCGAGAGGAGGCGATGCGGCTGCGGGTCCTCTCTGACCGGACGGCAGGGCTCGCAGGCCGGTGGTGGGTGAGCGTCGTCTGCCTCTCGTCCGAGATGTCGACGCACGATATGAGCGAGGTGCAACACGCAACACACGCACACGCACACGCACACGCACACACACACACACACACACACACACACACACACACACACACACACACACACACACACACACACACACACACACACACACACACACACACACACACATACACATACACATGCACACACACACACACATACACATGCACACACACACACATGCACACACACACACACACACGCACACACGCACACACGCACACACACACACACACACACACACACACACACACACACACACGTGCTCGCCTCACGCCCTCTCCCTGCCCCACGCTCTCCCTCCGCCTGCCCTCCGCCCCTCCCCTCCGCCTTTTCGCTCCGCCGGGCGGTGGCGATGACTCTGCGGCTTGGCTTAGGCCTTCGCCGCCCTCTGCGAGAGCCACTTCATCCTTGCAGACTACCCGCAGCAGATGGCCATCCCCCTCCACCGCCCCCTCTCCTACGACCTCCCCTACGACCCGCCGCACTCCGACCCTCCCGAGGCGGCCACCCGACTCGGGGCTGCTGCCCGACTCGAGACTGCCGCGCCGCGAGAGGCGCGGCCGCGGGACCGAATCGTGTTTGAGACGGTGCGGGAGGGGAGCGGGGCGGGGAGCGGGGCGGGGAGCGGGGCGGGGAGCGACGAGGGGAGCGGGGAGGAGGGGGAAGGGGTCGGGGAGCGCTTCGCGACCACCTTTGTCTGGCTGCGGGCGGGCGCAGGCGGTGCCAGCGCTGGTGCGGGTGGGTCGGCAGGCCGGTGGGCCGCGTCGCCGAGGGGCGAGGGCGAGGGCGAGGTTGCGCGGGCGGTCTTGCGGTACGAGGGGCGGGGCGGCGTCGGCGGGCCTTGCATCAGCTCGCTCGAGCTGGCGGACGGCGTCGAGGCGGGCGAGGCGGAGGCGGTGGCGGCGGCGCTGCTCGCCGAGGTTGAGGGCTTTGCGGCGCATGTGTTCCCCGCCTTTGGGCTGCTCATCAGACAGACCTTGAGGAAGGTGCGAGGCCGGCGCGTGTCTGTGCGCGAGGTGTCGCGACCCTTGTTTCCCGAGGCAACCGACACCCCGGGGCACGAGGTCGGTGAGGTCTGAGGAGCGTGTGATGTGTGAGCGAAGCGTGTGTCTTCGCGAATCTGCGCGTTTGCGGCTCTGTGTGTGTGTGTCCCTCCGCTCCGCTCTCTTTGTCTCCCGCCGGGGGGCGGGGGCGGGCCGGGGCGCGGGGGCGGCGCGGGGGGAGGCGGCGGCCCCGAGCCCCCAACGCGCAGATTCGCGAAGACCCGAGCTTCGCGGCGGATGGGCCCCAAAGCCGAGACGGGCCCCCCCCGCGGAGGCCAGTCCATGCCGCAATCGAAAGCCGGAGGCGAAAGGTGGAGAAAATCACGAGCCAATCTGCACAAGACTGTGGGGACAACACGATCTCCGCGAAATCCACTCTCGAGTCTCGTGTTCTCGCGTGGAGCAGCACAAGAGCATCTACAGACGAACTCAGAAGCGCAGTCACATCGTCATCGACCCCGCGGGGGGCGGGGGCTCGCGCTCTCTCTCGATGTCGATCACAATCATATAACCGGTGCGCTCAGCCACTCAACGCCCCGCCGCCCGTTCCCAGCCCACAACGCCCGTCACGACTCTCCCGAGGACGGCTCCGGCGGTGGCGGCGGCGGCGGCGCGCTGACTCCGGCGGCGCGGAGCGAGGCGACGTTGGCCGATACGCGGTTGGCCTGCGTGCGGCGCGGCAAGAGTGAGGGAGGCGGAGGGTGGCGGGGGAGGGGCGGCGGGTGCTGCGTCGCTCCTCGGCCGTCCGCTGGTACGATGCGAAGCGGTGCTGCGAGAGTTGCTCGGCCAGCATCTCCTGCCGCGTCTTGCCCTCGAAGACACGCTGCATCACGAGGTTGCGGTACTCGTACTTGGCCTCCTCCAGCACCGTCGCCGCGTCCTCCCCGTCCCGCGCCCGCGCCGCGTCGCGCCGCGCCTGCGCCTCCTCGGGGCTGACTCTGCCGGCGTCGCGCTTGCGCAGAGGCATCCACCGCAGCACGAGGGGGCTCGTGCGCAGCGTGCTCTCGAGCTCCGAGAGGGAGGCGGGCGAGCAGAAGAGGTCGAGCGTGAGGTAGTGCGCTCGGTAGTGGTTCACGCCTCGCTGCCGGATCCGGTACGCGAGATCGCGGATGCCCCACGAGCGCACCTCTGTGATCACCGCGCCGCGGCTCCAGAGCTTGGTCGCACAGTTGCGGAGCAGGCCGACCAGCTTCTCGCGCGAGCCCGCGGTATTGGCAGCCAGCACAACGACGTCATACGCAGGCATGGGCGTGGAGAGTGGTAAGCGCACGAGCAAGCCGTGAGCGCGGCCCAAGTCGCGCAGGGTCCAGAAGAAAATTACGAGACAGCAATTGTCGCGGCCGCAGGACGTTGGTCGCGCCCAAAGGGACGTTGGTCGCGCCCTCCCGAAAGCCCTCGACGATGCGCGCCACGGCGATCGTCGCGGTAGCCGCCGCCGCGCTCCTCGCACTCTTCGGGTGGCGTCGTCGTCCGCGTCTCGCGCGGCAGCAGCGCCCGCTCATCCCGCGTGCGGCCTTGCAGTGGGCTAAGGTTCGCGCTCGGCGCCACCTGCTCGTGCTGGCCAACCTGCGCGAGGTGGCTGGCACGCTGGGTGTCGACATCGGCGGCACGCTCGCAAAGATGGTCCTGCTCCGCCGTATTCGAGAGGGCGAGAAGCACGAGCGCGTCTCCTTCGGAGCGTGCTTCAACACGCAGCCCTCCCTCTCGTTCGATGTGTATGCGGATGACGGAACCTCGCTCACGCTGCACTTTGTCGCTGCGCCGACGCGCTCGCTGGCAGAGGCGGTCGAGACGCTCCGTAACTGCGACGGCCAGCCCGCCGCGCCGGCCGTGGAGTCAGGTCCGAAGTCGGGTCCGAGGCTGCAGCGGCGCGAGTCTGTGTACAGCTCGGTGAGGCACGTGGTCGCTGCGGGCGGTGGGGCGCACAAGTACGCCGCGCTGTTCGAGGAGGTGCTGCGCGTGCGGCTGGTCCCCTTCGCCGAGCTCGCCGCGCTGGTGGAGGGGCTCCACTTTCTGCGCGCCGTCGGCCCTGCGGACGAGCTGTACGCGCTGCCGGGGCCCAGCCCCGGAGGGGATGGCTCTGGCTCCGCCACAACCTCAGGGGGGGAGGGAGGCGCGAGCGAGGCGGCGGAGGAGCGGGTGGCTTGGGAGGAGGTCGACTTCCCGTACATCGTCGTCAACATTGGCTCCGGCGTCTCGGCGCCTATCTCCCTCGCCTCCTCCCTCGCCTCCCTCCCTCGCCTCCCTCCCTCGCCTCCCTCCCTCGCCCCTCTCCCTCGCCCCTTTCCCCACCTCCCATCACTCGGCCTTCTCTGCCCCGCGCGCCGGCAGGTGCTCCTCCTCGAGCGGGAGGACGTGAACAGCGTCTCTTCACACCTCTAGCTGTGAACAGGTGCTCCTCCTCGAGCGGGAAGGGTGTGAGTCTCCCGGCGAGGGGAGGGGCGTCGCAGCTGGCGGCGCAACCTTCCGCCGCGTCGGAGGGACGGCCTGCGGCGGAGCAACTTTCCTCGGCCTCGGGCGCGCCTTGACTGGCGTGGCCGACTACCACAAGCTGCTCGCCTTGGCCGAGGCGGGAGACGCGTCCCTCGTCGACACGACGGTGGGAGACATCTACGGCGAGAAGGGCTGCGCGGCCCTCGGCTTCCCGCCCTCGATGACCGCGGTCAACTTCGGCGCTCTCGCGCATGGCGGCGAAGCCCCGCTGCCGGCGAAACGGCATCTGGCGGCTGCCGTCCTGCAGCTCGTGGTGCAGGCGTCGGTGCTGCAAGCCATGGCCCACGCCACGCCGCGCGGGGCCGCGGACCGAGTCCTTTTCGTCGGCGGCTTCCTCTCGGACAACCAGCTCGCGAGGCGGCTCGTCGCAAACACAGCCCGCAAACTGGGCGGGCGGGCGCTCTTCTCGAGGCACGCGGACTTCCTCGGCGGGCTCGGCTCCCTCGCCGAGACGCTCCACCGGCGGGCCGAGGGGGTCTCGCAAAGCGCTAGGAGCGACCCACACAGATAGAGAAGTACCACCTTTGTTTCTTTTTGTGTGCTGTGTGCCGGTGCCTTACAGACTTCGGCTCAATGCCGTGCAAGCCCCACCCGACTGACCGGGACACAGGCGTGGGGCGCGTCGCCCGCTTCCGCGCTTGCTCTAGGTGAAACGACGTCTAAAGGACGAAAGAGGGGAATCGGCCCGACGGCGGGCGGAGAAGACGGGCACTGGACCAGAAAGGACTGGGAGAGTGTGAAAGGAGGGAGGGACACGCTGTGCCGGAGAACACGCGGTGGTTCGGACGTGGTTCGGACGTCACCCCCTTCGACGCAGTCGAGTAACTCCCGATCGACGAGAGGAAAGAGTAGAGAGCCTGTGGCTGCTCTTCTAAGCCACGAATGAAGTAGCGGACAGCGTTGCAGGGGCCGTCGGCGATACAGGATACTGTGTCGATGCAGGCGACGGTGGAGAAGCTGGCAGCGCTGATGCCACCGATGAAGGTGACGACGAAAGAGCCGACGACGCTGTAGAGGCTACGGGCGAGGTCGTCGACACGAGCTTCGGCAGAGAGGCCGATGGTGCTATCGGCGCCACCGTCGCGTGGAGCGGCGGCAGAGAGGCCGAGGCCGATGGTGCTATCGGCGCCACCGTTGAGTGGAGCGGCGGCAGAGAGGCCGATGGCGTCATCGGCGCCGTAGTGGAGTCGAGCGGCGGCAGCAACGGGGTCGTCAGCGCAACGGCCGCCGAAAGGAGCAACGGCGAGAGCGACGGCACCGCCGACAGCGGAGCCGTCGGCGAAGCAGCCGACAGCGACAGAGCCGTCGGCAAGTCGAGCGACGGCGAGACGGCCGACAGCGGAGCTATCAATGCTAGGGGAGGAGCTAGATCTTCTTCCATTGCGTCCCGTTGGCACGTTCGTAGTGGCCTTTGATCGGGAAGGTAGGTCGTTGTCGTACGAATCGGGCGAGTGCGGCAGACCAATGCAGTTCCGGTACGGTGCACCTCCTTCTACCATCGTTCGGTTGACGAGGCGGGTCAGCTTTGATGGTGGCGCAAGTGCTGAGGCCAGGCAAAGCGCAATGGACGCCAAGTCGCCGACCCGTTGGAAGGCACGTCGAGGTCGAGGATGGGCGGCCGGGCGATGTTCTCCATATCCAAAGTTTAGGAGGAAACCACCGTGTGACGCGGGTGATGAGGTTCGCTAAGTACACGCACCCATACTCGTTTCGGAGGCAAATCCAAGGGCCCACACGGACGTGTCCTGTTCGTCCATGCACCAGCAGCACGCTGTCGATGGCATCGACGTACTTGTGCGAACCACCCAGTGTTGACTGGCACACCGATGTTTGCCTTGACAGGGAGAGACGGCGGCGGCGCACCGATGTAGATTGGTTGTAAAAAGTCGCCTTGGTCGTAGATGAAGCTGGGGCTTGACCCTTCAGGGGCGAACAAGCTGGCGCCACCCGTCTCTGTGTCGTAGTAGCAGAAAGAAGCGGTCACGCGAATCCACTGACTGCGAGCACCCATGCATGGGCAATCAGGCCGAGGAAAAGCCGGCTCGGTAAGGGTGCCGCTCAGCTGCGCACACATGGGCTTCCGCCAGCTGACGCTCCATCAGCAGCTCCATTGTTACCGCCCGACGAAGAGAGAAAGCTATGTAAAAGTAGAATTCTACGACGACAAGCCCCTCTCACAGCCCCGCGGAGCCAGAACGTCGGCTCGCGAGGTGGGGTGCTAGTATGAGCCCGATACGTCGTAGAGTTCTTGCGCTTCGGCGGTTAGTGGTGCACTAACCTCCGAGAAACCTTCGTTCGGGTCGCTCCTCATCGCAAACCCTGTCAGCAGAGTCCTCCTACGGGAATGTGCGTAAGAGCTACATACACTGAGAGAGAGAGAGACGCTTCGGTGAAGGGGGTGAACCGTGCCATCCTCGATCGCCGTGCAAAGCTCGCTTCCGAGCTCTCACGCACGCCGCGCGTAGGCCCCTATAGGGGCCTACGGCCACCCACCCCGTCTGAGCGCGCAGATGATCGCAAATGAGCTTGGATGCGCTAATTGGTGCGATGCCCGATTCGGGCATTGCGGGTGGATTGAGGACCCAACTAGGTGTGCGTGTGCGGGTTGTGCTTTCTGCCGCTTGGCAGTGTCGGCAGCCGGTGGCGCGCTCGCGAAGCAGTGCCCCACCGAGCTTAGCCGCGCCGTGGCGGCTCAGGCGGCCGGCGCCCCCGCAGAGCCGGCGTCGCAGCATGTGACGCCCGAAATGCAGCCGCGGCCCGGTGAGTACAATTCCGATGTGCTCGGCGGCCTTGACCTTGCCGTCGCCGAGATCTCAAAGAGAAATATGACGGCGACCCTCTGTCTGGGCAACATGTGGCAGTGGAGCGGCGGCTTCGCCGCCTACGTCTTTTGGGCAACTGGCCTCCGGCCTCCTCGAATGACGCCTCACGCGACGGACGAAGACTGGCAAGCGCATCAGAACTACGCGAGCCGCTACTACGAGCTCCCTGAGGCGCAGGAGTTGTGGCAGCGCTTCGTCGCGACTTTGCTCCAACGCTTCAACCGGCACACCGCGCGGACCTACCGCGAGGAGCCAGCAATCCTCGCGTGGCAGCTCGCCAACGAGCCCCGCCCGATCACCCACCGCGACGCGTATCGCAAGTGGATCGTAGCATCGGCCGCCTTCCTGAGACAGCGCGACTGCGGCCACCTCATATCGCTAGGGTCGGAGGGGCCGACACCGTGGCCCAGTTATGTTGGCACAAACCTGGCGAAGGACCACGCAGTGGTCGACTACGTAACGGTCCATGTCTGGCCCCAGAACTGGGGGTGGTTCGACCCGCAGAACGGGGCGGGTCTCGACTCGGCGTGGGCTCTCGCCGAGGTGTACGTGCGTGGCGCACTCACAGAAGCTGAGCGTCTCGACAAGTGCGCCCACACCCCAGCCGGCCCCTCAAGCCCTCGCATCACTGAGCGCATCTGATCCCGTCCGTGACCGACAGGCCTCTCGTGGTCGAGGAATTTGGCCTTGCGCGCGACGCCGGCTCCTACGCCGCTGGCTCCACGACCGCATTGCGCGACATCTTTTACCGCCGCATGTGCAGGCTCATTGCTGGCGGCGGCCGGGCTGCCGCCGGGCTCGGATTTTGGGCGTGGGGCGGCGAAGGCCGGCCAAGCCGACCTCGCTCGGTCTGGAAGGCTGGCGACGCTCTCCTGGGAGACCCGCCGCACGAGCTGCAGGGTTGGTATTCGGTCTATGACACCGACGCATCAACCCTCGTCGTGATAGCCCAGTGTTCGCACATGCTGCAGCAGGCCGCGCACAATTAGAGGGGCGGTGGAAGAGAAGCAGGCCGACATCTCATCAAGACGCATAGAATGTTTAGCGCTGTCAGGGCGGTGTTTTGCGGCACCGAGACAACTGGACATACTACACTACCTCGCGCGCCCGACGGCAGCTGTATTTTTTTCACACACACCACCCCGTCCGGTCTTGCGCCGGCTCATCATGGCCGCTCTCTGGACAGAGGGGCGTCCGTGCGCCTCCGCTGTTTATTTCTCTTGAACGTCCCGGCACAAAGTGTATACACACACAGGCTCCTGCGACGTAACAGTCACCCTGACAAGAGCGTGCGGTGGACAGTGCGGTGGAGAAACTCGGCTGCCCGGACGGGGAAGAGGAGCAACCAGAGCGACCCTGGAAGGGGCCAGATCGGCCGGCAGTGGGCGCTATGGAGCACATGGCTCCGAAACAGGATGTCTCCGGCACCCATGTCATCTGCCACCACAATGTCGCACCCCCGAGCCCCGAGTATCGTCTTGGCCCAACGGCGCCACCCCGGCGTGGTAGGGTCGTACACCTCTCTGAGCAAGTGAATGTCATATCCGCCTGCGCCGCGATACCGCTCCACGGCCGACCGAAATATGGATGTGCCGACAGTGAAGCCATATTCGAGCTGATGCGTGCCGGCATAGTATGCCTCGGTGAGGTTCAGAGCCAGCTCGAGCACCGGGTGCCCCGGCGCGGCTGCGAGAAAGGACTGGAACACGCCAGTCTCCGGTGCGACCTCGATCGCGGTGATCAGCCCATGTTGCTGCCGAGCGAATCTCTGCACAACGTCGACGCCCGGAAGGCATCCCATATCACAGTCCATGTAGAAGCCACCTCGGACGTATAGGTACGCGACACGGCAAATATCGCTCTTGTAAGGCCCGAAAGGCTCGGCGGCAAACGCAGCGGCGAGCGACGGCCGGCCAAGGGCCTCGAGCACCGCGACGCACTGCGTGTCGTTGAGCCACACCAGCGGTACTCCGGTCCTGGCTTGCGAGCTGCCGAGCGTCGCTCGGCCATGGGTTGCGTTGTGGACCGTCGCACAGCCCCACACAGACCGCACCAGTGCGGCCGGCTGCTCCTTGTAGAACTCGCCCCATCCATGCTTCGAGATCATTACAAGTTCCGACGGGATCGGACCTCCTGCCCGACGCGGCTGAGTCGTGATAGCCCCGGGCGAAGCAGCGGACCACTGCGGCCGCTGCACTTGTCCGGTAGTGAGCTGCTGATTTTGGGAGGCCTCGCTTAGCACGAGCGCCGAAAAGCATAGCCCCACCAACACTGCTGTCAGCCCGCGGGCGAGCACGCCCCAATGCCATCGGGAGTGAGAATGACGACCCGCGCGCTCCATGCTCGGTGGCGTCTGGCACGCCCTCTCACTGTGCGGAATGAGGCATGAGATTCTGCTGTCGCCGTCTGCAATGCCCTCCGTGTCGGAATTGCGCCGTTGAGCCCAAGGGATGCCTTGTCTCGACACGAGCTCGGAAGACGGAGGCAAGAAGCTGGGCGATGCACGCATACTGACACTTGCTGGCAAACTGGGCAACGAGGGGCGGCGCGCTGCGCGTTTATCCAGCGTCCTTACCGCATTAGGAGACCACGGATGAAAAACGCGGGGGAACGGCGGCGCTATGCCTAGGTACTCTCATGTGTTTTTAGGTGTATTGGCAAATCAAGACACAGAGCTCACACAGAATCACAGCGGGAGGAAAGCGGCGAGTCGCAATTCCTGGGGTCCTTGTGGCGGGCCACCCTGTCCAGAGAGGCATGGATGCCAATCTGGGGTCTCTCGACCGAGTCTGATTTCGCCTCGCCGCCTCCCGGTGGTAAGGCTGGAGAGCCAAACAAAGCGGCGGAGATGGCGGGGGAGGGCGGGGGATCGAGGAAAGCACGACTCGCACCGACCCTTCACGAACCGAAAGGCTGCACCCGGGGAAGGCACAGTAATCCGGCACGTGTTGGGCGCCCCGTTCCGTCTGGGGCTAGGTCGGCTCAGGGCCCCGTCCACTTCCCTCCCACTTGGCGCGTGAGGATGTGGTGGCGGCGTGCCGTCCTCCCATCCCTCCCTTGGGCTTGGCGCTTGGGTTGTCTGTTTTCTTTCTTTCTTTCTTTCTTTCTTTCTTTTAGGTGCTCTCACTGTGAGCATGGGTTTTCTTCGAGGTTTACGTTCTCTGCTCTACGAAAGCTACCTAGGTCATGGTGGAGGTGAGGCGTTCATGCTCGGCTGTGAAAACCACGGATCACGCTCACTCGAGCCTCTGCCTCTCGAGCCTCTCGAGCAACTCGAAGGAGAGAACGTTTGCCCGCCACGCCGGTTCCGAATGGCTAGAAAGGCGGCTCGACCGGCCACCGCCGCGCCCCGTTCTCGGCCCCCCTTTCCCGCTCCGGGTAGAAGACTTCCATTAGCAGGCTGGCGTTGAGATGTCCACTGGGCACACGGCTCGCCCACTCCTGCAATGCTCGGCGTGTCGCGAACCACTGCGCCAGCTTGGGCGTCGGCAGCTCCACGCTCTGCGAGATGGACTCCAGCTGCCACACGTTTGGCGTCGGGCAGAGCTTGAACGCCGCCGCGAGCCGCTTGAGGGTTTCGATGCTCGCGCCGCTCGCCAGGCGGTACGCGCCACGTTCAGGCTCGGGCGGGTCCCACTCAGGAGGCGTCATCCTGCGTCCTTCCGCCCCGCCCGTCGCGCGGCTGTCGTCCTCGCGTAACTTCCGCTTCTGCGCGGTTCTCGACCCCCCGCCCGGCGATGGGCACTCCTCGGACAAGCCGGCCGGGGCCGAGGCAGACGCGAGCGCCATGAGGGAGACAATCGCTGCGTCATCGGCGGGCTGTGTTTGGCTCACCTTGCGGAGCAACGCGTGCGAGGGGGTAGACTGGGTAGATTGGCCCACCTCGCTGGTCTCACCAGGTTGCAAGGCCCTACCATCCTCGCGGATCGACTCGTCCACTGAACGCGACACGTCGCCGACGTCGCGGGATCTTCCAGAAAGCTTAAGGCTCTCTGGCACCGCGGTGCTCGCATGCGATGCTGAGGAGTCAGTGCGTCTAGCGGAGCGTACGCGCTCTTGGCCGGCCGCAGAGCCCCGCTTCATCGAGAGTTCACGACGCGAATGGACGGCCGTAATAATTGGGCATCATGAATCGCCAGTACGTCGGCGACTCCCCCTTCACATCTCGAGGTCACATCTCGAGGTAGCCTGGTGTGGCAAACGGTGAACGAGCTACGAGTGTAGGGTGTAGGGTTGTTGTTGGCAAATCAAGACACAGAGCTCACACAGAATCACAGCGGGAGGAAAGCGGCGAGTCGCAATTCCTGCAATCTGGGGTCTCTCGACCGAGTCTATGAGCCCTGGCCGCCTCCCGGTGGTGGCAAGGTTAAGCAACCAAGCGACGGAGATGGTGCGGGGGTACGGGTGTTCCAGGGGCGGGGTCACGACACGCACCGACCCTTCACGAACCGAAAGGCTGTGCCCGGCCCGTGAAGCAGAGCGCCGCCTCGGTGAGCTTGCCATCGGCGGAGAAGTCACCATTCGATAGCTTCTGCCCGTAGGTCGCCGCTGCCTGCCGGACACAGGTTTGGAAGGCGCACCGCTCCTCACGGTAGGACGCGAGGCGCTCGGCGGTGGCCATGTACCGCTCCCCTGCAGATCAGAGGCGAGCCTGGCGATGACTCCAACATCGTTGGGCATGAGCAAGGAAGACATATTGCCCGGCCGTTCAGGAAGTCCGTCTCGATTTTGGTTTTTTCCCACAGACCACTCGGGCAACTTTTACGAAAGGCAAAGTTTTGCTTGACCACTCGGGCAGATTCGATTGCATTTTACCACTCGGGCAAACTCGATGAAACGGACGGAAAACGCGTTTGCGACGGCTCGCCGGAGAGCTATGTATGGAGCGGCCGGTGCGCCGCCGCAGCTCACCGATGGAGCCTGCGTCGCGGCTCAATCCACTGACGCAGCAGCACTGCGACACACTCTCCAAGCATGGCCTCTGGCGTTGCGATTGCACAGAGAGCGAGCAATAGGCGCCAAAAGCACAGATCTGTGTGCAGTGGATCTCCATGTCGGTCGCGCCCAGCGAGAGGATAACCGCGGGCATCGGATGCTCGCCCGGACGCGAGCCCACCGTGCGAGTTGCGGACCCGGAGGCGGCCGGCCCAGCTCAGCCCCAGAGAGCCATGCCCAGGGTCAGGCATAAAAGGAAGTGTTTTCCGTCTCCGTCCGAGAGCCAAAACCTCTGTCTGGGTTAGTTTGCGCGACATTCCCGGGGGCTATCACTCGCTGAAGCTGAACCCGTTCAACGAGGCTGCTTGGGCCATATTTGCGCACGCGGGGCCTGAGTGAAGCGAGCGACGGCAACTGCAATGTCCAATGATCCATCCGTCCGGCCTCCCTGACTGACCTGACAGGTGTTTGTTTGTCTGACTGACTGACTGATGCATTTTGGACTTTTATTGAATAGCCCCTCTGGGTTTGCGCAACATTCTCGGCCGGAGGCCTATGCCATTCAACGAGGCTGCCTGGGAATCTCAGCGCGAGGCTGTGATGCTCAAAAAAGAGAAAACGGAGCGGCCTTAACGAGGCAATGCAGAACGCGTCCGCGTCGCTTTCGCAGCAGCGTCTCGAGTGGCTGACGCGGCTGAGCACGCCGCGTGGGCGGAGCGCTAAGGCGCTGAGCACTGCTGAGTGGGATGCGGCCGAGGGCCTTGCGCGTGTTCTGCGTGGGAAGGGCAACCTCTCGGCGCTCGGCCTGTTTCGGTCAGGCCAGCAATGGCTGCGCGTCGAGGAGGTTATGTGCCTGGTTGACGAGGGATCGCTGCTGCTACTGCGCGACGGCCAGCCGCTCTCTGTGCACGCGGCGCGTGTGATGCTGCTTGGCCCGCAGCCGGGCACCGCGTTCGAAGGCGCTGCGGCGGCGAAGCGCGAGCTCAGCATCAGCACCTTCGCTGCCCTCCACCGCAGCGGCTACGTGTGCCGGCCACCGGCGCCGCTCGCGGACGACGACGCCTATCGCCGCGCCGGCTCGCCGACACTATTTGCCGTCTATGAGCGCCGTGGCTTTAGCCGGCGCGCCGCCGAGGCGGGCGCGCCACCCACCTTTCTCGTGGCATGCTTTCATGCGAGCGAGCCTATGCCACCCACGGACGCGCTCAGCGCGCTCGCACGCGCGGTGGCGCCTGCCGCGCTCCGGTGCGCGTGCGCTCAGCAAGGAGAGGCGCTCTTCTTCGATGTGGTGTCTGGCTGCGGGTGAAACCTCGTGTCCCACCTGCACCACGACCAGTTCAGAGTGTGTGTCTCCTCCAACAGCCCGAGAGAGACGCGCCTACGGGGTGCGGAGGATTAGTTGACTGGGGGTTGTGCGCCGGGCCCTCCTGCTCGGCTCCAGCGAGTAGACAAGTGTTACCATTTTAAAGGAATCGCACTCTTTTGGGAAAAAACGAGGACAGCGACAGGGGCTGCGAGCAAGGAAGCCCTGAGCCTAAAAGAAAGACAGAAAACATATTGCAAGCCACGTGTCATTTCCCGCCAAGATTTGCGAAAACAGAGAGGAAGGATCTCTGTACTCTGACCTCTCTCAGCACTGACACTCACACAGCCTGTCACACGGTACACAGAGGGCCGATTCGCGAGCGAGATTGTGGAGAATATCGTGTGCGCACACAAAAGTCAAAACGCGGCGCTGGTAGCGTGGACCTCACATCCATGATCTCACAGTGTGCCGGCAGTCGCCGAGCAGTGTCGCTCGCACAGCACAAGTGACGCTGGAGGGACAGACAGCGAGGGCGCGAGAGCCCATCTCCGCCATCTCGCTGTCATAGCTTGTGGCAGCCGCACAGTAGGCTCTGTGCCATCTGTCGGCCCCAGAGCGAGTGTATAAGACTTTGTATAAGCACAGCGAGCAGAGAGAGGAGCTGCACTCCAGGCTTCGGGAAGAGATGCATGCCACCGCCGCACCGGCGCTGTCCGTGTGTCGAATCTCGAGGTTCGCCGAGCGCGGGCGCAGATTGGAGGGGGTTGTTGCACGAGTATATGGGACACGATGTCTCAAATATGAGGGGTTTTGACTCCTACCAGCTCCTGACGCTATCCCTGGCAGCTCTAATGACCAGGATCAGTAGTGCTACAATAGAGGGTGCCCATACTAGCGCAGGAGCTGCCACACTCGCCCGGACCGTCCCTTTCTGGGTCCGGTTCCGCAGCCCGCGAGAGCCGACAGCGGGGCCGTGCCGCGGGTGCCTACTGCCGAGTGCCACAAACACTGCGCCGTCCCGCCATCACCTACAGGCTGTCTTGTGTGATGGTTGGGATGTCCAAACGCCACCATCTTGGCTCTTGCGACCTCAAACCCGCGAGCTGTATGGGTGGTCCTGACGTCGACAGACGCCCGAGGACCACGGTGAAGCTGAGCTGGAACGAGTCGACAAGTCTCGTCTGAGCCCGTGGCGGTCGCCGGCTGAGTCGCTGTGCACGGACCAGTACCTCAGGCGTCACCTCCGCAGCCTCAGGTCTCACACTCCATCACCTCCGCCGGGACGCCGTCGGTGGCACGCTCGGCGGCGAGTTTGTTGCAGCCCCACAGCGAGCGCGGCGTCGAGCCTAATCGGTCTGGTCGGTCGGCCGCACTCACCGGGTGCCAGGGAGTGCGGCCGACACGCGAGCGGTGCTTCCTGGCAGCGCGCGCCGGCTGTGGGGCTGCAACAAACTCGAGACGCTTTTTTGGGACATTTTCGACGCTTTTGTCCCATATACTCGTGCAACAACCCGAGGATCCACCGTCACACCGACGAGTTCGTTGGACTTTTCACTCCGGACAAACCCGGTAACCACTGCACAGCGGGGACGGTAAAGGGTAATAACTAATTTTCGATCGGTAACGTAGGGGCCGTGCGGGCGGTCGAGACTAGAGAGCCGTAGTGTCTGACTTACTTATTGTCTGACTAGCCGAGGCCAACCAACCTGCAACCAACGAGTCACTGCCCGACCGAGCTGTGACGCACGGGCGGGGGTGAGCCGCGCCGCCCGCGGTACCGAAGCGGGGTCACATCGCCCGTGTCCGGTTATCCTATCCTGATCCGCGCGTATATCTCATCTCCCGACAGTCCCCCTCTCACGTCTCGGGTGGTCGTCTTCGAGACTCCGATCGCGAGACTCACACGCGTCCCTGCCCCGCTAGTGTGGGAAGCACGCAGCAACGCTCTCCCAGACGCCCCCTTCCGCCCCGCCCTCTGCCTCAGCTCTCTCCCACCTCCCTCGCCCTTTCAGAGTCGCTCTACAAGAGCGCCGACCCCAAGCCGAACCACGAGTCGAGCCACCGAGTAGTAGCCCCCATGGTCGCGCGGTGAAGAAGCCGAGGGTGAGCCCCCGCCTGCCTGGCAGCGGCCTGGGCGCCTCTCCTCCCCTCGACTCCTCCCCTCAGTGGGCACCTCAGTGGGTCGACTCAGTGGGCAGCGCTCGAGTTTGCGCCGTACGCGCAAGCCGCGCCCTCGTGCGACCCCTCGCCTCCGATCGCGATGCCTATGGGTGTCGCTTCTTCTTGAAGCGTCGCTAACAACCAACTACCTCGCCTCCGGACGCGACGCCTGCAGACTTGACTGCCATCGCCGCCATGAAGCCCATCAGCGTCGCTAGCCCGACCACGTCCCCTCCGAGCTCGCACGCCTGATTAATTGATTAATTGATTAATTAATTAATGAAGCCCGACCACGTCCCCTCCGAGCTCGCACGCCTAATTAATTGATTAATTGATTAATTAATTAATGAAGCCCGACCACGTCCCCTCCGAGCTCGCACGCCTAATTAATTGATTAATTGATTAATTAATTAATGAAGCCCGACCACGTCCCCTCCGAGCTCGCACGCCTAATTAATTGATTAATTGATTAATTAATTAATGAAGCCCGACCACGTCATCTCCGGGCTCGCACGCCTCGGGCAGGAGCGTGTTCGACACCTGGCAGCATTACAGAGGGGGGCGGGGCGGCGGCTGGCTCAGCGGAGGGCGTGGCGTGGAGGCAGTGCGGGTCCGCGGTGCGGGCGCCCCTCGCCACCAATACCAATGCAAAGGCTGCAGCGGGCCCCCCTTCTCGCCACCAAAGGCTGCAGCGGGCGCACCCCTCTCTCGGCTGCGCGTCTCGGGCTCTCGGCTGCGAGTCTAGGCCGCGCGCCATGGCGATTGTCGCGCCGCCGCACAAGCCGACGATGGTGGCGAAGCCATACGCGGCGGCCAGCTCCTCAGCCTCGTTGGTGGGGGGTGCGAAGGCTGCCGAGCCGACGATTGCTCCGGCGCCGGTGCCGCAGAACATGGTGAGCCACATCGCCCAGATCTTCCAGGTCGGCATGCCGCACGCCTTGAGTGTGCCGCTGGCGGACATCGCCTCCGGCAGGTTGGCCTGCGGGCGAGGGGCAGGGCAAGGGGCGGCGTCAACCCTTTCAGTCGCCCTTCCCCCGGGGGTTGGAAGGGGGGCTGGCTGCCAGCGCGACAGCGGCCACAAAGCCGACGAGAGACGGGTACGCCTGGTGAGGGCCGCAGAGCTGGTGAGTCGCTGCGGTGAGCTAAGCCACGTATGGGAGAGGGGAGAGGGAGGGGGGGAAGTGCGTGTGCGCCTCCGGAGTGAGGTTGGCGAGCATTCCAATCACCAGCGACTCCGGGATCCCGTCCGCCAGCATGCCGCACCTGTCGGGAGGGGGGGGGGGGGGGGGGTGGGTGAACACCTTGAGGTCTCCGTCTTGGCGCCGCCCACACCCCCCCGGCACACCAGATGACGAGGGCGGCAGTCTTGCCGTGCGCGGCGTGGTCCACCTGTGGGAAAAGGGTCCGAGAAGGGTCCGAGAAGGGTCCGTGATGTCTTGCCGCCTGCGGCCTCCCTGCTCCACACCTCGGCCCGCAGCTCGTCGGTGAGGCTGGCTGCCGTGCCGCCCTCGGCAATCACGGAGGCGACGGCGACGGCGTCGCGCTGCTTGGGCTTGAAGGAGAGGAAGGTGTTTGCGCGCGAGAGGAAGAAGGAGGTTGGCCGCTTGTGCAGCGAGGCGGACGAGCCGCCCGGCTGGCCTCCGTCGGCGAGGTTGGTCCTCGAGTTTGAGCGCGAGAGGCCGAGCTTGCTCGGAAGGGAGAAGAGGCCGGAGGCCGCGCGCGAGCCGAGGTTGGAGCCGCCGTCCTGCGACCCGCCCGCCGCCGCGCCCCACGCCTCGACCGTCCTCCAGCCGAGTGCAGCGAAGGCCTCGCCCTTGCCTGCCCCTCCCTCGAGCTCGTCCGCCTCTGCCGCCTGCCGGGAAGGGTCCGGGAAAGGGTCCGGGGAGGGTCCGGGAAGGGTCCGGGAAGGGTCCGGGAAGGGGCAGAGGGGTGTGCTCTGTCTCCCGCGTGCGAGACTCTTCCGCCTCGAAGCAAGTCAACTCTCTCTACGCGCTCTACTCGTACACCCACTAGGCTGCCAAGTACTCTGCCCGCCTCGAGCAAGTCGACGGCGCTCGGGCGGCGCAGGCCGGGGCCGGTGCCGCTCTCGGTGCCGCCGGCCGAGGCGGCGGGCGGCTCGTCCCTGCGCCATCGAGGGAGGGGGGAGGAGGGGAGGGAGGTGTGGTGGGTCGGTGCCGGGGGGGGAAGAGAGGGAAGGGTGAGTATGAGTGGGAGGGCGAGGCGATGAGCGGGGAGAAGGGCATGGAGGTGCAGGGACGGGGCGGGGGGGTGCGCCGTGGTGCAGACGAGACGAGGCGCGCCAGGAAGGCGCCTGCCACACCGAACGGGCCGAGCAGATGGCACTGCGGCCCGCGCCCCGCCGCCCCGGCAACCTCCGCCGCCCAAGCCTCCGCCTCGGCGGCCGGGTCGGCCAGGGCAGGCCTCGGGGCGATGCCGAGCGCGTGTGCGATGTCCTCGTGCGGCAAGTGCAGCGCCTGCGGGCACAAGGAGGAGGGTCGGGGAGGGGAGGCTTCTCGAGAGTGGAGAGAGGTGCGCAAGGAGGAGGGTCGGGGAGGCGCAACGCCTTGCCGGTCGTCAGCACGCTCGCCGTCAGCGGGAGAGGCGCACCTGGCGGTGTCGGGGAGTCCTTCCCGTCTGCGCGAGAGAGGGAGGAGGGGGAGAGGGGAGGGGAGGGGGGGAGGGGAGGCGGGAGGGGAGGGGAGGGGGAGAGGGGATGGGAGGGCGAGGCGGGAGGGGAGGGGGAGGGGGAGGGGGAGGGCGCCCAGTCCGAGCAGGACCGCGTCGCCGAAGATGCCATCCTTTGGCACGACGTACTTGACCGTGCGAGCGGCCGGGACAGCGTCCGGAGGGTCAGCCACGTCGGCGATCTGCACGCGCGATGCCGACGAGAGGGCGACGGGCGAGGGGGACCGGGCGGTGACGTGGGAGGGGGCGAAGGTCTTGCCGCCGCCGCCGTCGTCGTCGGTGGGAGCCGCGTCGGTCGTGTCGTCGGCCGGGAGCTCGACCAGGGCGGCGCCTGACGCGACAAAGTAAAGGCCCGCCTGCGCCGCGCCGCGCCGGAGGAGAGGCTGCCCGCTGCGCCACGGCTCCTTCTCCATCTTGTCGGCGAGCTTGCGCAGCACCGGCTCGGAGAGCGGGGCGAAGGCGGGCACCCGCTTGAGGAGGCGGACTGCCTTGCGCCGCTGGACTCGCTTGAGGAGGGACATGGCGCCCTGTGCCGTGTTGAGGCGCCGGAGGAAGCCGCCACCCTCGTTCAGCACCTTGTTGAGGCTGGCGAACATGAGACCGCCAACGATACCCATCCCGATGCCGTAAAAGGTGATCTTGACCCCGTTGTTGTCGGACGGGTCTCCGGGGGCTTTGGCCTGCTCGTGCAGCAGCTCTCCAAAGAGCTCGATCGTGACAGCCTGGATGAGCGCGCCGCCGCCAAAGGACATCAGAACGGCGCGAGTCGTGGGTCCCGGCAGCCTCACAAGCCCGACGGCGCAGCCGAGGAGGACGGAGCACGAGGAAAGGAGGCCCCAGCCAAAGGCTTGCACGGTGACCGACATCGAAAGGCGAGCGATGGAAGGCCAAGGTTCACCGAGACGCCGGCTTCACATAAACGCACAACCCGGCCCCGAAATCCCACACTCCCGCGACGGCACGACTGGCATCCGTGGCGTGGGGCTCGCCTTCGAAAAGTCGGGCATGGCTCTCCCCGCAACTCTATCGCTAACACGCGCGCACCACCGAGACTGTGGTGGGCGCGCTGCGGTCGCACGTCTACCTCCGTCATAGTGCCACGACGTGCGGCCTAGAATTAGCACACGCGCCTCTGCTGGCATACACTCATACATTGGATTGTCATCACCTGTGAGTGCGAGATAGGGCTAGCCGTAGGCAGCTAGCCTCTGAGGAGGGCGTCCATAGACACCTCACTAGACCCCACACACGGTCTCGTCCGTGCCCCGCCGGCCGGAGAGATTGCTGGAGGTAGAGCAAGCCTGCTCTAGCCTCGCATGTCACTTCCTGTTGTCTGTTGTTTGTTGTGCCCTTGTTTGTTCTCTTGGCACCTTGGAGTGCTGGGGGGGGCGACAGGGAGGATGTGGCCTTGAGTTATGTGTACGCCTACTCAGGGTGTGTGGCAGCCAGCTGGCTGTGTGTCTTGTGAGCCTGTTTGTGTCTGTGTGTCGCTCGTGCGTGTCGTCATCATCTGTCTAGCGTCCACCCATACCGCGTTGGTGTCCAGTCCGAGCCTGGCTGTTCTTCACCTTTCTACCTACCTACCTCCCCCACAGTGACAGTCAGACATGCAACACGGGGTCCCAGCCGGCTTCACACAAAAACACAACCCCGGACCCAAGACGCACAAGCAAGCACAGACAGTCGAAAAGGGAAAGACAGCAACGACAGTCAGAAGCCAGCGCTGGGTACCAGGAAGGCGAATGCGATGACGGTCTCTAGTGTGAGCCTCAGCTAGTGAGCCGGCTTCACAGAAAAACACAACCCCGGGCCCAACCCAAGACGCCGGCTTCACAAACACACACAACCCGCCCGGACCCAAGACACACACAAAGACAACCCCGCACCCAACGGCTTCACTCTTCACAGTAGGGAAGAAATCACGTCTCTCACAGTGATTTGGGCTCGGCAGCTTGTCAGACAGTAGGGTGATAAGAGACACATTCACATAAACGCAGAACCCCGGGCCCGAAAGGATCTGTGCTCGAAACGAGAGTGGATCTGAGCAGCGACATGACTTGGAGGCAAATGATCGGAACAAAATGATCGGGATGGGAGTCAGAAATGTGGTCCTTGCGCGAGGAGAGCTCGATAAAACTCGAGGGGCCAAAATATGCCGAGAGGAGGGCGGAGTTACGCAGAGAGGCGAGGCGCCCGAGCCCTCTTGCCTATCACCCGAGCTCGGGGGGGCGGCGAGCCCTCCTGGACCCCACCACCCCTCCCGCCTCGCCCAGCCCTCCTGACCCCTCCCTCCCGGAATCCCGATGGACCGCTCCACCCTCCCAGCGCGCTAGCCCTATGGGACCCTGTGGAGCCCTCCCGACGCCGATCCGACGGGGGGGACCCCTCCAGCCCTGTGGGCTGGCGAGCCCTCCGGTCGGAGGGGTGGAAGCGGGAGGGCTCGAGGACGGACCTCTCTCGCTCCGGGAGGGTGGAGGGGTGGAGGGTGGAGGGGTGGAGGGGTGGTTGAGCCCTCTAGCTCTATCGATATAGCCCTACCCCTCCCGCCGTTTTAGGGCTTGCTGACCCGCTATGCATCAAGCTGCTGTACGGCCCCGGCATCGCCTCCCCTGGCTTAGCTAGAGTGAGAGATATTGTGCACATGGTTAGTCTCTACAATATATACACTGACACTTTACCTCCCACCCAGAGCTCGTCCCGGTCCGCCACGGCCATCCTCGGCCTCCGGAGGGCCCCCGGCCGCGGCGCGGTGCGGCGGCGTCACAAATCCGACCACAGAGCACCGGGACGCGGTCGGGCGATCTGAGACCCAACAAGCGTGCATTGCCCATCCAGGGCTATCACCTGGACCTATCAACTATCAACAGGCGCTGCGGCGCCGTGCTCAGGAGCTGCGCTTCACAGCTTTCGTACGGCAGCTGCGCTCTATATAATGTCGTCTCCGGCCTCGCTCGACCCGGACACCTACGCGACGGTGATCTCGAAGCTCTCTACCTCGGACGTGCTCGCGTGCGCGCAGGTGTGCACCAGGCTGCGCGAGCTGTGCGTGGCGTCGCTTCAGAGCTCGCACGCAGTCGAGGAGCGCGGCACCGGCATCACTGGCGGCGCTCTGCGGTGGCTCGCGCTGCGTCGGCTGCGCGGCGTCACGCGCATCGAACTCGTCGACTGCGGCGAGCTCACCAAGGCGAGCATCACCAGCGCGGTGGCGGGGTGCGACTCGCTGGCTTCCCTGTCCGCGCTCCGCGTCGGGCCTGGCTCGTGGGCGCTCGGGCACATCGAGAGGCTTCTCGCTGTGGCGCCGCCGAGCCTGGCGAGCGTGCGCCTCGACGTTCTGCTCGAGATGAAGAAGGACCTGCACGAGGGGTCGCACTTGCTCGCCGCCCTCGCCCGGCCGTCGCTTCGCGTCGAGAAGCTGACCCTCGTCTCGGACAACGTCTCGCGGGCCGCGGCCCCGAGCGATGCGAGCGGGGCTGAGGCCGCCACGGCCGCCCTGGCGGCGCTCGACGTCGGAAGCGACGGCGACGACGACGCGGCCGAGGAGGGCGCCGAGGGCGCGCCGTGTGCCCTCGGGCGGCTGTGCGCGGCCCTGCTGGCCGGCGGGGGCGTGGAGGAGCTCGACGCGTCGTCAGGGGCGCTCGACCTGCCCGGCGCCGCCTCGCGCCTCCTCGCGCCCCTCCTGACCGCGCGGGGCTGCCTCCTCCGCCGCCTCTCCGCCCGCCACCTCGACCGGCGCAGCGTGCGCACGCTCGCGCGCGCGCTGCGCTCGAACGGCTCGCTCGACTCCCTCAACCTCTCGTCGAACATGGTGTACGGCAGGGCCGCGTCGGACTTCGCGGCCGCCCTCGCCGGCCACGCCTCACTGACAGCCCTCGACCTCGACCACAATCCGCTCCTCGATGGGGGCGGCGCCGCCGTCGCCGCCGTGCTGCCCAGCACGCCGATCCGGTCGCTCTCGCTCTGCTTCACCGGCGTCGGCGACGCCGCTTGCGACGCCCTCGCCCTCGCGCTGGCGGGCGACTGCCGCTTGCGCTCCCTCCGCCTGAGCGGCAACCGGATCACCTCTTCCGGCGCAACCTCCCTCGCCGCCTCCCTCGGCAAGCTCGCCCACCTCGACCTGACTGCGAACGTTCGCCTCGACGGCGCCGCCACCGCCGCCCTCGCCATAGCGCTTCCCGCCTCCGCGCTCCGCTCGCTGCGGCTGTCGGGCTGCAACGTGGACAGGAAGGCGTGCAGTCGGCTCGCGGCGGCGCTCCCCCTCTCGCGCCTCGCCCGCCTCGACCTGAGCTCGAACCACTTCTCCGACGGCGGAAGCGACGAGCTCGCCTGGGTGCTCGGCGGGTGCGGCTCGCTCACGGCGCTCTCGCTCGCGGACTGCAACATTGGGGACGAGGGCGCCGACGAACTTCTCGAGGCGCTCGCCGACGCCGACGCGCCCCCCTCGGTCCGCAGCATCGACCTGCGCTGGAACAAGCTCGGGAGCACGCACCAGGGCGGGCGGGGCGTCAGCGGCGACCCGCGGGCGGACGCGAGCAGCCAGAAGCAAAGGACCGCCGCAGAGCGGCAAACCGAACACCTGGAGCACACGTGGCAGCAGGCCAAGGCGGCGGGCAAGCCGCAGAAGGTCTACGTGCCAAAGTGGCAGCGCGAGGCGCGCAAGGCCGCGGGCGGAGGCGGGGGCACGGGGCCGTCGGCCGTGGGCTGAGAGAGAAAGCGGATACAAAACCAGAACAGAAGCCACTCTCAGAACTTCACAAATTACTTCGTATGTTACAGTTCCGTAGGTGCCGGGGTGGTGTGGGAAGGCTACGTACCACCGAGACTGCAAGTAGCCCGAACCCAGGAGCTGTGTCCCATGCTCGGGGCTCATGGTTGTTGAAGCAGGGTCAGAATCCAGCAGCGCCTACGACAGTGCTGATTCGCACATCTCCGAATATTCCGAGGTGCACGAGTCGGACGTGGAAACAGCAGGAGCGGCAGCGCCGATGGCACAGCAGCTGGAAGAGGCGCTGACAATTTCCAGCTGCGATCCGACCGGGTCTACGAAGCTCGACGCAAACATCAACGAGACATTGTATTTTATGCAAGAATTCCAAACCGGCGGAAGTAAGGCGGAGGAGGCGGCTGAGGCGCCGGCTACTGCAGAGGAAGAGGCTGAGGGTCCGGCCACGCCGGCTGCTGCAGAGGAAGAGGCTGAGGCACCGGCCACGCCGGCTGCTGCAGAGGCAGAGGCACCGGCACGGGCTGCTGCCGCCCCGGCGGAGGGTCTCTCGAACGCCGAATTCCGCCGGTTCCTCCTCGCCCGCCCAAAGGGGCCAGCCCAGCCCGGCGAGCCGCCTGCACACGGCGAGTCGGCGGCGGCGAGTGTTTCCGGCTCGGAGCCGCCGCCCGCGCCGCTCCCGCCGCTCGAGTCGCCTCTCCGCGGGTATGCGCTCGACTCCTCCCACCTGCGCGCGGGCGGTGGCGTGAGTCGCCGGGCGGCGCTCAACCCTCTGGCGGACTGCTGGTCCCGCACGGACGCGCTGCCGAAGCTCTGCCTCCAGTTTGCAACCACCGGCCGGTGCGGCGTGCGGGGAGGGCAGTGCCGGTACTCGCACGCGGTGCAAGGCCAGCCGGAGGCCCTCCTCCACGCGGAGATCCGGCGGTCGGCCAACCGGCGCGGCGAGGCGGACGGGTGCGGCTGCGGCGACTTTGTGCCCCTCTCGCTCGGCAGAGCGGTGCTCAGCGCTCGCCCCCCGCCCGCGAGCGAGGAGGAGGAGGAGGCGGCGGTGGAGGAGGCCCTTTCGCTCGCGAGGCGGGCGCGCGAGGAGACGGGCGCACACAACCTCGAGGCGGCGCAGGCGAGCGCCGCGCTGCTGGCGCTGCTGGCGGAGCGGTACCAGCGGCCGGGCAGCGCCCCGCCCTCGCGGCGGCTGCGCAAGGGGCTGCTGCGGACCGCCGCGCTGCTGCACCGGGGAGGGCTAAAGTGCGACACGTGCGGGCGAGCCTTCGACGCCTGCTGCTTCTGGAGCCTGACTGCGCGGGTCGAGGTTGCGGCCGGCGGCCGGCGGCTGCTCTGCTGCGCGTCTTGCGCGAGGCGCGAGGGATTCTGGGACGTTGGCGATGGCGCGAGCAAGCTGTCGCGCGAGGCGCGCCTCTCTTGCTCCAGACCTGCCTCTCTCCCCACGCCTGCCCCTGCTCACACACACACACACACACACACACACACACACACACACACACACACACACACACACACACACACACACACACACACACACACACACTCCCTCTCTCGCGTGCAAGGCGTGCCACTTCTTCACATCTCTTCACATCTCTTCGTATCCCTTCATATCTCAGCATACCTGTGCAAGGCGTGCCACTTCTTCGCCGCCGGCGCGTGCCGCGAGGGAAGCCGCTGCCGCTTCGTTCATGTCGGCGCGCCGCCAAAGGCGCCGCTCGGCGCGTCCACCTACGAGCCGCGCCCGGGGCCGTCGCGCGTGAGCGTCGCGCGTGTGCCGCGCATGCGTTGGTCGCTCTCGCCGCACGGTGTGGCTGCGGTCCTGCCGGCGCAGCCGTGGGGCCTCGTCGTCTCGAGGGAAGGGTCCGCCCTGATTCGCCTCCCTGAGGGGTTGCTGCTCGCTGTGGACGGGGTCTGGTTCAGGGACGGAGCGCGGCTGGTCGAGTGGCTCTGCCAGGGCGGCGAGGAGGAGGTGCGGGTCGAGTACTACGCGCCGGAGGGAGCCTCTCAGCTTGCAGCAGCCTCCCTCTTCTCCTCGCAAGCTTCGCCGCCGGCCGCCTCCGCCTCCTCCGCCGCCTCCTCCCCGCCGGCAGGAGGCGGCTGGAACGCAGAGGCGGACATCGCCCGCCGCAAGCTTCTCTGCGCCTCCGCGCCTTCCCTCTGCACCTTCTCCGAGCCTCCCCCCGTAGGACCTCGCCCGGCGCAAGCAGGAGGTCTGCGGCGAGCTGCTCCGGAGCGCGACCTGCTGCCCGACTCACTCCCCCCTGCGCCGCTACGTCGAGCAAATGGTGCGGCGGGCCCGCGCCGTGTGCGACGGCGGCTGGGCGCCCCTCGTGCTTCGCCCCCTCGCGGCGCGGGCTGGCGTCAGTGGGCGGGGCCTCTCCGCTGAGGAGATGTGTTGACCCGCAGAGCCGGCTGGGTTCAGGCGCTCACCGCCGAGTGCGAGGCGGAGGCTGCGTCGCTCCAGCCGCCCGAGGGGGACGCAGCGCTGCGCCGGGCCATCGTCGAGCGACTCGAGGCGCACGCGCAGACCGTCGCGCCGGGGAGCAGGCTTCGCGTGTTTGGCTCCTCCAGCTGCGGGCTCAACGCGGCAGGCGCCGACCCGGACATGAAATCTCGGCTCATCTCGGCTCATCTCGGCTCATCTCGGCTCCATCTCGGCTTCATCTCGGCTCCATCTCGGCTCCATCTCGGCTCCATCTCGGCTCATCTCGGCTCATCTCGGCTCATCTCGGCTTCATCTCGGCTCCATCTCGGCTCCATCTCGGCTTCATCTCGGCTCCATCTCGGGTCATCTCGTGGCAGGCGCCGACCTGGACCTGACGCTCGAGACTCCGAGGGCGATGGGGCACACGGACAAGGCTCCGGCCCGAAGGGCGGGGGCGGGGGGGGCGCGGCTTCCTGCGGAGATCTCGCGGCCCTTGCTGCGCAGGTGCAGCTCGTCGACGGCTTGGCAAGGATCCTCGGCTCGCGCTCCGGCTGGGAGGGCGTCGAGGGCGTGGCGCGGGCGCGAGTCCCGATCGTCAAGTGCGTCGACTCCGACTCGCGCATCCCTGCGGACATCTCGATCGACAACCGCCGCGCGCGCGCCAAGACGGCGCTGCCCGCGTCGTACTCGCCGAGAGCCCGTTGCAGGGCATGTCCGCGCCACGTCCTTGCCGTGCCGGCTAGGCGCTCCTCGCGTCGTACGCGCGGTGCGACCCGCGCGTGAGGACACTCCTCTTCGTGGTCAAGCGGTGGGCCGCCCGCAGGGCCATCAACGACCCGCGCGCGAGCTTCCCGAACAGCTACACCTGGTGCCAGCTGCTGATCGCCTACCTGCAGCTCTGCTCCCCGCCCGTCCTCCCCTCCCTCACCTCCCTCGCCGGCGGGGAATGGTCCGACGCCTGGTCGGCAGACCCGCTCCTCGTCCTGCCCGGCCTCGACGAAGGCGGAGACGGAGGCGGCGAGGGCGAGCCGGAGCGAGCGGCGCACGAGCTGAGGCGCGACCACGCCGCCGTCCTCGAGGCGGCGGCGGCGGTGGCGGCGGCGTCGCGCACCTCGCAGGACGTCGGCAGCCTGCTCTCCGGTTTCTTCCACTTCTGGGCGGACTGGCTCGGCGAAGGCGGCTCGGGCAGAGGCGGCGCGCTGGCGCAGTGGTGGGTGGTCTGCACGCGGATCGGCGCGCCGCTGCAGCAGGCGGACAAGGCGTGGCCCGAGGGGGCGGCGGGGAGGGAGTGGCACCTCTTCCCGATCGAGGACCCGGTCGACGAGGACCACGACCTCGGCCGCGTCCTCACGCCGCGCTCGCTCGCCGTGCTCAAGCAGGAGCTGAGCCGGGCGGCGCAGACGCTGGCCGAGGGCGGCACGCTCGAGCAGGTCCTGAGGGAGCACCAGTAGTATCTCGAGCTACGCTCGGCTGTACAGGTATAGACCGTACTCAGTCTTACATTTGTACGCGTTCGGTCGGGGCCAGCTGGCCAGGCGCCTGCGAGGCGGGCCAGCGGCAGTACGTGTTTTTTTTGCGGTGTCGGTGTGTTAGAGTCGTACACGTATCGCCGACGCCCGACGGTATCTAGGTACGTCTACGTACACACCTGTGTACAACTGGTAGTGAAGTCTCGCTCGCTCTTTCACACTCTCAGAGGGCGCCCATGGCAGCGCCGCACTCACACTCACGCGCACTCTCAGAGGACAGAGCTGCAGTGCTCCCCGAGCGCAGCCCCTTGGAGTGTGAAGGCTTCGTAGCCCTCCGGGGTCTACTAGTCGACTACTGAAGATCTGCAGGATTGGACACCTCTGTGTCTAACAAAGACTTAAGTCTATACACTACCGCGAGACCAGCCGCTCCTAGCGATCGCTGGCCCTCTCTAGCGAGATCGCGCGCTCATAGCAACCGAGGAAAGAGACCACATTCCATCGGGTCGCCCGCCTGCAGCCCGCCCGTGTACGGCGGGCTGATCTCCCACCGGCGGGGAGCGAAGCGCGCGTCGTCGCCCATCCAGCGTGTCGTGAGCACGCGGCGGCTCCTACTCTCCGAGGCGTTGCCCACCGCGCCGTGCAGCGTCTTCCCGGAGAAGAGGACGCAATCGCCGGGCTGCAGCTGCCAGCCGAGCAGCTCGTGCTCGTGCGGCGCGTCTGCGATGGCGGGCATCGTGGGAAGCTCGTCGCTGCCGTCGTAGTTGCGCTGCGTCTCGAACTTGCGAGGCGCGTAGTAGCCGTGCCTGTGCGAGCCGCGCACAAAGAGCAGCGTCGCGTCGAGCGGCACTGGGTCGACTGGGAACCAGAGCGAGAGCAGCTGGTCGCCGTCGATCGGGTAGTAGGGCTGGTCGTGGTGCCATGGCGTGGGGGAGGCGGCGAGCGGCTCCTTGACCAGGACGTGCTCGTGATAAAAGATGCTCCTCTCGCTCGCCATCACCGCACGCGCCAACGCCTTTGCGGGCGACTCGCGCACAAAGCTCTCGTACTCCGGGATGCGTCGCCAGTTGCAGTAATCGTTCATGAAGCGAGCGCTCGTGGCTCCCAGCGGCAGCGACTCAAAGTGCGGCCCTGGAGAGGCGAGGTTCCGCGCGATGCCGCTTGCCACGGCGTCGACCCAGCCTCGTAGCGCTCCGCGTATGCAGACCGCGCCGTCGCGCTGATACGCGGCAGCAGCGGCTGCAGTGGCGCCCTCGAAGCAGGGCGGGCTGGAGACGAGGTACTGCGCGACTCTTCGAGCCATGTGGGGATGTCAGGCGGCCGGAAGATTTTTTTGGGGGATCGGGATCACAGGTGCGAATCTTAGAAAACTCGCTGGGCACGGGACTGGCGCGCACTGGCACTAACACAGGTACACCAAAAAGAAGACGACATCCGCCCATCGCTGCTTCAGTAGCGGACCTAGGGATCCTAACCCGCCTCTAACATCTCTATAAGGGATCCCTATAACTGGGGCCCCGGGCGGGTCAAAAGTGGCCGCTCCCGGGCCGCCGAGCGTGCTTTTGCCGGGCCGGTTTTCTCCTCGCCGGGACCGCCTCGCGCAAAACGGGCCCGGCACACCCTCCTGCCCGGGCCCGGCTCCCCGGCTGTGAGTGAGCGGGCCGGCCTATGTGCCGCAGACGGGCCCGGGCAGGACGGTTTGCCGGGCCGGTTTTCTCCTCGCCGGGCCCGCCTCGCTCCTCGACCTGCTGATTTGGGCGCTTCGGCCCGGGAGTGGCAAGCCGGGCCCGGCAAAGCGCGCGGGCCGGGCCCGGGAGGGGCAAGCCGGGCCCGGCACGGGCGCGCGGGCCGGGCCCGGCAGGGGCCCGAGCGGCCGGGCCCGGCCGGGCCCGGCGCCCCACTTTGCAAATCGACCCGTTTCCCATCCAATATCTCCCACTCGGCCGCGGAGGCCCCAACTGAGAGCGCTGAGCGGGGCCCGGGGGAGGGGGTCCCTACTGGTCGTGCCCACCCCTCGCGCCTCGCACACCCCCCGGGCGACAGCGGGGGACCCCGCAGCAGCAAAAACCCGCCCCACTTACATCCGGCGGCTTCCTATCGGGAGAAGCCGGCAAAAAAAGTTTTTCCAAGTGCGCCAAGTGCTCACAAATATCCGACCAGGCAACGTTCCATGTCTTGTTGCGCCGGCCCGGTCGCTCAAAAGTAACGAGAGGCCCGTTTCCCCGACGGCGACGAGGCCTCGACCGCTCGGTCCGCCTCGGCGCTCTGTGCCTCCGCCTCGCACCCCGACCTCCGCCGCCGGGCGGCGCGGGTCTCGACTCTGCAGGCGGCTGCCCCTGCGGAGCCGCGAGGGGCCGGGGCGGGGGCGGGCGGCGGGCGGCGCGGCACGGCGTACGTGCGCGGCGGCGACGCAAAGTAGCGCGACCGCTTCCCGGGGGGCGAGGAGGGAGCGGGCTGCGTCGGAAGACGGGCACGGCGAGCCTGCCGCTTGTCTGGACGGAGGGGGGAGCCGCCCCCTCCTCCCGGGCCGCCGCCCTCCTCTGCGGCCGCCGCCGCGGCCGCCACGCGCCGCCGGAAGTCCGCGAGCTCGCCTGACGAGATTAGCCGAGATTAGCCGAGGTTGGACGAGGCGACGCCGCCGGAAGTCTGCGAGCTCGCCCGCGAATAGAGTCATGAAGGCCCACCCAGCGAGGGGTCCAAAGAGGTCGACGAAGCAGGCGCTGATCTGCTCGTAGAGGGCCGGCCCGAAGCTCTTGTCGCGGGCCGCGGGGGGCAGCAGGAAGCGGCGCGCCATCTGCAGGCAGTGCGTGTCGACGGGCACCTGAGTCGCGGCCGAGGGGCGGGGGGTGGAGAGGCGGGGTTGAGGGGCGGGGGAGAGGCACCTCATGCTCACGGCCGGGCGGGCGGGCGGGCGGGCGGGCGGGCGGGGGCAGCGCGCCACGCTGTCTCGCCCGTACGAGAAGAGCAGCACGCAGTCCGCCACCTGTGCACTGTATTCGAGCACGTCACAGGGCTGCGAGGTGCGGCAGAAGAGCAGCGGGCCGCAGCCTTGCGCCCGACGCCGCACAGCGCGACCAGCTCGGCGCGGAGCTCCTCGTCACAGAGCCGCGCGAGGCTGTCGAGCCACGCCTCGCCGCCGCGCTCCTCGAGCTGGCGAGAGAGCTTGTGCAGCCGCGGCGCGCGGTACCCCCACCCCAGCTCCCAGAGCCGCTCCTCCGAGAGCGAGCACAGCTGGGCGACCGACGGGAAGCTGAAGAGGGCAGCGCCCTCGCTGTCGCACCCGAGACGGTTCTCCTCGAAGTTCGCGCATAGTGAGGCGACCATCTGCATGTTGCGCTTGATGTTGTTGTTGGCCGAACCCATGAAGGACACAAGGCTCTCGAGGCGCGACAGCACGCTCACCACGCGCACGCCAGGCAGCGCGGCGGCCGCGTGAAAGAACTGGACCGGTAGCTGCCCGCCGCCCGCCCACGCGCTGGCGGTGACGCCGCGGTCGAGGCTGAGGTGCTCGCGGAGCTGAGCGCGCGCCCGGTCGCTGTCGGCAGGTCCACACACGCGCCAATGCACGGTCGCGTCGTCCTCGCGCAGCTCGTAGATGCAGTCGCTGAGGACTCCAACGTAGATGTTGCCGGCCGCGCTCGGGTGCCAACGGAAGCTCATGCCGGAGAGGAGAGTTGGCGCGAGGCGGAGGGCGTCTGGCGGCACGCAGAGGTCGGACCAGGGCGAGAAGGCGTCAGCCGCTGCCATCAGAGAGCCCAACGATCGACGAGCGTACGAGTACGGCGGGGAGGTGAGATCGCTTTTCTTATTTTTGTTAAGCGCCAAAAGAAAATCGAGACGGGACATACCCCTGGGCCCTGGGGGCGGGGGGGGGGGGGGGGGAGTCTCACCCCAAGCCCAGACATGTTTGATAACGAAAAGGTAGGACTCCGACCTGTTCCGACCTTGATCAGACCGAAGCTGAGTACTGACCTGTTTGTTCCGACCGTCATCACTTTGAACATGGATCTTTGAACATGGATCATGGTCGGATCATGGTCGGATCATGGTCGTCCGGAAATAGGACCGTCACCACGGGGCTCACCCTGTTCCGACCCTGATCCGACCCTTGATCCGACCATGTTGAAGAGAGAATGTTGTTTTCAAAAATCTGTCTCTCACCATGTTCAAAGTGATGACGGTCGGAACAGGTCAGTACTCAGCTTTGGTCTGATCACAGTCGGATCAAGGTCGGAACAGGTCAGAGTTACCCTCCTTTGAATAGGAAACTTGTAAAATAACATACATAAAAACTGCGGGACTGCGACGCCCCCGCCCGGGGCACCAGTCTTCACCTTCCCCAAGGGACCCCAAGGGTGGGCGACGGCTAGCGCATCACCCCCCTCTCCTTAAAATCCCTGTGTGGTGGCGGCGTGCCGTCCTCCACACGATGTTTTGACCGCGCAAGATATAAAGGGTGGCTAAGGGCTCTGTCTGCCTGCAAGGCGCCCGCGTCGCAGACGCGGTACCAAACGTACCATTGACAAATCTGCAAATAGCAAAAGCCGAAGACGGACGGACGGAAACAGCCCCCCCTCTCATGCTGACCCTGGGCATGGCCTCTCTGGGGGTGAGCTGGGTCGGCCTCCTCCGGGTCTGCAACTCGCACGGCGGGTCCGCGTCCGGGCAAGTATCCGCGGCCCGCGGTTGTGTCCTTTTGCAGGGCGCGACCGACATGGAGATCTGCTGCCCTCAGATCAGTGCTTTTGTCGACTATTGCTCGCTCTCTGTGCACTCGCAACGCCAGAGGCCGTGCTTGGAGAATGCGTCGCAATGCTGCTGCGCCTGTGGATTGAGCCGCGGCGCAAGCTCCATCGGTGAGCTGCGGTGGCGCGCCGGCCGCTTCATGCATAGCTCTCCGGCGAGCGGCCGCGAACGCGCTTTCCGTCCGCCGTTTCATCGAGTTTGCCCGAGTGGTAAAAGCAATCGAAATCGTCGAATTTGCCCGAGTGGTAAAGTGCAACTTTGGCATTTGGTAAAAGTTGCCCGAGTGGTCTGCGGGGAAAAAACCAAATGAAGGTTGGCTCCAAGGGCTAAAGGTCAACATCCCCTCCGGCTACGACAATGAACGTGATCTGGTCCTCACCGGGTTGACCCGTCTCCTCCAGATCGAGACGGACTTCATGAACGGCCCTTGGCCGAGCAATATTTCTTCGTTAATATTATTAATTGATGCCTTTTGCACGGCTGAGCCCCCCTCCCCCCCCCCCTTCCCCCGCGCCCATTCCCTGCCCCCTCCCGCCACACATTCCGTCAGAGCCCTCTCCCCTCTTGCACAACAGGAATTCTGACAATTAACCAGTTGGCGGTTCCACATACGGCCGAGCAGTACCTGTCTGTTGATATGATAACTGATGCCTTCCTGCACGGCTGAGCCCCCCTCCCCCCCCCCCCCTTTCCCCGGCGCCCCCTCCCGTCACGCGCTCCGTCCGAGCCCTCCCCCCCCGCTCTTGCACAGGAGGAAAGTGGAAAATTAGTCAGATGGAAGCAGGAAGCTTCCATCCCGGCCGTGGTTCGAATCCACACGAGCCGAGGGGTGAAGGGGGAGGACGCGTGGTGGCGCTGGCCTGAGGTCTGAAGCTCACCCATTGAGGAAGTGAGAACTGCTCGGCCCACCCCGGATCCTGCTGAACAAGCTCCTCTTGTAGCATGCTCGATCGGTCACACCGCCATCGCCGTCGGGGAGAGGGGGGACGACACTGCTTCTGCAGCGTGCACCTCGATCCTGTACCGTGTTTGTTATGAGCTTATGACCCCCCCCAATGAACACACCAGTGAGGGTGGGCGAGACGATCGAGGGGTCCCGTACCATGCGGAATCGACCCTATCAAGTGCTCAAGTGCTCAAATCCACGAATACCGTGGCTGCACAAACTGCGTGATCTCTGCCGTGCAAGCCTTCAGCTGGTGCCAAGACATCCGTAAAATTGAAACCAAGAACGTCCGCCAAATCCGTGCTTTCGGAGCAACTGAGGGAAAGCCGCTGATCGAGCCGGGCGTGCCCGCGGCCGCCTCCCGCGCAGCACCGCCGCTGGGGACCGACACGCTGCGGAATCGGATCGAGCCCATGCACCGGGCAAAGGAAGGACGCTGCAGAAGCGGTTGGAGAGGCAGCCGGCGTCTGCCGTCACAACGAGTCCCAGCGCTGGTTGGACATGCGCGTCGGCTCGCCCGAGGACTGCTGTCGCGACCCTCCCGTCGTGCCGCAGCCTCCGACGAGCTCTGCAATCGAGGAGAGTGAGGGTGCGCCTCCCCTCACTGCTGGTCTGGCTGCGCACCGCCCCACAAAGCACCCCCTCGAGCATCTCTACAAGTACAAGTACAAGGGCGACCTTCTCCAAGTCGTCAACGCGCCCGGCAAGACTTTAGCCTTGGCCACCCTCCTTGCGGAGCAGGAGGAGATCCGCTCTCGGTCGGCAACTTGGCAGCTAGTCGAGGGACTCGGTAGTTGTGACCCCCCTGCCCTGAGTGAGGACAGGAGAGAGAGAGCTTGTGTGGTGTTGGTGTACGCAATAACGGGACAGGGTAGTCGTTCTCTCTAGCTCCCCTTCTGGCTCTTAGCATGAACTGCGCCCTGTGTCCGACCCCTTTTGCGCAGCAACACCTTAAACTTTTAGCCTGGACCCGGCATACCCGGCAGAAAAGAGTTTGCCTCCCACAATGCTTGCTCACGTCCCCACGATCCTCATCGCCGTCGCGCTCGCCACTCTGCTCACTGTCCATATCCTTGGCCGAGCTCGGCCAGCCGCCGCCGCCCGCCGGGATACCGCCACCTATGCGCCTGCCCGCAGTCTCGAAATCGAAATCGCCACACCGCGGAGCCCGACCTGCGGCGACGGAGTGTGCGAGGCGGCCGAGACGTCGTGCCCTGGCGACTGCCCCGGCATCACGACGCCGACCGAGTGCGGCGAAGAGCCCCACAGCGACCCGGCCGGTGAGGCGGTGGCGTGGGGCTCGGCGCCGGAGCATCGGGTCCGGTCGGCGGCCGAGTGCTGCCAGCGCTGCATGGCGCACGCCGCAAAGAATACGCGGAGGCCGTGCAACTCGTGGAGCTTTTGCTACCTGCCGCACTGCTGGAGCCTCGACAACGGCAATACACACACGCACGGCGAGTGCTGGCTCAAGTGGCAGGCGGACGTGCGGCACCCGCTCTTTGGCCAGCGCGGCCGGTATTCGGAGAGCTTCCGACGCAAGAACTGGGATAAGCACCTGAGTGGCAGGATGCCGGACGGCTCGAAGCGCAACCTGACGCCGCCGACACACGTGCCGTGGACGGGTGGCGTGATCGGGCGCTCCGTCGACTACCCGCGCGTGACGTGGACAACGGACCTTCCGGGCGCGGACGGAGCAGAGATGTCCTCGAGCGCCGGCGAGCGCATCGTGCCGTGGAGGGCGTGGGAATCGCGGGAGCAGAACCTGGCCCGAGGGGTGCCGCCGGAGTACATGCCGCTAGCGAAGGGCAACTTCGGCTCGTGACGCAACCAAGAGAGGAGAAGAGCGTGTGCGGGTGTGGCTCTGGCTGCGACGGCTATGAAGTGTGATTGTATGGGGAACATTCTCGCTTTTCTTCTTAGTTTAAAACGGCAGTCCCGACGAGACACGCGAGCAGAGAACTTTTTCAAACCTTAAACGACGATTTGTTTCATTTGATACGGCTAAAACTCCTTTAAGCTTTTATACATATTCTGAACAGCGGCACATTCCTCTCCACTACGTGACGATATACGTGACGATAACCATTACGGCATTAGATCTCCTCGAGCTCACCCTCGTCGACAAAATCCTTGTAGCGGCGATGCCTGCAGCAGCAGCGCCAGAGCCACCACAAGCCATGCCACAAGCAGAGCGACCAGCAGACGAGGCCGAAGCCGAGAGATATGCCGAGCAGCCGGTTTCCCGCCTAAAGCGACCCACCACCTCCACCCCTCACGCCTGGGCCGAGAGAGCGACCGGCCTCTGACACGGCGCGGCGAACCCGCTCGTACTCCGGAGTGGAGGAATTGGCGGGGGAGAAGAAGCGGCCCACCACGTCTGCGCACAAGCGGAACAGCTCAGGGTGCGACTGCCTACAGGGCCGAGGGGGCGGGGGAGCGGAGTGGCACGCCTGCGTCGCCGACTCCCAGCCGGTGCAGCATGTCCCCCAGCCACTTCCCCAGCCAGGCGTCCGCCTGCCTTCCAGCCTGCCCGAAGCCGGCGAAGAGCGACGGCGCCTAGTCGCATCCCCCTTGACGCCATGACACCCTCCCCTCCCGCCGGCGAGGCACTCTCACGCGAAGGGGGAGGGGAGGGGTCTCTCTCTGGGGATCCACCTCTCCCGGGCGCACCTGCGGCGGTGGCGCGATCGGTGGCAGTGGCGGCGGCGGCGGCGGCGGCGGCGGTGACGGTGGCGGCGGCGTAGGTGGCGGCGGCGGCGTAGGTGGCGGCGGCGGCGGCGGCGTGAGCGGCGGCAGCGGCATAGACGGCGGTGGCGGCGGCGGCGGCGTAGGTGGCGGCGGTGACGGTGGCGGCGGCGTAGGTGGCGGCGGCGGCGTAGGTGGCGGCGGTGGCGGCGGCGGCGGCGTAGGTGGCGGCGGTGGCGGCGGCGTGAGCGGTGGCGGCGTCGCGGGAGGCGGCGAGGCGCACGCGCATGTGAGTCCCTCGGCGTAGCCAAGCCTCTCAAAGTGGCGGCGCGCCTAGAAGGCCTAGAAGGTTCGTAGAAGGTTCCTAGAAGAGACAGCCTCTCAAAGTGGCGGCGCGCCAGCTGTGGTCCCTGCTGTGGGTCGTGGGCTGCATGAGTAGCCAGGCCGGCATAGTTTGCGAGGTAGCACTCAAAGCTGTAGCCGGAGCCAGACTCGCACAGCGCCAGTGCATCCTGCAGCGTCGGAGACTGCGGCGGCGGCGGCGTAAGCGGCGGCGCAAGCGGCGGTGACGGCGGCGGTGGCGGCGGTGGTGACGGCGGTGGCGGCGGTGGCGGCGGCGGCGGCCCAAGCGGCGGAGGCAGCGGCGATGGCGATGACGGTGGCGACGGTGGCGGCGGCGGCGGCGGTGACGGTGGTGGTAGGGACGGCGGCGGTGGCGGCGGTGGTGACGGTGGTGGTGGGGACGGCGGCGGTGGCGGCGGTGGTGACGGCGGTGGCGGCGGCGGCGGCCCAAGCGGCGGAGGCAGCGGCGATGGCGATGACGGTGACGACGGTGGCGGCGGCGGCGGCGGTGCCGGTGGTGGTAGGGACGGCGGCGGTGGCGGAAGAGGCAGCGGCGGTGACGACGGCGGCGGCGGAGGCGGTAGCGGCGGCGAGGCTTGGACGACGCATCCGACTTCACCTGTGTCGGGGCGGGGCGGGGTGCTGCGCCGCGGCGAGAGAGTGTCGCAAGTTGTGCCTGTGGAAGTGTTCCGCACCAGGCAGGCGGCACGGCGCCGCTCGAAAGATGATGCGCGAGGCGCAGCAGATGTCCTGCACAGTACAACATCATGTCATGATAATGAATGCAAAAGAGGAATGCGCAGCAGATGCTGTAGATGCCTGGCCGCCCAGGCCGTTGCAGGCACTTGGCGAGTCGCCGCAGGTGCCGCAGCTGGCGTGGCAGCACGTACCTGGGCAGGTTGGCGGGGTGTGGAGATGTGTCACGGATGTGCATTAGGTCCCATTGTGCCCACCTTCCGTGCCCACAATGCCACACGCACACGATGGGGCGTTCAAACGAAGCGCGGCCTCGCACTGGACGCTCCTCTCCGCGACGGGCCCGGGCAAAGCCATTAGGGCCGTGCGAGTGTAGACGGTGTACCAGTCGATAGGGCTTGGGGGCGGCGGCGGCGGCGGTGACGATGGCGGCGGCGGCGATGGCGACGGCGGCGATGGCGGCGGCGGCGATGGCGGTGGCGGCGATGGCGGCGGCGCAGGGGGCACCGAGGGGGGTGCAGGAGGCTTCGGGGGCGGGCTGTGCGGCGGTGGCTTGGGCGGCCAAGGATGGATTGGAGGAGGTGGCTCTGGCGGTGTGGGCGGTCCCGGCGGACGGCTTGGCGGACTCGGCGGAGGCAGCCACCACCACGGTGGCGGGCGCGGTGGAGGTGGTGGTGGTGTGGCAGTCTGCCAGAACCATAGGGCGAGCGGGGAAGTGGTTACGAGAGACAGCATAGACGTGTACGTATTAGATCACAGAAATAGGCTCGAGACCGCCCTCATGAGACGCCGTTCTCAAGCCTCCGTTTGCTGCACCGTTTTTGCACCGTTTCTGGGCACGTTCTGCTCTGGCCGCCATCTGAGCTCGGGTCAGGAGGAAGCAGGAGGTCACCCATGGCCGAAGCCATTCTTGCAGAGATTGTGAAAACTCTCTAGCCCGTAACCCGATGCCAATCATCCGGCCCGCTGGGTGCGCTTCTTAGCTCCCCGGCCTTGGATGTGCGGTTACTGACTGCACTCCAAGTGCTCCAAGTGCAAAACCAAAAGAACGTGCAACCCTGTCTGCACGTCTCGCCATCCCTCCCTTGGGTTGTCTGTTTTCTTTCTTTCTTTTTGCACGTCTCGCGCGCGCGTGAACAGGGCTCCAGGCCCCAAATGACGTGTGAGTGTTAGAGTTGTTTGTTATTGCTAAAAATCTCTCTCAAAGCGTGTGAGTGTTTAGAGTTGTTGTTTGTTTGGAGAGAGAGAGATTTTTGCAATACCTGTTGTTGTTGTTTGGTATTGCTAAAAATATCTCTCTCAGATTGTGTCCCGTTCGATGCCATGTCCCATGAAGAGCAGCTGTTCAGCTCGCGTTTCAGAGAGAGAGATTTTTGTTTTTGTCGTTTCAGCGGCTCAAGCGGCAAACTCGTGGAGCTGGGCTCTGCCACTGGGACCTTGGGAGGCGGATGCCAACAACAAATCTCTGCTCTCTCTCGGATGCCGGCCATGCGGAGAATTCCATGCAGGACGCGCCGTTTTGGTTTTAGCGCAACTTTCCTTTCTTCCTTTCGCGCGACACGACCAACTTTCGAACGTCTGGTACAGGCCAAACGCCGGCGTCCCGGAGCCGGTCTCGCCGTGTTGGCTCGGGGAAGTCAAGAAGAAGAATTCCAAAAAGGGAGGTCACAAACGGGTACTTGCGCGGCGTTGGGAGGCACCCTCGGCTCGCTGGCTCGCTGCTGCACACCGAGGAGGTGGAAGAGAGTCTCTCCCGAGGTGAGCGCCACACGCACCCGCTACCTTCACAGCATCAGAGCCCGGAGCCGTGTCCGATACCACACTGCTGCTGGTATTGCCTCTCTCTCTCTCTCTTTCTACTCTCGTAGCGCCACACGCACCCGCTCGCCACCTTCCCTTATCACCCCAAGCACAGACGCAAGGGACTTTTGTTTCTTTTTGCGCGCCAGTCCCGTGCCCAGTGAAGAAAGAAAAAACATAAGCCAAGGGAGGGATGGGAGGACGGCACGCCGCCACCGTGCCCAGTAAAAGAAAGAATTTTAAGAAAACAGACAACCCAGAGGAGGGATGGGAGGACGGCACGCCGCCACCACATATTGTTGGGATTTTAAGGAGAGGAGTGTGGTGCGCTAGCCGTCGCCCACCCCTTGGGCGTCTGCCACCGTGCCCAGTGTGTGCGAGGGAGCTTAGTCTACAGTCAGCGCTTTGATCCCAATCACGACACATGTGTGACTCGCCTAGTGTGGAGACGCCGTGTACCGTGGGGCCTTGTTGTCCTAGCACGGGAGTACCCGTGTGGACCGGAGGTAACAGCAGCAGCAGCAGCCTGTGTTAGTGCCAGTGCGGAGAGAGAGAAGGTTTTGTTTGTCCAGTGCGCACCAGAGAGAGAGAGAGATTCTTCTCTCGCACCAGTCCCGTGCAGAAAGAAAGAAAGGGGGGAAGAGAAGGACGGCACGCCGCCACCACACAGGGATTTTAAGGCGAGGGGCGTGATCGCATTGCCGTGCCTGACGGACCGCAAAATTCTTTTTGCAGCGCGGGAGCTGGCATCTCGCCTGTCCCCCCCCCGTCCGTGTGTTGTTCGGCTGTGGGTGGGTTCCTCGGCAGCGCGGTGTAGGGCGACGAGGCCCATGAGCGCGCTCTTCGGGTCCGTGGCCGCCAAGCTGGCGCGCTGCATGCCGAGGATGATGCTCGACGTCGCTTTGAAGATCATCATCCGACGGAGAGTCTCGCCTCGGCCACCGTCTCGCATATTGTCGCTCAAGCAAGTCGTGGTATTCGGCGATGGCGCGCCCTCCGGCATGTATCGAATCCCGAGCTTGCTACGCCTACCCGATGGAACGCTTTTCGCGCTCTGCGAGGAACGGCTCGAGCGGGCCGACTCGGGCTCGGTGCGCGTCGTCGCCCGCTCTTCGTCAGACGGTGGGTCGACGTGGTCGGCGTTGCGAATCGTCGCGAGCGGCGCAGAGATCGGCTTAGAGATGGCGGGTGCCACGGTCGGAAATCCGTGCTGCGTGTACGACGCGGTGCGCGACCGCATCGTCCTGCTCGTCACTGTCAACGACGGCTCGGCGCACGAGTCGGCCATCTGCGCGAGTCGGAGGGAGGAGATCACCCGAGATCACGCGAGATCACGCGAGATTAGGCGCACGAGTCGGCCATCTGGCGAGGGCACGCTCGGCGGCGGCGTGTGTTTGTCCTCTTCAGCTCGGACGGCGGGCTCGAGTGGTCTTCCCCCTCGGAGATCACGTCTGCCGTCAGCGAGGACGACTGGACGTGGTGCGGTACAGTGCACCCCACTCCGCCCTCCCGCTGTGTGGTGTGGGACTTCTCCCGGCCTGGTGCGTCGGCACCGCCCCTCGAGGCTGTGCTTCCCCTCCCTCCCTCCCCAGGTACGCGACGGGCCCCGGCCGAGCCGTGCAGACGGAGGGAGGACGCCTCGTCTTCCCGTGCAACCACGCGCGTGCCTCCACAACCCTGGAGGCGGACTCCTTGGGAGCAGAAGATGCAAGATCAGGCATTGGACGCTGAGCCATAGGTGCGCACCTTCGGAGGCCTCCTCGGCAGCCGCTTCGAGCTGCGCAGCCACACGGTCCTGAGCGACGACGGCGAGCACTTCCGCAAGGGCGGCGCCTCGCCCGCCGCCGAGACTAACGAGTCCACCGTCGCCTCCGTCGGCGAGAGAGCGCCGAGAGAGAGCCGAGAGACAGCCGAGAGAGAGCCGAGGCAAACTGTGAGTCCACCGTGCGCACGAAGAGGAGGAAGGAGGAGGAGGAGGAGCCTTCTCAGACCTTTGCCGGAGCCTTGCCGGAGCCTTCCCTGCAGGCGGGCGGCTGATCCTCAACATGAGGCAGGTGTCGGGGCACGGCCTGCGCCGCCTCGCCGCCTCCGCCGACGGGGGAGAGAGCTGGCAGGACGAGGGCCACGCGGAGAGCTCATCCCCCCCTTCCCGCCGTGCGACAGCTCCGGCTCCATTCCCTTTCACGCGTGTCTCTCATTCTCGCTCTCAGGAGCAGCTCTCCGACCCGCTGCCGGCGGGCTGCCACGCCTGCCTCCTCGCCGTCCCGGGCGGAGTCCTGTACAGCGGCCCCGCGGGCAAGGCGTCCGCCCTCGGCCTGGGCGGGTCGGTGGCTCGCTTCTGGAGGGAGGAGCTCTACAGCCTCCTGCGGAAGAAGCTCAGCGGCCGGGGGCACGCCAAGGGGCGCGCGTCTCCCCTCCCCCTCCCCCTCCCCCTTCCCCGCAGAGCCCCCCCCCCACTCTTGCGCCGCCCCTCGGCACGAAGCTGCTCTCCTGTTCTCCTCTCCCCCCCCACCCCTCCCCCCACCCCTCCCCCCACCCCTCCCCCCACCCCTCCCCCACCCCTCCCCCACCCCTCCCTGTGGGCGCAGGAGCTCCGCCTTCTGGGAGGGGAGGCACACGCTGCAGCTCCGCTTCTCGCCCGACGGGCTCGACTGGGCCGCCCCGCCCCTCACCATCCACGCGGGCCCCGCCGCGTACAGCTGCGCGGAGGCGCTCGGCGGCGCGGCGAGCGGCGTCGGCGTCCTCTTCAAGGCGAGCGAGGAGCGCTGACGCACGTCTCCTTTAAATACCTTGATTATTCCTAGGCGTCCTCTTCGAGGCGGGCGAGTCGCGGCCCGACGAGACGATCCGCTTCTGCCGCGTCCCGCCCAGCTGGCCGTGCGCCGAGAACTGATTGATGAGAGAGCCGGCGGCGGCGAGCGAGCGCACGGGCGGCGCGGGCGATCTCGGGCGGCCGCCGTCCAGTTCGAGTGTGCGCGTGGGCCCGCAGATGAGATGAAGCGAACGGGAGTGGACCCTGCACTGGTCTCTTGGACTCTTCCACAGTCTCCTCGTGCGTAAAAAGAAACGAAGATGGCCAGCCGCGCTGTATGTCCATTCCTTTCTTTGTCGTGGAATCATTGAGTGAGTTTATCCTTGCCGTTTTTTTTGTTTGTGTTTTTTTGTGAGAACGTCGAGTATCGAGTTCGAGATAGAGAGAGAAAGTGATTTGACTTTGTCGCACCACTCCCAGGTTAGGTTAGGTTGGGTAGGAAGGTGAAGAACAGCCAGGCTCGGACTGGACACCAGCGCGGTAAAATAAAAGAAAGAAAGAAAGAAAACAGACAACCCAAGGGAGGGATGGGAGGACGGCACGCCGCCACCACACAGGGATTTTAAGGAGAGGTGTGTGGTGCGCTATCCGTCGCCCACCCTAGGGAGTCTGCCTCTTCCTATCTCTCTTCGCAGTCTCTCGCCGATTCTCGCTGCAACCTTCATGCCACCTCGCGGTCGTCCCACCCTCGTCGTTCTCTCCCTTGTCACTTCCTCCTCTGACGCGTTGTTCTCTTCTGCCTCGTCCTGCGACGCCGCCACCTGCCGGTCCCTTGTTCTCGCGGCTTCTTTCGCCTGTCGGCGCAACTCCGTCCTCCTCGCGGCGTATCCTGGCCCCTCGAGTCTATCGAGCTCCCCTCGCGCAAGGACAACATTTCTGACTCCCACTCCGATCATTTGCCTACAGGTCATGTTGTTGCTCAGGTCCACTCTCTCTTCGAACACTCGTGCCTCTACGGATGATGCCGGCGCTGGGTTCCCCTTCGGATGGATCGTGACATCTGACAACTGGATTTCCACTGGTTCGTCCTCCTCGGAGTCATCTTCCCCGTCCTCCTTCCGCTCGGCTCTTCGCTCGGTACGTTCGGTGTGGCTCACCCTCCATGCCGTGAACAGGCGCTTTATCCACCCTATATTCTTCTCTCGTTCCTCTGCCCGTGCCTTGGTCTTGTCGTTGTTTCGCACCCATGTCTGTATGGCAATCGAGGCTGCCTTCCCCACTACCTGTAGTTCACTCGTCACCTCTCCCGCGAGCTCCCTTCTCTTTCTTTCGGGTATGGAGTCCGTGAGTGCGGGTAGCGTGCAGGCAATCACGGGCGCTATTTTGTCGTACTCTTCTTCGGCGAGCGCCCCAAATCTAGACCCTTTCGCCTTTAAGGAGGCTGCCCTCGCTCGTCTCAGGAATGTGGCGGTGTCTTTTGAGTCCGGCGCCTCCCGTTCAACTCTTGCTGTCGCCCTCGCTGTGTGTTTGTCGAGCTTCCGCATGAAGTGACGCGCCTCTTCCTTATTTCCAGCGCAGCTGCCGCTCAGTATGTGCGCCAACGACGCCTGTGGTGGCTCACTGTCTTCTTGTTTCCAGTCGTCCCAGTCTTTCAGTTCCCCGCGGTAAAATAACTAAGTGTCCTGCTCCGCGCGCGTTTTCTCATTCAGCGGCACTTCCCGCTGGTTCACTTCGCGGCTGGTTCATGGGCGTTCATAATCTCTGGGACCTGCTCGCGCCGTGCGGCCGCCGCTGCTCCATCGACTCGCTCGCGCGGAAGCGCCTCGCCGTCGACGCCTCCATCTGGCTCATCCAGTTCATCAAGGCGATGCGCGACGTCGAGACGGGCGAGATGCTGCACAACGCGCCGCAGCTCGGCCTCTTCCGCCGCCTCTGCAAGCTCCTCTTCCTACACGTGCGACCGCTCCTCGTCTTTGACGGAGGCGCGCCGCTGGCACTCGCACTCTCAACCATCTCCGTTCTCTCAACCTCTCAACCCTCATCTCTCCGCTCTCTCCGCTCTCTCCGCTCTCTCCGCTCTCTCTGCCATCTCCGCTCTCGCTCCACGACATCTCCACAGTCTCCGCGTGCTCTCCTCTCCGCGAGCCCTCTACGCCCAACACCACACACGAGCACGCGCGCGGCTGCCCAACGAGCATGGACTCTGCCCGGACACGTCCGGGACGCGTCCGCCAGGCACCCCGGCCATCAAGAAGCGGACGGTGGCTCGGCGGCGCGAGTTTCGGCAGCGGCAGGAGTCGTCGCTCGAGCGGACGGCGAAACGGCTCATCCTCAACCAGATGAAGGGCCGCCACATCCTGCACGGCGTTGCCACAGCAGACGGAGCGAATGGCCGCACCGCCAGCGCTCCTGCGGCGGCGGGCGGCGCGGCGGCGGGTGGTGCGGCGGCGGGCGGCGCGGCGGCGGCGCAGGCGCAGACGGCGGCAGGCAGCTCGGTGGACGACCTGGGCCAGTTCAGCGACGACGAGGGGGGCGGTGGATGGCTGGCAGTCGAGGACGACGGCGGCGGCGTTGGCGTTGGCATGGGCGGCGGAGGCGGGGTGGGTATGGGTGTTGGTTCCGGGGCTGGGGCGGGGGCTGCGTCGCTGGAGGGGGAGGAGGAGGAGTGGGAGGAGGCGGCGCCGTCTACCGGCGTCGGCTCCGGCTTCACGCTCTCGGACGTGATGGCGGCGGCGGCAGTCAAGGACGGAGGACAGCGCCTCGCCTCAGGCAGCTACCCCCTCTCGCTCTCTCCGCTGCCCCCTCTCGCGCCTGGGGGCGGCGAGGCGTCTGACCGCGCAGCGAGGGACGCCGAATAGGCAACCTGGCCGCCTCCGCCCTCGCGCGCGCCGCCTTCGGCTCCGTCGTCGTCCCGCGGGCAGCAGATCTCGACGAGGCGACACCGAGCTCTGCCGCGCTCTGCCTCTGCCTCCACCGCCGCCCTCGGCTCCCCCGACGTGCCACGCCTCACTACCGCCCTCCCCCGCTCGCTGCAGGCGGCCGTAGCGCGGCTTCCCCCGGCGCTCCAGTTCGAGGTGCTCGACGAGATCAAGCTCGCCGAGCGGAACCGGCGCAGGGACGAGCTCGTTCGGGCGGACCACGACATGGTCTCCTTCAGCCACGCGCAGCTCGAAAACTACGTCGAGGTCTCCAAGGCGTGCCGCCTCGCACTGGCGCCTCGCACAGCGCCTCGCACTGGCGCCTCGGCTGGCGCCATCGTGCTAGTGCTAGCCACCCTCACCCTCAGCCTCGCCCCCCTCCCCCCCCCCCCCCCACAGGTCGTCTCGCGCGTCGACAAGTTGCGCGAGTCGCTGAATGAGGAGGCGGCGCAGTCGCGGCGCCGCATCATCGGCGACTCGTCCCGCGAGTACGTGCTGCGGCGCACCGGAGGAGGAGGAGGAGGAGGACCCGCGGAGGACGTGCTGTGGGAGGAGGGGGAGGAGGGGGAGGAGGGGGAGGAGGGGGAGGAGGGGGAGGAGGGCGGTGCCTCTGCGCATGCGGCGCTTTGGGAAGAGGACGGCGGGGCAGACGGCGGCGCGGCGGCGGCGGGAGGCGGGTTCTTCCCGGAGGCGGGCGGTGCGGGCGATGCGGACAGCGCGGACAGCGCGGCGGCGTCGGGAGGCGGGTTCTTCCCGGAGGCGGGCGAGGCGGGCGGCGCGGGCATTGCTGCGCCGGAGGCGGAAGGCGAGGAGGAGGCCGAGGAGCAGTCGCTCGCCCGCGCGCTGGCGCTCTCGTACGAGGACGCCGCCGCCCGCCGCCGCAAGGAAGGCAAGCGACCGCTCCACGCCCCGCCTGCGGCCGCCCCGCCTCGGCAGAGGGCGAGGGAGGCGGGCTGCTTCGGCGGGCGCGGAGGCGGCATCCGTGTTGGTGGCGGCGCTGGCTGCGGCGGCGGAGGCGGCAGCGTAGATGACGACGACGACGACGACGACCCGGAGCTGGCGGCGGCAAAGGCCGCCTCTCTCTTGCCGCACCCGCACGCCGGCACGATGGCTTCGGCCACGATGGCTTCGGCCACGATGGCTTCGGCGGGCGGATCGTCGAGCGCTGCCGCCACCGCTCCCGCCTCCGGACCGGGCGGCGGCACCAGCCGCGGCGGCACCAGCCGCGGGGTCGGGCTGGGCGGCGGTGGGGTCGGGCTGGGCGGCGGTGGGGCCGGATCTGCGCCCACTCTCGCAATCGACCTCGACGGGGAGCAGGGAGCTGCTGGCGGCGGCGGCGGCGGCGGCGGCGTGGCGGTCGGAGGAGCGGCGGCGTGCGGCCGATCTGCGATCGAGGTGCAGAGACGCGTGGTCCAGCCCCTCCCGCGGCCTCCGGAGACCCACTGTGCTGGTGCGGAGTCCACAGGTGCAGTACCAGCTCGACGACCTCTCCGACAGCGACGACGACTTGTTTGCCGAGGAGACGCTTGGCAGCCGGCCAGGGGCAGCGCAGGGCCCTCGAGAGCCCCGCCAGCACTCTGACCTGTAGGAGGACTTCGCGTCTGAGGGGGGCTCGGCCGAGGAGACGGAGCAGCAGGAGCAGCAGCAGCAGCAGGAGCAGGAGGCCACACCGCCTGAAGACGTTCCGACGCCTCGCGGCGCGGCGGGCGGCGCGGCGGGCGGTAGCCCGGTTGCTCTGGCCAGTGCCGGCGCGTGTGAGGGGGAGCAGCCGTCGCGGTCTTGTGTGGGCGAGCAGCCGTCGCAGTCGTCGCAGCCCGCAGCCGACCCGGCTCACCCCCGCCCTGCACGGCTCCTCTGCGCGGGCGGACGGGGACACTGACCCGACTGCCTCTCGCGAGCAGGCGCGGCCCTCGACCTCCTCGTGGCGCATGGACCGCAAGCTGCGCTTGTCTCGCGCGCTGCGGCCGCCGGGCGACGAGGAGTACTCGCGAGAGGCCGAGGCTGCGAGACCGCGGCAGGCTGACGACAGCAGAGGCGCGCGGGCTTGCCACGCCGTCAGAGCGAGCGGCGCAGGCGGCAGCAGTGAAGGCGGCAGCGGCGCAGGCGGCAGCGGCGCAGGCGGCAGCGGCGCAGGCGGCAGCGGCGCAGGCGGCAGCGGCGGGAGCAGTTGCGTCGGCGGAGGGAGTGGAGGAGCGCATGCGAGGGTCGCTGGAGAGGCGGCGGCCAGGGCGGCGCACGCGGTGGAGGCGGGGGAAGCAGCCGCAGAGGCCACGCACGCGGGGGCGGGGGCGGAGGCGGTTGAGGGGTCTGATTCAGCGGGAGGCGCTTCGCAGGAGCGAGAGGGCCTGCCTCCGCCGAAGGCAGTGTTGCCTCCGCCGAAGGCAGTGTCGCCTCAGCGGGTCGCGGGCGGCGGCGAGGGCGGCGGCGAGGGCGGCGGCGAGGGCGGCGGCAGCATTCGCGGTCAGGCAAGCAGGGGCGAGGGAGCTGGCGGCGGGGATGGCGGGGGCGGTCTTGAGCCTCTTGACACGAATGGCAGCCAGGGCGAGGGAGAAGAGGAGGAGGAGGAGGAGAAGGAGGGGGAGGAGGAGGAGGAGGAGGAGGAGGAGGAGGAGGAGCCTGACTCGCCGATCTCTCGCGCCCGCGCCGCCGCGGCTGGCGGAGAGGGCGGCAGAGGGGGCGGCAGCAGTTGGGACGCCGCTGCGAGGGCGGGGCCGTCGGTGACGCCGGCGCCGACCAGGGCGGGGGCTGCAGCGGCGGGGAAGGCGGGGAAGGCGGCGGTGGAGGGCGAGGCTGCGGGCGGGGGGGCGGGGGCGGGGAGCCCGATGGAGGAGGACTCTGAGTTTTGGCGCGAGGCGGCGGCGCAGGCGGAGGCGACCGAGCAGCGCGCGGCGAGGGCGGCGGGGGCGGGAGCGGCAGGCGGCCTGACGCCTCGAAGGCCGCCGGCGGAGGCGGCGGAGGCGGCGACGGCGGCCTCGGCCTCGGCGGCGGCTGCTGCGGCGGCGGCTCGCGCGAAGATGCTTGGCGAGGTTGAGAAGGAGCGTGTGTGCGCGGCGAGCTGCCGAGGCGAGAGCGTTGCGTGAGCTTTGCCGGACCCGTCCCCTGCAGGAGGGCACGATGTTGCGCGAGTTGCAGCGCAAGGCCCGCCGCGACACCGAGACGGTGACGGAGGAGCACCTCGAGGACGCAAAGACGCTTCTCGGTCTCTTCGGTGCCCCTCCCCCTCGTCGCGGCGCTGGACTGTGGAGGGCGTCTCTTCACACGCCTCGCTGTGAACAGGCGTCCCCTTCCTCGTCGCGCCAATGGAGGCAGAGGCGCAGTGCGCCGCCCTCGAGGCGGACGGCATCGTCGACGGCGTGGTCACCGAGGCTTGCCAAATAGCAGAGACGTAGCCGAGTTGTAGCCGAGATAGGGACGAGGTTTACGACGTTGCGGCGGCTTGTGCGCGAGCAGCCGCCTCTCATCTCGCCGCGCCCCGTGAACAGGACAACGACGTCTTCCTCTTTGGCGGCCGCAACGTGTACCGCCAGCTCTTCGAGCCGAACCGCAACGTGGAGCACTACACGATGGACGACGTCGAGAGCGAGCTCTCCCTGCCGCGTCACCGGTCCGCTGGCTCTCGCGCAGGCTTCTCGGCTCGGGCGGACCTCGGCCACCTCCCAGCTCCCTCGGACGCAGGCTGATCGAGCTCGCGCAGCTTCTCGGCTCCGACTACACCGACGGAGTGCACGGCGTCGGCATCGTCAACGCGATGGAGGCGAGCGGCGAGAGATGTAGCAGCGAGGTCCAGAGAGACTGTCGAGGCCCCACCCCGCCCGCCACCCGCCCACCACCCGCCCCGTGCCCTGCATGCTTCGAGCATGCTTCGACCTCTCCCCCCCCTCGCGCGAGATTACCGAGTCCATCCCCAGATTTGTCCCGAGATGTCCCCGAGGTGTCCCCGAGGCGAGCCCTGGCTTGCACCTAGGTCGTCTCCTCCTTCTCCGACCTCTCCTCCTTCGGCGCCTGGGTGCGCGCCTGGACGCCCGGCGGAGGGCCCGGCACCGAGGACGAGAGGGACGCGGGCGCGGACGCGGGGGCGGAGCGGCGGAAGCGCTTCAAGCACCGCCACCGCAACATGCGCCAGCGGTGGGTCCTTCCCGACAACTTCCCGTCGGAGGCGCGCCACGCCCCTCCTCCGACCAGCGAGGACGCGTCCACGACACGTCGCCCGGGACCTGCCCCGCAGGCGGTCACCGAGGCGTACCTCCGACCCACCACCGAGCGGTACGACGCCGACGCGTGCGTGTGGGGGAGGCCCGACCTGCACGGGCTGCGCTCCTTCTGCCTGCACAAGTTCGGCTGGCAGCAGCAAAAGGCGGACGAGCAGCTGCTGCCGATGATGCGAGCCTTTGAGCAGACGCAGTCGCAGGCGCCAGCCCCCCCTCCCCTCCCCCACCCCTCTCCCCCTCCCTCTCTCTGGCTTGGCTGCTTGGAGGCCCGTCGAGAGCATTCTCTTGGCTTCTCTGCACCACGCCCCCCCCCCTCCCTGCACATGCCCCATCGTTACCCGCGATCACCCGAGATGAAAGGCGCGCCTCTCCTCCTACTTCAAGTTCGAGCACCGCTTCGCCCGCTTCGCGTCGGAGCGGCTCCGCGCCGCCGTCGGCATGACCGCCGCAGACTCCGCCGCCGCCGGTGGTGACTCCGCATCTGCCCCCGCCGCATCTGCCTCCGCCTCCGCCTCCGCGCCTGCCTCCGCCCCCCCCGCCACCGCCTCTGCACGCAAGCGGCGGGCGGCCCCCAGGGAGGGGGCGGCGGCACGGCCGCACAAGCGGCGGGCGGCGGGCGGCGCGGCGGGTGGTGGCAACGGGGCGGCACCCGGAGGGGCTGCGGCTCCGCGGCGCGCGTTGACGCCCTACTTCTTGTGGCTGCGCGAGAAGCGAGAGGCGATCCAGTCGCAGCACGGGGGCGGGCTGTCGGCGCCAGAGGTGGCCAAGGCTGCCGGGGCGCTGTGGAGGGCCATGGACTCAGAGGCAAAGGCGCCGTGGGAGGCCAGGGCAAAGGCGGACAAGGAGCGACTCGCCGCCGAGCAGCGGGCCATGTGCGCGGCGCCGCGAGACGGTGCGACCGCGGCGACAGGAGCGGTTGGCGCGGGGCAGAGCTTGTACGACGCCGGAGGAAGCTCTGACTCTGACAGCGAGTGAGACGAACGTCGCTTAGTGGTGTTTGTGTATGTCAGTGCGCGCCGGGCCATCTGGGTGCGCGGACTGGGTCTGTCTGTGCGCTCGCCATTTTTCTGAAGAGGTAGAGGTGTCACACACAAGCGACGGAGACGAGGTGTCAAATCGTCACACTCTCACGTACAGTGTATAAACTAAGCCGTAATGTCATTACGGTATCTAATGTGCGCGGCTCCATGGCGGCTCTCACAATCACACACGAGTGTGTCGAGTCACCGGACCTCTCTCATCTCTGCTGCACGCCGCGCCCGCCAGCCGCCACGCCCGCCGCGCCCGCGATCCAGCGATCGCACAGGGCGTGCCCATTGGTCTGCTCAGACCATGACCTTGGGGGGTACCTTCCCCCGCGTCATCATCAGGTTTTGCACCTTCGCGTGCGCCGCCTTACGGCGCTCCTCCTCGCGCACCGCTTTGGCCGCCTCCGAGTCGGGGTTCATCAGCGCCCACACGTCGGCGTGCGAGTTTGGGCCTGCGCGAACTCGGTGGGGATGGTGGTGGCCGGGGCGAGCCGAGCATGGGCGGGGGCTGGTATGATGCGTGTTATGAGGCGTATGAGGTGTTGTGACAGGGCGCGGAGAGGGCTTTAGTTCGCGGGCCTAGGTTGGGCGGAGGCGACGCGAAGAAGAGATAGGACTTCGGGTTGAGGTAGCTCAGGTTCTCGATGCGGGCCTCGCTGCTGGTGCACCTGCCGAGACCGACCGCCGCGCGGGAGAGGGTGTGGGGGAGGGAGCGAGGAGAGGGGGCCTCGGGTGAGCGCGGCGCAGCGAGGAGAGGAGAGGCGAGGCGAGGCGATGAGCGGGGAGGTGAGAGGAGAGGCGAGGAGAGGCGAAGTGGGGAGAGGAGAGGCATGGCGAGGCGAGGCGATGAGAGGAGAGGAGAGGAGAGGAGCGGAGAGGAGCGGAGAGGAGAGGAGAGGAGAGGAGAGGAGGGGAGGGGAGGGGAGAGGAGAGGAGAGGAGAGGAGAGGAGTGGAGCGGCGAGGCGAGGAGAGGCGAGGTGGGGAGAGGAGAGGCGCGCACCCGCCGCAGCAGAAGCGCGCCCGGAGGCCGGCGGTCGGGTATTTGTCGAGGGAGAGCTTCGTGAAGCGGTCCCAGTGCCTACGGGGAATGTTCCGAGAAGGTTCCGAGGGAGGGTGGCGCGGTGGTGCGACCTCTGCCCCCCAGGGGAGCGCTTGGTCTTTGTCAGCTCTCCGCTGTCCTCGTCGCGGTAGGCGAGGCGGCGGATGACGTACTGGAACTGCAGGTTGGCGTTCGAGTACACGCCGAGCGCGTCGTCGTAGACCCACTTGTCCGCCGTCTGCTCGACATTCTTCCCCCAGTACGAGCAGCGCACCAAATCGCCAACCTCGATGGCGGGCTCGTAGGGAGACCCGTCCGGGTTGATAAACTTGTCGCCCTCCTGCACGATGTACATTGGGTCCGCTTTGCCCCACATCAGCCACTTTCCGTCCTTCGAGATGGACCACCCCACTACGCCAGAGAGGATGACAATCATGCTGCCGCAGCAGGTGTAGTCCCGAAGCCAGTTGTCGGTGCTGTTCTTCATGCCGCGCAGCCCGTCGTCCGACCAGATGGCGTCCTCGAAGGTGGTCACCGTCTCGGAGGCCGTGTTGTTCTCGAGCCAAAAGAGCCCGCGGAACGGCTTGGGACACTTGTTGAACGAACCGGGCGCGTGCGCGTCCAACATCTTGGCTGCGGTCGCTTCGGCGTTGTCGCCCCACTTGGAGACGTCGGGGTGAAAGCAGCATGACAAAAAGCAGCTCGCGAGCGGGTAGCACACCAGGTCACGGTGCTGCACGACCGAGGGGTTGCACGGGTTGAAGCCTGTCTTGGCGGGCGTGAGCTGCGGCGGCGCATAGATCAGTGGAGGCTTGGCAACCGCAGCCCACTCCTCGACGCCGTACTCGTCCCAGTCTGCGCGGCCCTTGACTACTTCGGGATCGGCGAGTGGGTTGGGCTTAGGATCTGACATTGGGCAGCTGAGCAGCGAGTAAAGTCGGTAGCACGCACTCCGCGCCCGCCAGCCAGCGAATCCACCGCACCGGCCCCGCCTTCTTTGATAAATTAATTCTTTTCCGGTCACACTTCCGTTCTTTCACTCCCAACAGGGCAAGCAAGACAACAGGGCAAGCAAGACAACGCGCCAACGGGGAAAAGGAGGGGAAAGGAGGAAAGATTTACAAAAAATCGTAAGAGCTACATACACGGAAAAAGGATAACTTGTCTGAGCCGGCCGGGTCCTTCCTGGCGGCGCTCACTCCACGCACCACCGACACCACACAGGGCAAGCAAAATAATAAAGAAAGGGGAAGCCTTTCCGAGGCATTTACTATTTTACAAGAAGAAAAACTTGCAGACAGACGCTGGCCGACGGATCTTCCAATCCAAGCTGTACTCGTACCCCCTTCCCTTCCATGAACTCGTTAGTCCGCCTACTTCTCGCCCTTGTGCTCGGTGGCGCCGAAACAGCGGCGCCGCCCCTGCGGATCGCGGCGGGTGCGCTGGACGAGGCCGAGACCATAAGTACGGCATCTGGTGCGGCATCTGCACCGGAAGTCCCCGACTCCGCCCATCGCGCCCTCTTTGAGATGGGCGAAATGCTGAGCGGGGTCTACAATCCGATCGCCGACCCTTGCACTGTACACACCCCTCTTATCAACCCCTGCCCCCCGTGTCAGGCGGCGGATGGCGCGCAAGACCTGCTTGGTGGTGGAGGTGGCGGCAAGTCAGGCGGCGGTGGCGGTGGTATGCCAGGCATGTCGTCCGACCCGGAGGTGGCACGCTTCCAGCAGTACGTCGGCGTCTTCATGCCTGGTCTCTGTGCGCAACCGCTCCCCACATACGCACACTCGAACTCCCCTCCACAGACACCGCACTGACACCCTGGCAACTACCCTCCGATGCCTCTCCGACCCTTCCCCTCCCCCCTTTGCGCAGTTTTCACCTATTTCGTCCTGTTTCTCATGCTGTGCATGATCACCTTTTGCTGCACCTGCTCTTGCATGTTTTGCTGCGGGCTCGCCCTCGCCCCCTTTGAGTGCTGCTCAAGCATATGCTGAGCGGTGTGCGCGCCGTTGCCCCCGCGCTCTCCAGCTCTCTGGGGGGGACGCAGACGCTCTAGTCCACCTTCCCAAGTCGCATTAAGGTGGCGCAGCGCGGGGGAGATATACATCGTGTATCGTGTCGCCGTGTGGCGCAGCGCGGGGGAGATATACATCGTGTATCGTGTCGCCGTGTTCGGTGTGTCCTATGTGTAGTGAGACCGACTAGAACGTAGGTAAGTGTGTACGGCTCAGGAGTATAAGCCGTAATTAGAATCGCGGCGGTGCGGTGTGTCGAACTGTCGTCCGCGAGAGTGGCGAGAGGAGCGACACGCTTGAGTGAGAAAGAGGCACCGCGCGGGGAGCTTTTGCAGTCAAGCGTGTCCCGACTGTCCTGAAGATGCGCCCATGTTGTACACACCATGTTGTGCCTTTTTTTAAAGGCTTTGGGAATGCGGAGTTGAGGTGGAAAGCAATTCGACACCGAGGTGTGATGTCATGAAACAAACAACGCCCCTCGCGCCAACAACGAGCAGCGAATGCGAGAGCCCGTCGTGAGAACGACCCGCCTGTCGTGCAGCTCGAACTTTTCGCCTCGCGCCAGGTCGCGCACGACTCGGTCGTGAAGTCGTAGTACACGTAGAGCATGCGAGAGGTTGCAAGCGGCCAGTGGGCAGGGTGGCAAGAAGGGCGAGAGGAGAGGCGAGGCGCGTAGAGACACCCGGGAGAGATAATATCAGAGACACTTTATAGTCTTTATCTGGTCTTTATAGACGAGCGCGGAGGGGGGCACCCGACGCCGACCTAAAGGGTGTGGATGCTGGGTTGACGGAAATCGGGGGACGCGACCCACTTCGCCACAGACGGTCCCGCGCCTCGCCGCTAAGTTTGCGGCACGCCCCGCACCGTCCGCTGTGCCGCGTTTTTTGTCCAGAGTGAAAAGTCCAACGCGCTCGTCGGTGGCGGCTTCCCCCAACCTGTGCGCCGCGCTCGGCGAACCTCGACAGCGCCTTCGGTGGCATGCAGCTCTTTGCGCCTGAAGCCTGGAGAGCAGCTCCTCTGCTGCTCACACACTCTGCACAGTTGACACAGCCTACTCTGTGCGGCTGCTACGCTGTGACAGCGATGGGCTCGCCCTCACTGGCCCTCAGTCACTTGTGCTGCGGCTTGTGTGAGCGACACTGCTCGGCGACTGCCGGCACACTGTGAGACCATGGGTGTGAGGTCAAACCACGCTACCAGCGCTTGGTCACATCGGCCCCGAGGTCAGATATCCATCTAGATCTACTCTCGGTTGATGACAAGACTTGATCTACCGGCTGGAGCCGAGCAGGAGGGCCCGGCGCACAACCCCCTGCGCCTGGTCAACTCACCCTCCACACCCCGTATATGAGAGTCTCATGCGCCATGCAAACACTAGGGTCCACCGCTAATACTGGAACAATTTTTTTCTAGGGTCCACCGCACAACCTGTTTTGTCAGACCCTTCCGACACAATTCTTGCTGCCGCAGAGGCAGACGATCGACCCGGAGCGGTTCTTGCGGGTGGTGGCGTTCGGGTCGCGCCGGTAGCCGAGCTCGTCCCCGGTTTTGATGTCGCGCCTATGCACAGCCGTGCCGGCAACGTGAGGAGGGGTCTTTGGCCACGCGCCCCCCCCCCACGGAGCCTCGCGCCGCGCAAAGAAGCCGACGCGCGGCAAGCTCTTGTCTCCGGAGAGCGCGTCGAGCCGGCGCGGCTCGAGGTTCGGGTCGCAAGAAAAGTTAATGAAGGCGGCGACGTTGCGCACGGCGAAGGCGTCAATCAGGAAGCGGCCGCCCGAGAGCTCGAAGTGGTAGAGGCCCGCGGCGGGGCACGCCGCCTCGCGCCGCTCCGCCTCGGCGGCGGTGATGATCTCACCCACATACTCGCACACAAACTCGCCGGCCTGGCGGTGTCGGGGACGGCGGACTAGCTTCAGGCGAGCAGGCGGGGAGGGGAGCGGAGGGCGCCAGTGGTAGCGGGGGCAGCTAGGTCGTCGGCTGGGCGGTGCTGGGCAAGCAGGCGCAGCGCGGGCGTCGCAGTGCGAGAGCGTCGCCTGAATGGGCTCGCCCGCCTTGACGCCCCACCCCTTCGCCGCGTTCTTGCCGCCGAGAGGGAAGACGAGGAGTCGCTTGCGCACGCCTCGCTGCAGCGCCCGGTTCCCGCACCGGTCTGGCTGCTCGGAGCAGCTGCAGCCGTACCCACACTCGCTCGACTTGGCGTGCTGGCAGCGGCACCCGTCCCTGCCGCCCGTGCCGCGGCTGCAGAAGCGGGAGCGCTCCGCGCTGCACCTGCAGCCGCCCAGCTTCACGCGCGTGGGCCACTCGGGCTGCACGCCCGCCGCAACACACTCGGACACGTACAGAAACGGTGCCGGCGGCGCGTCGTCGGCGCCGCGCTCGAGCGAGGGGGCGCCGATCTCCGCGCCGCAAGAGAGGTCCCGCGCGAGAGGGTCGGCCTGCTGCAGCGCCGGCCAGACGCCCTCCGGCCAGCTCGCCCTCGCCGCCGCCAGCTGCTCCTCGCTCCCCGCGGAAGGCATCGCCGCCCGCGCCGCGAGCAGCATCAGCAGCTGCGCGACCCGCGTCCGCGCACCAGCGCTGCCGCCGAAGCCATCCCCCTCGCGCGAAGCAGCCCCCGCCGCAGGCCCAACCAGGCCGACCGCCAGCGCGGCGCCGATGGCCTCCAGAGTCTCCTTGGCCGCCGCCTCTGAGCAAGGCGGCTCTGCCGCCGCCGGCCCGCCCTCGTATGACGCAAAGTACAGCCAGAGCGCGCGCTCCACGTTGCCGCCACGCAGCGCGACGCCGAAGGGCGAGTGGCAGCACGCGCCCAGCAGCGTGTTCACCCCGTCGAGAGCGGGCAGACCCGCCGCAATGCACCCAGGGCAGCACTGCCGCAGCGCGCGCCGCGCTTCGGCGGCTGCGACAGCCCCAAGCTCGTCGGCGGACGGGGCGCAGCGCTGCCTCTCGTCGGAGCGACGCTGCGCCCGCATGGCGTGGCAGATGGCCAGCGAGAGGCCGTCGACGGAGCACGCCTCCCTCCCGGGGCAGGGCGGCGCGCTCGCCAGCGCGTGGAGGAGGGTGGGCGGGGGCGGGGAGGGGGAGGAGAGGGTGAGCGGCTGCCCCGGCGGCGGGAGGGCGGGCCGGCCGAGCGCGAGGTCGGAGAGGCGGAGGGCCGGCTTGGTGCGGTCCGCCAGCGCCTCGTGCAGCCTCGCGAGGTCTCGCGGCGACTCGGTCGCACGGCGGAGCAGCTGGCCGTGCCTCTGCAGCCGGTCGGCCGCCGCGACTCGCTCCTCCTCCGAATCGTAGCCCTCATCGTAGGCGGGGAGGTGCGTCTCGCAGTAGGCTATGAAGCCGCGGCCCGGCTGGGAAGCGTCGCGCGGCCGCAGCAGCCCCGCCCGCGCCGCGCAGAGCGGGTGCATGGCCACCGCGCACTTGCCGTGCACGCACTGCACCGCGCCGCCCCTCTCGCCGCACAAGCTGCAGGCGAGCTTCTGCGCCTTTGCGAAGTCGCCGCTCCGGCGCAGCTCCAGCTGGCCGCCGCCGCCCTCGCACGGCTGGCAGTACGCCCCCTCGGAGGAGCCGCCGTCGCCCGTCGCGTCGGCCTCGGCGACGAAGTCGTGGCTCAGCGCGCACGCCATGTGCACGAGCGCGCGGCCGTCGCCGTCGCGCACAGAGACCATCGGCCACGCGCCGAACCGCTCCGCCGCCGGCCACTCCTCGGACCTCGCCGCGTTCGAGTCGTCGCCGCAGAGAGCGCAGCTCGCGCCTCGCTGCCCGCTCGCGCACTCGTCGCACCGCCACTCGGTCTCGCCCTCCGGCACCTTTCGCCCCGGCGGAGGGCGAGGGTGAGGAGTAAAGTGAGAGGCGAGCGAGGTGGTGGAAGCGGAGATGGACGGTGCGCACCTTGGCCAGTCGGACGCAATGCTGGTGCGCAACGACGCCGCAGCCGCAGCCGCGCAACACACTCCGCCCCTTGCCGTCGCCGCAAAAGACGATCTGGTTGTCGTCGTGCGAGACGCCCTTGCCGCACACGCCGCACACCGCCTCCTTCTCGTCCGCCGCCGCCGCCGCCGCCTCCGCCGCCTCCTCCTCCTTCGCCGCCGCCGCCGCCGCCGCCTCCCTCCGCGCCTTCGCTGCCGCCGCCGCCGCCTCCGCCGCGACGCGCTGCCGCTGCTGCTGCGCCGCCTGCTCCTGCTTGGCCTGCTGCGCCTGCTTGGCTCGCTGCGCCGCCTCGCCCTCCCTGCTCCGCCGCGCCGCCTCCTCCCGCTCCGCCGCCGCGCGCGCCTCCTCCTCCCTCCGCCTCTCCACCATGTCCGCCCTCGTCGCCGCCAGCCCCTCAAACGGCTCGCGCCGCAGCGCGGCCAGCAGCGCGGGCGGCACGTCGGCGCCGCACCCGCTCGCCAACACCTACAGTAGCAGCCGCGCGCCTCGCGCTCGCCGCAAGCCGTCCAGAGCCGTCCAGAGACGTCCAGAGACGCGCAGGAGCTGCGGGGGCGGCGCCTGCTCCGCCGTCTCGCCGTCGGGTCGGAGCCTGGACGGCCGAGAGACGGCGGCGGGATTTGCACCTAACCACACGCCGCGGGCAGGTGAGGACGAGGCGCTGCATCCTACCCGTGTGCGCGTGTGTGTGCGTGCGTGCGTGTGTGTGTGTGTGTGTGTGTGTGTGTGCGCGTGTGTGTGCGTGCGTGCGTGTGTGTGTGTGTGTGTGTGTGTGTGTGTGTGTGTGTGTGTGTGTGTGTGTGTGTGTGTGTGTGTGTGTGTGTGTGTGTGTGTGTGTGTGTGTGTGTGTGTGTGTGTGTGTGTGTGTGTGTGTGTGTGTGTGTGTGTGTGTGTGTCTGTGTCGCGCCCGCGCGCAGCAGCAGCGAGAGCAGCTCCGGCTGGGCGGCCGACTCGTGCTGCGTCGCGCCCCAGTGCAGCGCGGTGAAGCCGTCCTTATCTGTCTTGCAAACCTACGCGAGGGGCAGCAGCAGCAGCAGCCTCTCGGAAAGCTCATCGAAGGCTCCTCTCGGCCGGGCCTGTCCGCCGCGCGCGCCTCCGCCCCCGCCTCGAGCAGCAGCTCGACCAGCCCGACCGCGCCGTGCTCCGCGGCGGTCATCAGAGGCGTCCACCCATTCGCGTCGCCTGCCGGAGGCGGCACGGACATGTCGCGGACATGTCGCGGACATGTCGCGGACATGTCGCGGACATGTCGCGGACGCCACCAGCCGCGTCACCACATCGCTCGTCGCACTGGTCGCGCTGCTCTCGGCTGTATCTCGGCCGCATCTCGACCGCATCTCGGCCGCATCTCGGCTATCTGCCGCCCTGGTCGAGCGCGTCGGCGTCCGCCGCAAGCAGCAGCTTCGCCTAATTAATTGATCATTCGTGCCGATCACTCAATTATTAGTTCATCGATCGCCGCAAGCAGCAGCTTCGCCATCGCGTCGAGGCCTTCCGCAGACGCCCCAGGCACTTGGCAGAGGGCGAGGAGCGGCGTCACCCCCTTGCTCGAGGCGGGGAGCCGGCGGCGGGGGTCCCAGCCGCAGAGCAGCGAGCGGAGGTACTCGACCTGGCGGGGGGGGGAGGGGGGGGTGGCGCGTGTCGCGGGTGAGTCGCGGGTGAGTTGCAGGCGGCGAGTCGCGGCGGGCGAGCAGGCACGGCGGGAGACTGCTCGCGGGTGAGCAGTCGGAGACGGCAGAGGCGATGGCACCTGCAGGTGGTCCACTGCGACGTGGACGGCGGTCTTGCCCTGGTACTGGTTGTTTGGCCGGCCCGGGTCGGCGCCTCGCGCGAGCGCCTCCTCGATCCTCCCCTTGCCCTCGCCGCGCGCCCCGCCGCCAGACACAACCGCGCAGAGCTCGTTGGAGAGCTGCTGCGCGGCGGCGGTGCCTTTGCACTCCTTCTTGACGGCGCCCTTCCCACGCCGGGCGGAGGTGGGGGCGGCGGCGGTGGGGACGGCGGCGGTGGGGGCGGCGGAGGAGGGGGCGGGTGCCGCAGGGGCGGGCGCAGCGGGTGCTGAAGCTGCTGCCACAGCGTCATGGGCGCTAGCGGGCGTGTCGGTCGCGGGCGCTGCTGACGACGTCTCCGCCGCCCCCGCCGCCCCGACCGCCCGCGCATAGGTTTGCAGTCCCTCCGCCTCTGCCACCGGAGCATGGTCCGCCGACTTTGCAGAGGAGGCGGTGGCGGAGGAGGAGGCGGTTGCAGAGGAGGCGGTGGCGGAGGAGGAGGCGGAGGAGGAGGAGGCCGAGGAAGAGGCGGCGGCGGGCGCGGCGGCGCGAACGAGGTGGCCGATGGGGACGTCACCGTCGTCGCTGTCGTCGAGCGTGATCGGTTCCGCCTCGGTCGCGCCAGCCGGTCCTTCGTCGGCGTCGAGGTCGTGCACGTCTGTCCTTCCCTCGGCGAGCTGGCTGCGGCTGTGCTCCCGCTTCTGCTGCTTGGGAGAGCGGCCCAAGTCTGCCGCGGCGGGACGCTCCCTGGCGGTAGCGTTCGTGGACGGCGACTGCTGGCCGAGTGCGGGCACCAGCGGAGTCGAAATGGCGCGCGTGTTGCCATGAGTATGCAGAGCGCTCCACGCCGCGAGAGCTGCGCGCAAATTAGACGCCTCCGGCCGCGCCAGGTCCTCAGGAGTGAGGCGGCGCAGCGCGTCGGTGGCCACCGCCAGGTCGTCCATCGAGTCGGTTGGCGCTCCCGCCTTTTAGCGGCTTTCTCTTTCTTTAGTTCGATGTTATGAAACAACGCAAGGCGGACATGGCATATCGCTCTCCGTTTGGTTTTCCGCAGTTATTTCTCCGGTTGCACGGTTCCTGCAGACAGGGCGCCTCTGCCATGACTGACGTCGCCGCCATCGGTCAAAAGCTGCTCCGCGCCTCTGCGCAGAACGACCTCGAGCAGCTCGACAGCGCGCTGCGCGGTGCCTCGCCCGACTATGCCAACGGCATCGGCCAGACCGGGCTGCACGTCGCCTCGATCCACGGACATGTCGAGGTCGTGAAGCGGCTGCTCAAGGCGGGCGCACTGGTGAGCTCGACCAACCGGTACGGCGTGACGCCGCTGCACTACGCCGCCGACAGCGGCAGAATCGAGGTTGCGAGGCTGCTGATTGAGGCGGGCGCCAACAAGCGGACGCGGGCGAGCAACGGCAAGCTCCCGGTCGACATGATCAAGGAGGATGCGGACTGTGCGGAGGAGCTTCAGGCGCTGCTCGGGAGCGGCTCGAACAAGCTGCACCGCGCCATCAAGGGGCACAACCTCGCGCTGCTCCGCCAGCTCCTCGAGGCGGGGAAGGAGGACCTGTCTGCCGTCGACTCGCGCGGCCGCTCTCCCTTCCACCTCGCCGCCCTCGCCGCGGTGACGTCGACCGAGGACCGCGAGCAGTTCAACAGCAGCATGGCAGCGCTGCAGGCCCTCGTGCTTGCGGCCAAGGCGCGCGGCGGCGAGGACAAGGCGCGGGCGGACACTTCCGAGACACTTCCGAGACACGGCCCGGACACGGCCCAGACTTTCCCCCGTCACCTCGCTCTCTGCGGGTGGCGAGGGGTGGCCGGTCCTCACGGCAGGCGGCCCTCCGGCGGCGCAGGTGCGGCGGCTGTGCAGCGAGGACTACCTTGACGACGACGGCTTCAGCCCTCTGCACGTCGTGGTGCACGCCGACTTGGTGGACGGGGCGGCGATGCTGCTCGAGGCGGGAGATGCAGCCGAGAGGAAGCCGAGAGGACGCCGAGATACGACCAAAAGAGAGGCAGCCGAGAGGAAGCCGAGAGGAAGTCGAGAGGCGGACCCTTCCACGGCCCTCCGTGCCTCCCTCGCAATCCTTCTCCGCGACCCTTCTCCGCGACCCTTCTCCGCGACCCTTCTCCGCGACCCTTCTCCGCGACCCTTCTCCGCGACCCTTCTCCGCGACCCTTCTCCGCGACCCTTCTCCGCGACCCTTCTCCGCGACCCTTCTCCGCGACCCTTCTCCGCGACCCTTCTCCGCGACCCTTCTCAGCGACCCTTCTCCGCGACCCTTCTCCGCGACCCTTCTCCGCGACCCTTCTCGACGACCCTTTTGTTGCAGGCGGGCGCCGACCCGAACGTGCAAACCTACCCGGAGTCGGACTCGGAGTACCGGTCCGGCCAGTGGGGACGGACTCTCGCCGACGGGACCAAGGAGATCCTGTCTGCGCAGTCCGACTGCTCGTCGCTCCACATCGCGCTCGGGTACGACGACCCTTCCGAGGAGATGGTGCGGCTGCTGCTCAAGCACGGCGCGGACCCGAACCTGCGCGACATGCAGAGCCGCACCGCGCTGCACATGGCCCTCGACTTCGAAGAGGAGCGCGGAGGCGTCCAGCTCCCCCTCGCCGAGCTGCTGCTGCAGCACAAGGCGCCCGCCCGCCAGGCGGCCGGAGCGAGACCGACGCGAGACGAGCCGAGGCCGAGACCGGTTGTGGATTAGCGACCGTAGGCGGACCCGTCGCTCGGGTGCAGCGAGATCGGGATGGACAATGGCTGCATCCACGCCGCCGTCAACGCGGGCGATGTCGAGGCGCTCGCGCTTCTGCTGCGGCACGGCGCGGACCCGTCGGCGGCGGGGAAGGGCGGCTGGACTCCGCTGACGCTGGCGGCGCGCTCGGGCAAGACGTCGGCGCGGGGGGGAGCTGCCCTCGCCGCGCCAGGCGGAGGACGCCCCTTCACTGCGGCGCTGGGAGTAGGTTGTCGCTCCCCTCCTCGCCGCTGGCGCCGACCCCGACGCCGTCGCGCCGGTGGGCAAGAGCGCGCGCGAGATCGCGACAGTAAACAAGCGGGCTGCCATCCTCCGGCTCTTTGGCGAGGAGGCGTGAGGGATTGGGGGCGGCTGCTGAGGCTCTGGAGGAGGGCGCGCCGAGGTGCTGGAGGCGTTCGCGGCGGCGTAGAGGCGTATGCTCGAGGTGTTCGAGGCGTTGGGTGGGCATGCTTTCCCCCTCCCCTTCCCTTTCATTACTGAAGCGCAGACGATTCGTATGTCATCGTGGAGAGGTGCGGCGATGACCGCGAGTTGCGCGTAGGTGTTGTGCGCCCCGGGATAATTTGCAATCGCGAGAGGAAGCGCCTTAGCGTCGCGGACGCGAAGCCCTGCCGGCACACAGTGGACGCTCACACTCTGTCTGTGAAGACTGAACTGTGCAAAATCTATTTCGCACTCTGCTCTGGTTTCGCGGTCGCGCACACCGCACTGTTGGACTGTCCTAAAGCCGTAGTCTGTACACAAATCACAAAATATAATTGAGCGGCTGTGCGGGCTGCGTCGGTAAGCAAAAGCCAAAACCCAAACACCCGGGGCTTCGGGGATACGGACCCAAACGGAAGTACACGGAACCTTTGGCAACGCGCGCGGGCGCCTGAATCCTGATTTTTTCTCGCTCTGCGCTCCATCCTCCAATTACAATCCGATCTGCTGCTCCGTCCCTTTCCGCTCGGTCGCGCACGTGGATCGTGCGCTCCGGCTCGCTCCCTCACGACCCGTAGCAGTGCAGCTCGTCATCTCCCTCGCGCAAGATGGGCAGAGCGTTCCACGTCTGCAAAAAGCCTAGCGCTGCCTCGAGCGGGCGCGCGACAAAATCGCGCGTGGGGAAGGGCGCGAGCGCGAGGTCGGATGGCTGGCACGCGTCCGCGCCGCCATCGCCCGCGGCGACGACGGTGCACGAGCCTGCGCCGCCCGCGCCGCCCTCGACGAGCCGGATGGTGCGACCCTTGGCACTGGTGCGCCACCGCTCGTCGCCCGTTGCGTTGGGAAGCGACGTGTACGTGAGCTCGAAGGGATCGCCGTGCGCTCGCGCGTCGCGCAGCAGGCGGCGCACCTCAAAAGCAGGCAAAGTGAAGCGCACAAACGGCGCGTCGGCCGCCCGGGGCGGCACGGCGAAGGGACCGACGATGCGTGAGACGGCCGAGTTGAAGTGGCGGCCGCTGTGGTTGGCGGCGGCGAGCAAGCGCACGGTGCCCGGCGTGAGGATCGCAGTGAACTCGCTCGGGTAGAGCTCGTTGATGTGCGAGGAGGTGGAGTGCTCGATGCGCACAACGCCACCGCTAAATGGGTCGTCTCCCACCGCCCACCCAGAGTACCGCCACGTGTGCAGCAGCGAGGTGGGCACGCGCAGCAGGTGGTTGGTCCCGCCCTGCATGCGCAAGTTGGAGAACATGTTGGGCGTGTTGATCTCAAGCGTGCCCAGCACGACGGCGGCGCAGCACCACAACAGGCACAGCAGCGTGAGCACGTGCACCAGCGGCGTGGGCGCAGGCTCCGCTGGCACGTCGGCGCGCGGCGTCCGGCCCTCACCGAGCCACAGCGCGCGCACAAGCAACGCCGAAAGGGCGCAGTGCGCGACTATGTGCCAGTCGACAGCGCACACATCGGTGGATCGCAACGCGTCGAGCGGTGCGGCGGTCCACTGCGCCCAGCTAGCCGGCTGCTGCGCGGCAATGGTGAGCGCTAGCACGGCCGCGCCGACGGCGACGTACACGCTGCCAACGAGCGGGTGAGCGCGCACCTCGTAGATCGCAGCAGCGCTGCCGCGAGGCGCAAACCAGACGTAGCGCAGCGCTGCCTTGTGCGAGAAGGCTGCGATGTTGTTAGGTGGCGGGGTAAGGTCGATGCCCACGTGCAGTGCCGTGGCGAGCAGCACCCCCGCAGTGCCGCAGCGGGGCGCACGTGAGCAATATGCGCGCGCGAGGAATAGGACGCCCACACCACACTCGACGATAATGGTGAGCGCCGGCGCCGCGGCGATGGCGGCATTGGTGAGCCCGGGCGTTAGCATGTGCGCTGGCACGTAGGCGTCGAGCAGAGAGGCAAAGTAGAGGGAGGCGCAGGAGTACCTGGAGTCCAGGAAGCTCGAATTGATCTTCCAGAAGCCTGCGAACCAATAAAACCAGCCCATCATGCGCCGCATAGACTGGCCGAGCGGGACGCCGTCCGCAGCCTTGTTGCCATCCGCGATCATGTGCAGGACAACCGCGAGATCGGTGAGCGCAACCATGAGCTCAGAGTCCCACGTGAATGGGAGATCTGAGAGCCACCACACGATGCGGGTCCCAAAGGCTAAGATCGCGAGGCTAGAATTCTGTGGGTAGGCGGCGGCGGCGAGCCAGAGCACGAGCATGCCGACCTCCGACGGCCCACGCGCCGCCAAGCTTCCACGAGTCAGCTCGGGCACCATCGATAGGCCGCTCAGGAGCGTGTAGGCGGCGAGCGGACTGATGAGCAGCTGCGCGTTGTCAGGCCGCATTGTTTGCCTACCTATCCCCCCCAGGTCTGGCTGGCGGCTGGGCGCTGGGCGCCCGCTGGGCGCTGGGCTGGCTGGGTCTGATAAGGCGGGGGGGTACAGGTATGGCTCGAGGTGGGTTGCGGGATCGTAGCATACCATACCCGGGAAAAAGTTGGAACCCAGCGGGGTGCAACTTTACACAAAAACAAAACCACGGAAACCAAACGCACAAGCACAGTCAGTCGAGAAGGGAGAGAGAGACAGCAACGACAGTCAGAAGTCAGCGCTGGGTCCCAGGAAGGCGTGCGACGACGGCCTCTAGTGTGAGCTATAGCTAGTGAGCTCATACGCACGCCGCATATCGCGTATACAGCTAGTTAGGAGCCGACCGACCCTCGCGTCCGGTGCTCACCGACGGCTGACTCGATTTCTACTCGAATTCTTCTACCCCCACGACTCGGAACGCGAATGTGACAGGACCATCGGGTCCTTCAGCCACCAAAGCGGGATCACCCGAGAGCAGCTGAGCCTGCCTCTGGCCTCGCCTCCCTCTCCTTCAGGCATTCGTGGCATCCTATGGGTCGTCCAGAGTATCGACCTCTGGCGAGTCAGCCAGTCACTTGATGACACCATGAAGTAAGCGATCGCCATCTCGCTGGCCTCTCCGCAGGCCCCCCCGACCGCGTCGAACTCATCGGCGCGGGCTCTCTCGGCTACGGGACCGGCCCCAGCTTCGGCTGAGGGCTGACAAGCTGCCGAGCCCAAGTCACTGTGAGAGTCGTGATTTCTTGTTGGTTTTCTAAAATCTCTCTCCGACGGCCGGGTGGGCCACCCTGGTACCTGCTCCCTGGTCCCTGCAACTTTTTAGTCTTTACGAGAAAATCCCGGCAGATCCCCCGGGTCATTCGTTTGAAAAAGAAATCGCGCCCCCGCTCTGCCACTGTGGCCCGGGGGTATCCAGTTTCGCACGCCCCGTCGCCCCCCGAGGTCTCTTGGGTCGACCTCGTTTTGTACTCAAAGTTTGAAAAACCGAGCCGCCGGGTGCCCCGCAGCGGCCCCTCGCTGGGCCAGAAGAACCGGTCCGCGAGTGCTCCGCAGCAACCTCGCTGAGCCAGAACGTCGGCTCGCGAGGTGGGGTGCTAGTCTGGGACCCATACGTGGCAGTTCCCTTGCTCCAAGCGCTTGCGCTTCGGCGGTAGTGATCTAATCACCCGAATACCACGTTCGGATCGCTCCTCATCGCAAATCCTGTCAGCAGTTCACCCTCGGGTATGTTCGTTAGAGCTACATACACTGACTGAAAAAGATAGCCACTCAAAATCTCCTCAATCGCAAACCCTGTCAGCAGAGTCCTCCTACGGGAATGTACGTAAGAGCTACATACACTGAAAATGATACCGAGCCACAACCCAACTACTCGAGTACTCAGGACGACTGTAATGCCCCATCGCTCATCTTCCAATCTGTTGCGGGCGGCCGCCGCGAAACGCGCGCCCTCCCCCATTACATCGCATTGGCGTGCGTATCCGCTACACGCCGCTTCGCGAGCTCCCGGGGCGCCGCTCCGCGCGAGCGGGATGCTGAGCGAGCAGTGGGAGACTGGCTTGGAGGACGAGCTGGTCGAGCTGCACCTCGAGCGCGAGCAGGCCACACCACCTCCTCGCCCGGCTATCGGCCCAAGCGCCCGGGCAATCCGCTGGCGACCGAGCTCGTCACAAGCAGAGACGTGCCTCACGGCCCAGAGGCGCAGGCGGCGTTCAAGCCGTGCCCTTCCGACTCGGACACTAAAAAAGAAATGGCCGCTTGTCCCGCGCTCGTCCCACCCTGGGTGGGGGGTGTGCGAATGGCCCTCCGTAAGCTCACGGCTCAACAGGTCCGCGAGCTCGCCCAGTCGTCGCTCCTCGCGTGCGGCGCCTCGCACCTCCAGGCGTCTGCCATCGCCGACATGCTGCGCGCCGCCGAGGAGGACGGCTGCAGCTCGCACGGCCTCTTCCGGCTGCCAGCCTTCCTCGAGGGTTGCGCTGGAGGGAGGGTCGACGCACGCGCGGTGCCGGTGGTGAGCAGCCCGCTGCCGGCGGTGGTGCGCGTCGACGCGCGGGGCGGCTTTGCGCAGGCTGCCGAGGCGGCGGGCCTGGCAGAGCTGGTCAGCAGGGCGAGGACGCACGGTGTGGGTGATATGCGGCGCGGCCAGGGCCTCGATGCCTCGTCAGGTGAGGGCGCGCGTCGCTCGCTAGGCGTGGCGATGATGGGCGTGGCCAACGCGCGCGGCATGTCCGGCGCCATGTGGTACCCAGCCGAGCAGCTCGCGATGCAGGGCAGCCGCTCCTCTCCTCTCCTCTCCGCTCCTCTCCTCTCCTCTCCTCTCCTCTCCGCTCCTCTCCTCTCCCCTCTCCTCGTCCCAAGGTACCGCACAGCCGCCCGAGCCTCCTCGGCAGGCGTCGTCTCCATCGTCTGCCACAACTCCCCGCCGTACGTGGCCGCGGCGCCGGGCAGCGCCCGCCGCGTCTTCGGGACGAACCCGATGGCGTTCGGCTGGCCGCGCGCGGGCGGCCTGCCGCCGTACGTCTGGGACCAGGCGTCGAGCGTGATGGCTCGCGGCGAGATTGAGGTGCACCAGCGGGACGGGCGTCCGCTGCCGCCTGGCGAGGTTTGGGGGCGCCGGGCCCGTCCGGCGGCGGGTTGAGCTGCGACCCTGCTGAGCTGGCGGGGCTGGTCGACAGGTGGGCGTCGGTCCGTCCGGCGAGCTGAGCTCGGACCCGGCCGCCATCCTCGCGGGCGCGCAGCTGCCGTTCGGGAGGCACAAGGGCGCCAACCTCGCCGCGATGATCGAGCTGCTCTCTGCGGCGCTCTCCAGCAGCGACCTCATTAATCAACTAGTTAATTATTAATTAATCAGCTGATTAATTAGGCGCTCTTTGGCAGCGACCTCGCCGTCGGCCAGCCAGAGGGCGCTCCCTTCGACACCTACTCGCGAGGGACGTTCGTGCTCGCCATCGACCCTGCCAACCTGCGGGAGGAGGGGAGCGCGGCAGAGCAGGGCGAGCAGCTCTTCCAGGCACTTCCTAGACACTTCCCAGACACTTCCCAGACACCTCCGAGACACCTCCTAGACACTTCCTAGACACTTCCAGGCGAGCAGCTCTTCCTGGCGCGCGCCCTCCTTCCTCTCTCCCCTCTCTCGCTCTCCCCTCTCTCGCTCTCCCCTCTCTCGCTCTCCGTTGCTCTCCCCCGCCCTCCCGCCCTCATGACCCACCCCACCCCTCGCATGCCGCAGGCGCTGCTGGGAGGCGCCGCCGACGCGCGCCTGCCGGGAGACCGGAGGCGGGAGCACCGCTCTCGCGTGGCGGCGGTGAGTCTGGAGAGAGGGCGGGGGCAGCGGGTGGTCGATCTCGCCTGACGCCGGCCGTCTTGTGGCCCTGCTGTAGGGGCGGCCGATTGAGATCCCGGAGGAGCTCTACGCGCGGATCGGCGAGCTGGTCGCGGCGCACGCCACCTCGTGAGGTGCGGTCTCCGCCGAGCGTTGAGGACGATGGGGCCCGTCCTGGCCGAGCTGGCCGCGGCGTACGGTGACGAGCCAGGCCATTCCGTCGGCGCTGTTGGCCGACGGCTTTGCCAACCCGGGCGCCGGCGGGTTGCCCTTGCCGCCTGAGCCGAGTCTCGTGAAAAGGCGGCTCTTTTTTGGTTTTGCGGGACCCGAGTGCCGAGACGCGAGAGAGGCCAGTCGCCAGAGGCGAGAGGCCGGCCCGCGCGCTTGTGCGCGCCAAAAATTGTGTGTGTGTACGTGTTTTGCAACCACTTCTTCTACTGCTGCGCGCGCGCTTGACTGTACGGCCTCTCATCCATCGATCTCCACGACTCCACCAGCACCACGTGAGAGCTGAGCTCCGCATCTCACTCCTCGTCCGGCTTCAGCATCCACGTGCGCCATCCCGCGCGCTTCTGGTCGCGCATCTTCTTCTCCGCCTCCAGTCGCGCCGCCGTCGCAGGCTCCGCCTCGCGCTGATCCGCCCGCTTCCTCGCCACTCTCGCCTTGCGGCGGTCGGCGTCTAGCTTGTTGGCCAGCGCGGCTCCTGCGCGTCCCTTCTCCTCCACGAGGGCATCGGCGGCGGTCGCGGCCTCAAAGACGGACGCAAGCGCCTGCTTGGCGCCGTATCCCACAGCGAGCACCGCGAGGAAGGCGTAGTAGTAGTCGGTTGCGTCTGTGTTGAGGTTGAGGTTCTCGACGAGGCCGGCGAGCAGCAAGGGCGACGGCAGCGCGGAGGCGGCGGCGAGCGGAGCAGCCGGCACGGCGTGTGGTGCAGGGAGCACTATTAGTGGCAGCAATGGCTTCAGCACTGCCGCGGGAAGCAAAGCGATGGCGAAGATCATGCGAACTAGCAGGTTGGCTCGCTAGTCGCTCGCCGGGCCCGCGCAGCACGCGCGGGCCTTTTTTGTGGTCGGATGTTGGTCGTCTCGAATTTGATCGTGGGCAGGGCGTGAGGAAGCTGGACTGCTCGGTCGATGCGAGCCACCAGCTCGTGAGCGACGGGCGCGCCGGGTTCCTCGGCGTAGGCTTGGGCGTGGTGAGCAGCGCCGGCGAGAGAGGGACGGCATGCGGCTCCCAAACGAGCCGCACGGGCTTCATCTGGGCCGCCGAGGCCACCTCCTTGGTCGCGGTGGCGGGCGTGAAGGCGAGGTGGGCCGAGGCAAGCGCTGAACGTGCCGTGCCGCCTTGCGCCCCTGAGGAGGGACGAGTGTGTGGGGTGCCACGGGCGGGGGGGAGCGGTGAGAGGAGAGCGGTGGGCACCCCCACGAGGGGCTGCGCGGACGCCGCCTGCCCCCCCCAGCCCGCCACTGACGCTGTGGGGGCGGTACGATCGAACGCGCTGGTCGGGCGGGCCGTCTGAGTCGCCCAAGCGGTGCTCTGCCGGCCGGTGGACGCGAGGGTGGCCCAAGAGGGCTCAAAGTACGGAGCCGATACCCGGCCGTCCCGGACGCCTGGCACGCGGGCCAATGGTCCAGTCCTGTGCATGGCTGGAGCGAAGGAGGGAGAGCTCAGGAGGGCGACGGGGCAGGGAAGGGGGCGATGCGATGCGGCGAGGTCTAATCGGCGGCGTGGAGAGAGGAGGTGCCAAAAGGCGACTATAGAGAGGCCTCTACGGGTGATATAGTGCGCCATGCCGGCGGGAGAGGTCTCTCACCGCCCCCCGGGCCGTCTCGAAGGGCCGTGCAGCCCACGCCACGAGGCGCTGCTGGCGGGAGCCTGGAAGGACTTGGCCTCGTTGCACCGCGCCGCGTTGATTCGCGACCACCGTCGGCCGCGGACGGCGTCGGCGTGGCGGCCGCGGGCGCTCGCGAGACGCGCCGCTCTGCGCTGGTTCGGTTCGTTCGACTCGTTGTGCCGCCCCACGCCCGGCGGCCGCGGGTCCCAGAAGTGGTTGCGCGGGCCTCTTCCTGGCGGCCGCGGGACGGCGTCGGGCACGTCGTCGGTCGCAACAGATGCGCGGCGAGCCGCGGCACGTCGTTGCTGGCGCTGGTGGTTTGAGGTCGGCATAGTCAAGAGCAAGGTGGACGAGTCGAGAGCTTCACCTGGTAACAGGAAGAGGGTAGGACTCTGACCTGTTCCGACCTTGATCCGACTGTGATCAGACCATACGTGAGTACAGACCTGTTCAGACCGTCATCACTTTGATTACGGTCGGATCAAGGTCCGATCACGGTCGGAACAGATGGGGCCCGTGGTGACGGCCCTATTTCCGGACCTTGATCCTTTCGTGATCAGCCCATGTTCCGACCATGCTCGAACCTATGTTCCTTCCGTGATCGGACCATGTTCGAAGAAGCGGCCCCGGCCCAGGCCCCGGTCGCCCCGGCCGCAACGGAGACAACACTCGACGGCGAAGACGACGATGCCTCCGGCCCGTCCATACTCCTCCGTGCCGCGGCCGAGATGATTGTAGACGAGGCGGAACGCCACCGCCACATTGACGCAGCCGAGGCGCTGCTCGGGCTAATTCCAACTGTGGACCTGGAGACCAGCGTCATGGGCGTTGGCGGCGAAGGAGAGGAGCCTGCCAATGAGGTCGGTGCTGGCGGCCCTGCGCCCGTCATTGGCGAGCCAGACGCCGGCCCATCACCGGGCGGGGAGGCGCCGAGGCTTGGCCTGGGGCGTGCCTGGCATGTGTGTTTTGAGGGCAGGTGGTGGCAGTGGTCCGAGCTCGTCCGTGCGCTTGACGGGTACATAAAGATAGTCGATCGCGGGCGCCACTCCCGCTTCTGGAACGGCATGGCCGGGCACTATCAAGCACCTGCTGCACAGCCGGCGGCTCTCCTGCCTGAGGCGGCTCGGCCGCCGCCGTCGTCTCGGCCGGCTTGTCTCTTCCCTCCTCAGCCGCCTCCGCATCCGGCGAATGCCCTGGTGATGGCGACGTGTCCGCCTCCAGCGCATTCTCCGGCCGCGCCGCCGACTCCGGAGCCGCGGCCTCCGCCGCCTCCTCCGCCTCCTCCTCAACCACCTCGGTCGCCGCCGCAGGCGCCTCGGCCGCCGCCTCCGCCTCGGCCGCCGCCTCCGCCTCGGCCACCGCCTCCGCCTCGGCCACCGCCTCCGCGCCCAGCGGCAGCTCGTCGCCGCCGGCAGCGTCCATGCCGAGAGGCGTGGCGGCGGTCAGAGTAGGTCGCAGACGAGACGTCAGGGGACGCACGCGAGAGCGAGCGACGTGACTGTGAATCGGCCGTGAACACTCCGACACACCCCGACCCTGTTCCGACCGTGATCCGACCTGATCCGACCGTACTCGAACAGCGGTCAGCGGCGGCGGCACCTAGGGGATTTCCAGACCATGTTCCGCCCCTGATCCGACCGTGATCCGACCATGATCAAAGTGATGACGGTCTGAACAGGTCTGTATTCAGCTTCGGTCTGATCAAGGTCGGAACAGGTCAGAGTCCTACCCTCTTAACAGGGTGCCACAGTTGTGCGGAAAGTGGGAAATATATCTCTTTGATTTAAACAAAAGAACTCTGTCTCGCAGCAGACAGGCTCGGCTTTTAAGAAATGAGCAGGTTTGGGGGGCTCAAATTGTCATTTAAGAGATTGCAGGCACGGGGGGAGCCGCGCGCGACAGCTCTCTTTACGTTTTGTGTCCTGTTTTTTTTTCTCGCCGCGGGCAGACGTGCAAACTGTGGCACGGTTTGCCTCATTGAGCACCCTGAGGAGGCTGAAGGAGGCGGCGATGCAACCGCGAAGCGACCTCTGCAAAGAGAAGCCGCGCTTCGGCGCGTGCTAACATGAAGCCCGAATTAAGCTTTGTGGAAGGATCTTCTGTGCTTTCTTCTTCTTCTTCCCCGATTGCGCGCAGGAATGGATTGTACTCAAGTATTTTTTTTGTACTTAGTCAAGTCCCAAAAAAGAGCAGGCGGACATCGCTTCCAGGGAGGGGGGCGCACTTCTGCTCACGCCCCACCCCACCCCTAGCATGTGGTGAAGGCGCTGGGGGGGTCGGGACCCCCCCCCTAGCATGTGGTGAAGCCTCTGGGGGGGTCGGACCCCCCCCTAGCATGTGGTGGGCACCCCCCAGCAGTTCGTGGGCTAGGAATAGCCGCCAGAGAGCCGATTTTGCCCCCAAAATTGTGAAATCGTGGCTGAAAGACCAATATCTTGGAGAATCTGACCAGTCTCAAGGCTAATGTAGCTCCAAAAGATGATTTTCCCCTCGAAAATGCTGCGAAATGAGGCGTAAAATCAAGGGCCCGGAGGGTCTGACCACGAGTCTCTGGGGGGGTCCTCGGCCACGACCCCCCCCCTAGCATGTGGTGAAGGTGCTGGGGGGGGCGGGACCCCCCCCCCAGCATGTGGTGAAGCCTCTGGGGGGGGTCGGACCCCCCCCCTAGCATGTGGTGTGAGCAGAAGTGCGCCCCCCTCCCTGGAAGCGATGTCCGCCTGCTCAAAACCCACCCAGTTTTTTTCTACTTGACCACCACACTCCACATCCACACAGGCTCGACGATGGCAGACACCATGATCTCTGACCGTGAGCAGTGCGCTGATGCGCTTCCCTACCTCACCACAGAGCTTTCTGCTGGCTTTCTGACCTCGACTTGACTCCTCTCCCTCCTCTCTTCTCTGCACACGCCATGGGATACGGGGAAATGCCGACGTCACCGACGTCACCAACATCGACGCCCTTCCCGCTCAATGAGGCGGACGTCCCGAACCTCTCGGACCTCACCATCAAGGTCCCTCCATTGCTGGACATTGGAGAGCTTCATCTGGGCCTTCTCAGCCCTATCTCACAGAGCACTGTGGATGAGGCGGTGTTGCAGATGTTGCAGATCGAGGATTCGGGCGACCGGATTCTCGGCCTTGCCAAGAATAAGCTCCCTGCCACCAACAGGAAGAGGAAGCGCGACCACCCTCCCGCCCCCAACCCTCACCGCTTCATCGACCGGGAAACCGAGGTCCGTGAGTATCTCGAGACCAATCCGGAGGGCCACTGGTCAGATGCCTTGTCCCCCGAGCAGCTGATCGCATGTTGCCCGAATGCGACCGACGATCAAGTCATCTCTGGGGCATTTACCTTTGCCGGTGAGGATATCAATGGCAACCCGCTATGTAGACGCTTGACTTTCGTTGGCTCCGCGCTCAAGAAGCTGTCGCTTGGCGAAAAAATCCTTCACGGACTGGACCTTCCGTGGGGTGTGGATTTCTCAGAATTCCAGAAAAAGGCCAAGGAACGATTCCCGGATGAGCAATCACGATTCAACTTTTGGAAGAGCTGTATCGACGAGGTTGTCCAAAACCAACTCACGGATGAGGCAAAGAAGAGTGCCAAGAAGGACTTCAGGGGGATCCCCTGGCGCTTGAATGCTTATGTGGATGCTCTCCAGGTACGGGGTCACTTTGCTCCATCCCGCGCTAATGGGTTCAAGGGCGGCGACGAGTGCTCCATCCTCATGCACCGGGACCCCCCCACACCATGGACGGTGACCAAGCGCCCCCCCTCCCCCTCATCTGGGGAAGACGAGGGAGACTCCTGGCTCTTCTTTTCTTCGTCAGATGAAATCGCGTCACTCTGGAGCGTTTCACAGAGCCCACTTCCTGAGGGACTCAGGGGGGCAGCTTTATAAAAAAAACAGTTGATTAAGGCAGCAGTCGAAAACCTCGATGTGAGGGCGCGCTTGAGGGGACCCGGTGCAGGCTCGGCCGGCGAACACACCACACACACCTTAGGTCTTCCCGCACCGGCGACTGCCACTCGCCTGAGCGACCGCCAGCAAGCTCGAGTAGCGTGCGGTTGCGCCGCCTCCCCTCCTTACTTGCGTCCCGTCGAGTGCCTGAAGGAATTCTGGTGGTGTCAGCGGTGAAAGAGTCAGCACCTTGAGCTGGTCTTCGGGCATGGCAGCAGCTCTTGCTGAGCAAACACTTTCTTCGAGTCCGACCACCTCCAAAGTCGCAGGCTTAATCGCGACGCTGCCAGTTCAAGGGCAAGCTCTGGGTGCCCCGACCACGGCCAGCAGTAATCGTCTGAGGCGTTCGACTGACCACGTCGCTTTGTGGTATCGTGGCAGTCTGGCGGCGCCGGTCCCTCGAAAGGCAGCTCGCCGCGCGTGGCGACCTGGCGCAGCACCGTATTCCACTCATCGACGAGTCGGCGCAAGGAACTGAACCTCGCTGCAAAGCAGTTGTCGCCCCCAACGAACGCGGTGCGCGGCCAGAACGCCAGTTTGAGGTGATCACGATAGACCTCGTCGGTCGCAACACGTGCCAGCTGATCCCACCGCCCCTCGGTTCCGAAGCAGCTGTCGACTGGGCGCCGGAGGCTATCGTTCATCGACGCTCCGTATCGGCACGATGTTGGCGCGATTGAGTCAGGGCGCATGCGGACCGCCACATCGTATTGCACGCCGCGGCGGGACGCCATGCCCAACCCTATGTCGATGCTGCGTCGCATGAGCTGCACCGCATCAATGCAGACCGTGGTGCCTGGCCAGAACTTTCTGAGGTGCGTACCTGAACAAAGAGGCACTTGCGCCGAGGCGTTTCGCACGCGCACACCAACGGGAGCTAAGAGCTCAAGTAAGCGCGTGTGACACTCTTCAGTGAGCGCCGGTGCATGCAGACGCTGCTCACGATCCAGCCATGTGCTCCCGTCGATCGCATCCCAGATAACGAGGAAAACATCGCAAACTGCAAAACGACGCCTGCACAGCGCCACCTGCGCTGCGAGACCCTGAGCGCACGACGGAATGCACGCGTGTCGCGCGTGGCCGGCAATCACTAAAGCTGCGCTGAGACTGTTCTTCAGAGTGGAGGCAGCAGGAGAGCTTACACGCGTTGTAGACATGCCGTGAAAGCTGGGTAGCACCGCCGAGAGTGAGCTCGTCAGGGCCTCTGCTGAGCGCAGCAGCTTGTGCGAATTGCCACCTTTCAGCTGCGTGTGCACGGCCTGTGCAGCGCCAAGCGAGACGGCCGTGCTTCGCATGGCACAGGCCACGTCTTCGCTCGACTTGCACTGGCGTCTCGTGCGCAGGATGGCCGGCATGCAGCACTGATCTGGCCCGCCGGGAGCAGCGGAGCAGGCAAAACAAGTCTGTGGCGAATTTCTTCTTCCTCCCCGTCTCTCCTCTATATATACCTCTGTGCCGCCTCTCTGTCAGCAAACCACACTGGACCTTACAACGTGAGAGAGCTCTCACGCCGCGCGTAGGGCCCCTAGGGGCCTAGAGAGCACAACCCCCTCTCTCTTTTCTCCCAGTAAGCTAAAAGTACGTACAACGTCGAGAATATCGTCAATCGTTTTCGCTTTGGAACGCGCAGCCATATGTCACATGCATACCAAGGTAGAGTATCTGAGGGGCTGTTCTGCAATACCTACCTTAGACTTTTGCGTTGGGTCGATATTGAGAATATTTTGACCACACGGCTAGACGGCGGATGCCAAAAATCGCTCCAAAGTGCCAAAACGCAAAAGTCTCCCAACCAGGGCTGGTGGATTAACGTTAACACGGTGTTCAAACTTTAACGGTTAACACCACAGCCGTAGAGGTGTTCAAACGTGTTAACTCGGGAGGTGTTGACACGCTCCGTTAGATGCGGGCGAGTGGCTGGCGCGAATTATTTGAAGGAGCGCTACTCGAGTACCAGAGTCCAGAGTTGTCACGCCGGCCACGCACGGCACACGCCCACGCGCTCGCTGGGCGGTGCTGAGACTGGCCGCAGCGCGATGAACGGCTGAGGGAGGGTGTAGAGGATGTAGAGTGTAGAGCGCTGTAGAGCTGTAGAGATGTAGAGCGCTGGAGAGCGCTGTAGAGCTGTAGAGCTCTACATCCGCCGCGTGACGATGCGCCTCCGTTGTACTTGTAGAGCGATGTAGAGCGCGATTTTGCTGCAGAGTTTGTTGTAGAGGGCCGTGGATGTAGAGGATGTAGAGCGAGGCCAGGAGCGAGGCAGGAGCGAGGCAGGCGGAGCGACGGAACACGTCGGCGTCTTTTGCCCCCCTCTCTGTCTTCGGTTTTAGTCCTTCTCGGTCCATTTCCGTACCGCACTCGCCCCAAACCAAACCCTGACCAAACCCGAAACCGAGTCCCTTGGGGCAAAAACCCTTGTGGCGTGTGCGTCGCGCAGCGGAGCGTCGCTACCACGCTCGAGGCAATGCCGCTCGCCTCTTCCCAGATCGACGCCGACGCGCTGGCCGCCTCCGCATCCACCAACGGCTCGCTCGGCGTGTGTGCTGGGCTCCGCAGCAGCGGCGTCGATCCGGCGTCAGCCGAGAGCTTTGGGATTCTCTGCCGAGACGATCGAGGGGTCCCGTACCACGCGGAATCGACCCTATCCCGTCCGTGCTCAAGTGCTCAAGACAGAGGAAGGGAGGGCGTTGGCCGCCTGTGCCAGCTGCGGCTGCGTGTGGGCAGAGCACCAGAGCTGCTGCCAGCAAGAGGAGTGTGAAGAGCTCACTAGCTAGAGCTCACACTAGAGGCCGTCATCGCATTCGCCCTGGGACCCAGCGCTGACTTCTGACTGTCGTTGCTGTCGACCCCTTTCTCGACTGTCTGAGCTTGTGCGTCTTGGGCACTTGGAGCACTTGGAGTGCAGTCATTAGCCTCACATCCAGGGCGTGCTACCCAACGCGGCCAAAGGATATCCACCTCGAGAACCTCGAGAGCACTTGAGAGAGGCCGTGCTTCTGTTTTTGAGAGAGATTTTTAGCAATACCAAACAACTCTAACACTCACACGTCATATGGGGCCTGGAGCCCTGTCCACGCGCGCGCGAGACGTGCAGACAGGGTTGCCAGGTGAGAGCGAATGGCGCGGTTCACGTTTGTTCTGTTTTTGTGAAGAGTCACTCCCCAAAACGCACCGGCCGCAGCTGAGGCAGGTAAGTAAAGGCGCGGTGTGCAACAAGACGCGATGGACGCCTTTGGCGCCTTCTCAAAACAGGACTACCGCAGTCTCGGAGGAGAGAGAGACCCCTCTCTCTCCACCCCCATCGGCGGCATTGGTGGCGGTGGCGGCTCCTCCGCGGCCGGCTTTGGCGGCGCAGCGCCGATGGGCATTCGCGCGAGTGGGGTGGGGAGCCCGGGCAGCAGCGGTCCGATGTCACCGCTGCAGCCGCCCGTCCCCAACCCCGCCTCCAGCTTCGGCGCGATGGCGCTCCCTCCTCGCATGGGGGCTGGCTTGGGCCGCCCAATGTCGGGTGGTGGCGGCGGCGCTCCTGGCATCGGCAGGCCTCCGCACCTCGGCGCGTACGCGGGCGGCGCGGGCGGGCTTGCCTTCGCGCCGATGGGGCCCGTCGCGATGGGCGGCGGAGGCCTCGGCGGCGGCATGGGAGGCGGCGGCGTCGGCGGAGGGATGGGAGGCGGGATGGGTGCGTATGGCGCTCCCGTGCCCGACTACCCCGACTACCGCGGCCTCGCGGGCGAGTTCGCGCTCGGGGGCGAGTACGGCGCGATGCGGCCGGCTGACGGTGGCATGCTCGGCATGGGCGGCGTCGGCCGCTGGCCCGGCCCCCTCGGCGCCAATCCCCTGGGAGGAGGGTCGCGGCTTGGCGACGGAAGGGGCGGCGGCGGGCTCGGAGGTCTGGGCGGCGCGGGAGGGCTGAGCGGGATCGGGGGCGGCGGGCTGGGAGGAGGGCTGCCGGGCGGACTGGGGGGGCTGCCGCTCTCCCACTCGCGGGCCGTCTTCATCTCGATGCTGGCGCGCCGACCCCGCCACACCGGGGCTCTGTTTGAATGCCACACTCTTGCGGCACCCTTTCCCCCACGGCGCTGTCCACTCGCACCCATACGGCCTGCCGCCGCCCGACGACCCCACAGACACGCCCTCTCTGCGGCGGCGGCCGCCGCCCTCTCCCTCCTCGCCCGCTCGCCTCCCCCCCACCCACCCACCCACCCACCCCCTCCCCGTGCCGCCCTCCTCAGCCGCCAAACATCTCCTACGAGGAGCTCTGCTCGGCCGTCGGCGCGACGCTAGATGCGGAACCGTACACGCATCGCTTGCACACCGTCACAACCACCGCCCACGCCACCGCCGCCCTCGCCGCCCTCGCCCTCGCCAACGCCGCCCTCGCCAACGCCGCCCACACCGCCTCCGCCCTCGCCACCGCCGCCGCCGCCGCCGCCGCCCTCGCCACCCTCGCCCTCCCGCCACCGCCCTCGCCGCCTTCCACGCCCCGCCTCCCACGCGCCGCCTCCCACGCCCCGCCTCCTCCCTCCGAGCAGGCGAGTTATATATATATATATAGTATATACGCCTCGTCCCCCCGAGCAGGCGAGTACGGCCCGCTCGAGTCAGTCAAGATCATCCCCGACAAGCGGCACGGCTTCGTCAACTTCGTCGACCCGGCAGACGCACTGCAGCTGATGGCCTCCACCGGCCAGCAGGCGCTCGTCTTCTGCTTCTTCTCATTAGTTATGGCTCTTCTTGGCATCCCTCCCTGGGCCAGCAGCCTACCTCCTTCCCACGGCCGGCCACGCCACAGCCACGCCACAGCCAGGACACGTCCACGACACGGCGTTGAACTCTGCCACTGCCGCGCGCAGCAGACACCGACGCGCCATCCGCGACGCGTCCGACACGTCTTCGCCCCGTCGCCTCAGGTCCCTCTGCGCGGCAAGCCGACTCTGCTGCAGTGGGGCAAGGCGCGGCCCGTGCCGAACGACCTGATGCAGGCGCCGGAGATCGGCCGGAGGGAGGGAGAGACAGCGACAGCCCGCATGAGCCAGCGACAAGCCCCCCCGCCCCCTCCTCCCCCTCCCCCCCCAGGCAATCCGCACGGGAGCAACCCGCTCCATCTACGTGTGCAACGTGCCCGAGGGCGCGTCGGAGGCGGCGCTCACCGCGGTCTTCTCCCCGTACGGCGAGCTCGAGTCCGTTCGGATGGTGCCCAAGAAGCGGGCCGCGTTTGCTAACTACACCTGCGTCGCCTCCGCCATCCAAGCGCGCGAGCGGCTGCACGGGCGGGCGAGGCCGGCGCCGTTTGCAGAGGCGGCGGCGGCCGAGGCGGCGTCGGGCGTGCCCGGCTCGGGCAAGCCGCTGCTCATCAACTTCACCTCCTCGCAGCAGAATTGCATGCGCGCGCGCAACGGGCGGCCTCCGCCGTGGCACGGAGGCGCTTACTTTGAGAGGCCGGCGAAGGGGCGCGGGTGGGGCGGCGGGCGCGGGCGGGGCTTCTTCGGTGGCGGGAGGGGAGGGCCGAGCAGCTACGGAGGGAGCAGCTACGCCGCCTCGATCCCCACCCGGTCGAGAGGGCTCTACTTCGGCTCTCTGCCCGACTCTGCAGGGCTGGCCGAGCTGGCGTCGCTCGTCGAGCGGTACGGCGTCGTCGAGTCGATGCGGCTCGTGCGGCCGAAGAGCTGCGCCTTCATCAACTTTTTCCTGGAGGCCGCCGCACCGCACCAAACCTCCGCGCCACACCTCCTCCACCGCCACACCCTCCTCCACCCCCACCACCGCCACCACCGCCACACCCTCCTCCACCGCCACACCCTCCTCCACCCCCCCCCACCGCCGCCGCCGCCACCGCCGCCGCCGCCGGCGCCGCCGCCGGCCTCGGCCCTTCCTCGGCCCTTCCTCGGCCATTCCCTCGACCCTCCGCCCCTCTTCCGCCCTTGTAGGACGTCGCCGTGGCCGTCCTCGAGCACCTCTCGAGCGACGAGGGGCGAGGGCTGCTGCTCAACGGCAAGCGGCTCACCGCAAACTACGCGAAGGCGCGCGCGCCCACCGGCGAGCAGCTGGAGCAGTACGAGGGTGGCGCGCGGCGCAAGCTGCGCCTCCGCTTCCGCGCCGCCGCCCCGAGCGAGAGCGAGGTCAAGGCGGCGCTGGGCAAGGCGGAGGCGCTGGTCTGCGTCGGGGAGGCGGAGGCGGGCGGGGAGGGCGGGGAGATCCTCCAGGTCGACTTCGCCTCCGTCAGTGCGGCGTGCGCGGCGAAGGAGGTGAGCCGGGGGGGGGAGGGGGAGGCGCGGGGCTGAGAGGCCAGACGTCGTGTGCGGGTCCAGAGGCGGCGCTCGGGGGCAGAGACGCGGGGCCAGACGCGCCGCTTGGCCCCGCTGAGCACGCCCTCGCGCCCCTGTCCCCAGGCGCTCGAGGAGGGCGAGGGCGAGGGCGAGGAGGGAGGAGAGGCGGGCAGCGCCGAGGGCGGCGCTCAGCCGACCGCAGCCAGCAGGCGCGCCCCCCGCACCCTCCACCCGCCCTTCCTCTCCTCCCGCCTACCCTCCTCCTCCCTCCTTCGCCACCTCGAGACCTCGCGACTGCCTCCGCAGGCTCGGCGTCGTCAGCGTCGAGTTTGTCGTGGAGCCGGTGGAGGCCCTGCCGACGCCTCCCGCCGCCAACGGCGCGGCGGATGCCGCGGCGGGCGGCGAGGGCGCGGCGGAGGGGGCGGGGAAGGAGCTCGTCGACGAGATAGTGTCTGGGCTTGGCGAGGCCGCGCTCGGCGACCCGCCAGCAGTGGCTGCCATTCTGACGGAGGAGGCGGAGGCAGCCAGCCTCACCTAGCCGGCTCGCACGCGCGGGCGAGCCGCCTCCGCCGCGTCCGGCTCGCCGGCAGGCCAGCCTGCGTCACACAGCCTGCGTGGCTCCGGGCGGGCGGGCGGCGGCAGCGGCGGCGGGGGGGGGCGAGATCGCAGGCCGCGCCGGCGAGGAGGCGCCGGAGCGCTCTTAGTGCGATGTACCAACGACTCGGCGCAGGGCGGACGCGGCACATTGGCGCCCGCCCTCGCGCCGGCTGCTCTTGCGGCTTTGGGGATGAGACACGCATGGCTGTCTTAACTTATGTGCAATGCTTGGGCCTGGGGGGAGAGGGCGTGAGGAGGCACAGCGCACAGGGCGGGTGTGTGCCTCTCGAGACCGGCATGGCATGACTCTTGCGCCGCGCTGTGCTGTAGTGGGCTGCGGGGTTCGATATTCGGGCGAGCAGGTGCTTGGGGATTGCCGGTCTAATATGGACCCGGGGCTGGTGTCGCGGTCGCACACACGCTCGCGCCTCTTTATTATCCTTTAATATATTCTAGACGCCGCCTCTCCACACTCAGGACGCAGCATGCACGAGCAGCGCCAGCGCGTCGCGCGTGCCACCTCGCACACCTGCCTGCTGCCACCTCGAAGCTGGCAAGCTCGACGTCCATCTCTCTGCGGTCGAGGGCTTGTCGAGGCTTGCACATGGGTTCTCGCGTCGCGGGCAGTGGGCACCAGCCCACCACCACATCACTGAAAAAAAAAATAAAATATTCTTAGCTTCAAGCCCCCCTCCGAGACTAGGGACAGTCACCACAGATACATACGTCGGTGGGAGTGCCCCCCGCCCCCACTTGCCCTGACTGCACAGGATAGCGTGCCCCGATAACGGCGACACATAGTGGGGGACACCACGCAAGGAGAGGGTGCGAAGGCTCATTGGGGTGCTAGGTGGGACCATGAGGGGGGGTGGGCGGGGTCCTGTGGGGGTGAAATGTTGCGCGGCGAATTCGAACCTACCCCCTCGCCGCGCCGATCCTCACGCGGAGGGTAAAACCCTGTGGGACAAAACCCCCCCGCGGTCGGCAGTCTTCAGAGTGGACCCCCCCCTCCCCAGCCTCCCCTGTGCATCTCGCACCCCCCCCCGCTCCCCATCGGTGACTCGCGAAGGACACGGACACTCGGGGTGAGGGGGGGTCCCCCCGGAGGGGGCTCTGGGGCATTGTTGGGTTGATCGCTCGTGCCGATCTCGGGTCGATCTCGGGTCGATCTCGGGTCGATCTCGGGTCGATCTCGGGTCGATCTCGGGTCGATCTCGGGTCTCGGGTCGGTCTTGGGTCGGTCTCGGAGTGGTCTAGATTTAGAAAAAATGGCGCGTGATGAGGCGAGATGAGGCGAGGTGAGGCGAGATGAGGCGAGATGACCACCACATCACTGATCACACGACAGCCTAGGGCGGGGCTGGCGCGGCCTGGAGGTGCCGGAGACAGTGGATCGTGCATAAATATCTTCAGTCCCGGATTCGCCTCTCTCGGATACGTTCGAAGGCGGTGGCGGTGGCGAATGGGCACGTGTACACACAGAGCCTCGCACCCTTTCGCCCTTCTCATCACTGCCCCGGCGCCCACGTCTCGATCTTCTTGGGCAGCAGCTGGTTGGACAGGTCCTCCCCGTGGCCTAAGCAGCCGTACTCGCCCTTGCCCCACGTGAAGACGGCGCCGTCGGCGGTGATGGCGAGGCTGTGCGAGAGTGCAGCAGACACAGCGACGACGCGCTGGCCAGCCAACGCCTCGATCTTCTTCGGCAGCGGCTGGTTCTGCTCGTCACCGTGGCCCAACCTGACAAAGATGCCACCGCCCCAGCTCCAGACGCCGCCGTCGGCGGTGAGGGCGAGGCTGTGGTACAGCCCAGCCGACACAGTGACGACGCGCTGGCCAGCCCACGCCTCGATCTTCTTCGGCAGCAGCTGGTCCTGCGTGTCGCCGTGGCCCAGCTCGCCGTAGCGACCATTGCCCCAGCTCCAGACCTCTCCATCGGCGGTCATTGCGAGGCTACTCATATTTCCGGCCGAGACAGCGACGACGTGCTGGCCAGCCAACGCCTCGATCTTCTTGGGCAGCAGCTGGCGCTGCTCGTCGCCGTGGCCCAGCTCGCCCCTGCCTCCACCGCCTCCACCGCCCCAGCTCCAGACGGCGCCGTCGGCGGTGATGGCGAGGCTGTGGGTCTCTCCAGCCGAGACAGCGACGACACGCTGGCCAGCAAAGGCCTCGATCTTCTTGGGCAGGTGCTGGTGCCAGCGGTCGTCGCCGTGGCCCAACTGGCCTTCGCCTCCAAAGCCCCAGCTCCAGACGGCGCCGTCGGCGGCGAGGGAGAGGCTGTGGTTGTCTCCCGCCGACACAGCAACGACGCGCTGGCCAGCAAAGGCCTCGACCTTCGTCGGCTGCCACTGCTTCTGCTCGTCACCGTGGCCCAACCGGCCAGAGGCTCCAAAACCCCAGCTCCAGACGGCCCCGCCGGCAGTGAGGGCGAGGTTGTGCGCATCTCCGACCGACACGCTCACGGCGCGCTCGCCGCCCAGCGCCGAGGGGAGGCGCGTCGGCGTGTTGAGCCGCGTCACGCCATCGCCGTGCACGAGCAGCGCTGGAACGTAGGACGGCGCAGAGCCGCACGACGAGAGCCGCCCCTCGCCGTCGATGAAGTCGCTGTGCCGATAGCCTGCCGGCGGGTTGGACTCGCGCAGCAGCGCCGCAAAGCACAGCCACCGCACGGCGCAGCTCTCGTCCTCCGGCTGCACCGGCAGCTCGTGGCCGCGCTCTTGCGCCCTCAAGCGGATGCCCTCTACCGCAAGCGAGGCGTGGAAGAGGAGCGAGACGGCCGCGACGCGAGCGATGTCGGCGGGGTCGCAGCGAGAGACGACGCGCACGAGGAGGTCCGTGGGGAGATCGAGGAGGCGGGTGGATGGCGGCGTGTCTGGCGAGGGAGCGGCGGTGGAGGAGGAGGCGAGGCGGCGCGAGCGGCGGCGCGGCGGGGTGGACATCGCGAGAAAAAGAAACCGTGGTGCCCCCGGGGTCCCGTCAGCCACCGAGATCCTGTGCTTCATGGGCAGCGAGCGCTTGCTCGTCGGAGAGAGAGAGAGACTTTTAGCAATACCAAACAACTCTAACACTCACACGTCATTTGGGGCCTGTTCACGCGCGAGACGTACGTGCAGACAGGGTTGCCAGGTGTGAGGTGAGAGCGAATGGCGCGGTTCACGCCTCGCACAACAGAGAGAGAGAGCGCTCTGCATGGTGGGACATAAAAGAGAGCGAGTACTTGGGCGAGGAGGCCGTGCGGTCAACGCTGCCGCGCGCGTTGTCTCGTCGGCCGGTCGCACGAGGACAACTTTCCGCCGCAGATCACGTCTCTGCGGGCCAGACGACCAGGGGGGGGGGGGGGGGCGTGTTTTTATCTCTTTTACACTTATGTGGTCTTTTGACCCCTTTCAGCGACACGCGGACTTCACGGCCACAAGTCGACACAAGGGCAAGACGTCCGTCCACTCACTGCGCAGCGGGCCCTTCTGCTCGTGTGATGGTCGTCTGGTTCGATCAGCTCGACGGTGCCGTCGATACGTGCGCCGCCGCTGGCATTCCATTCTGCAGCCTGTGGGTCTGGTTCGGCTGGAGCAGCGTGCTCAATGAGGTTCGACACTGGATAACAGATCATGCAGCACGGATCCTACCGATTGTCGACCGCGCGTCGGCCACGTGGGAAGCGAGCTGGGCCTCCCGCGCTGCCGCGTTTACTGCCCTCGGTGCACCAAGCCATTACCATGGTGTGAGGCCTTCCCACAGCTCGCGTCGCACTTTACTCCCGCGCCGCCACAGGTTTACTGTTCATGGTGCAATCTCAAGGCGGCGTCTCCCCTCATGAAGTCGTCGCAACGCTCTCCCACAGTCTTGAGACGATGACCTGGTTTGCTGGCTCGGTGCTGCGGCTGCCACGGAGGTGCCGGCCTCTACTGGGCGAGAGCTTGTGAGCTTCTGCTATCCCCGTGGCTGCGAGCAGGCACATGCTGCCCCTGCTCGGCGGCACACGGCTTCTCGCGCCGGTCATCCGTATCACTGCGGGAGTGCTGCCGGGCCAGGCGCAACCGCCGCCTCGGCCTCAGAGAGAGAGAGAGAGACCGTCACTTCCCCTCGCGATTGGAATGGCTGACCTCTCTGAACAACGGATGGTGCGCAGGCGGTCTGGGCATCCCTCGGCGTCTGCCTGTCCGACGCCTTCGGCCTCACGCCCAGCCACCTGCGCCTCTCCCCTCGCAACCTCCTCTCCTCTGCTCTGGGCGGCCTCACTAGAGGAGGGGCAAGGGAGGTTGACGGCTCGCGGCCTCCGATGGCACTGTGGCTTGCCGCAGCCGCGGTGTGGTGCGGCGCCGGTCTGACTCTTGGATGACAGGGATGGCTGGAGCGACATGAGTGGTGGGGGTCGTATCGCGAGATCGTCTCGCCGGCTCGAGATTTTTTAACGCTCTCGTCTATGAACACGTATGCGTTAGTTCGTTAAAAATATATATAAGGGAGTAGTGTCTCGGCAACGTCAAGAGCGCGTGGGATTGGCAATAACCAACATGAATGGCATCAGCGATCAGGGTGGAGAGACTGGAGTCTCGTCTCTCAATGATATGAAGATTACTACTAGTTCCTCTCACACAAAAAGGCCGCGGGCGGGGGGAAACGCCGCTCAATTTAAGGCACAAGGGCCCTGAGGGGCTCTCCCGTTTCTCAACGCTCAAGCGCTCTCCCAGCAACCACGCGGCGCAGGAAGCCGCCCGCCACCGGTTCGGACTCGCTCAGCCGCAGCCCGGCGGCCGTCACTAGCGCGGCCACATCCTGATCGTACGCGCACGTCGCCGCGACGGCGGAAGTGCCCCGTGTGAAGGCGAGCGCACGGCTCACGGGCCTACGCGCCAGAAGAGCGTCTGTAAGCTCGAGCCTCGACTGCAGGGGCAGCGGACGGCAGCGTGGCGGGGGCGACGCAGACCCGTCGTCGTGCTCGAGCAGGACCACCTCCCCGCCCGGCCGCAGCACCCTCCGCACCTCGGACAGCACCGCGCCAGGCGCCTAGCGGGTGCGGCTGCGCGGGTCCGGCAACACCAGCTAGGCAACACGCCGGGGAGCCGCTTCTAGCGGCGCGCCTCAAAGACGCACAGGCCGAAGGTGTCGACGACGGCGTCGAAGCTGCTGTCGGGGAAGGGCAGCGCGGCGGCGTCGGCGATGCGCAGCGTCACGCGCGGCCTAGCAGGCGCTCCCTCATGAGACCTATCGCGCCACCCTCACTCCCTGCACAGCGGCTCTGGCGGGGGTTTGCCCGAGCGGCAGATCGCCGGCTCTTCGCCGCGCCAGCTCGAGCATGCCTGCGTGCGGGGTCGGGGCGGCGGAGCTCGGAAAACGAGACGAGGACCGCTCGCTCTGCGGAACGGGCGGTGCGGGCCAGTGACGGAGGAGACGCGCCGGAGGAGGCGTCGATGCCGGTTAGGGTGCGGACGCTCGCTGGCTCGTAGAAGGGAAGGTTGAGGCCGGTGCCGACGCCCAGCTCGAGCACGTCGCCTGTACCCGACGGGAAAGACTGAATGGCAGTCGGCGGAAACAGCCTCGGGTCGCACCAGCGTGGTCGCCGTGGGCACGTGTCGCCACGCTCCTCCGAAGTGAGTCAAAGCCGACCGCACGGCTCACCAGGCTGTTGGCGTAGGCGGCGTCGTAGGCTGACGCCTCGGCGTCATAAATAGCGGCGGTTGTCGGCGACGCGGCCACGGCTTGTGGCGGTGTGGCGATGACTGCGGCTGCCGCAGCGGCGCAGAAGCAGCGCCGGTCGGCAAGGCTCCTCGATCCCGGGCTGACGGCGAGGTTGAGAAGTGAGAGCGGGAGCATTCTTCGCCGTCAGTCAGCTTGGCACTGCGCGGCGTGCCGACCACGGGTTTCTGCAGGGTGATATCCTGTGGCCGCGTTGGTTGGAAAAAAAGAGTGATGCTGCTACCAGGGACCTTGGGCTCGTATTATTACGAGTGAACTACAGGTAGTGGGGAAGGCAGCCTCGATGGCCATACAGACATGGGTGCGAAACAACGACAAGACCAAGGCACGGGCAGAGGAACGAGAGAAGAATATAGAGTGGATAAAGCGCCTGTTCACGGCATGGAGGGTAAGCCACGCCGAACGCAAAGAAGCCGGGGAAGACGACCCCGAGGAGGACGAAACAAAAGTGGAAATCCCGCCGTCAGCTGTCACAATATACCCGAAGGGAACCCCAGTGCCAACACCGACCATTGAGGTACAAGTGCTCGAAACGAGAGTGGACCTGAGCAACGACATGACAGGGCGGGATATGCTCGCAGTGGGAGTCAGAAATGTGGTCCTTGCGCGAGGAATGCTCGATAAACTCGAGGGACCAAAATACGCGGAGAGGAGAGCGGAGTTACGCAGAAAGGCGAGAGAAGCAGCGAGAGCAAGAGATCGGCAGACGACAGCGGCGTCTCAGAACGAGGCCGAGGAGAGCGATGAGTCAGGGGAAGAGACAGCAGGAGAGAGAACGACGAGAGTGAGAAGAATGCGAGGTGGCATGAAGGTCGCTGCAAGAATTGGTGATAAACTGCGGAGAGAGATAGGAAGTGGTAGACGCCCGAGGGTGGGCGACGGCTAACACCACACTTCTCCCCTAAAATCCCTGTGTGGTGGCGGCGTACCGTCCTCCCATCCCTCCCTTGGGTTGCCTGTTTTCTTTCTTTTTTTTTGTATTATTAACAACGAAGGCGCTCTCAAAAAAAAGAAAGTATTTATCTGTCGGGAGGACAGAACGAGGGATTTTAAGGAGAGGAGTGTGGTGCTAGCCGTCGCCCACCCTCGGGCGTCACCACTTCCTATCTCTCTTCGCAGTTTCTCACCGCGTTGGTTGGCCGCGTTGGGTAGCGGGCGCTTGCCTTTCTTTTCACGCGTACCAAACGTACCAAGAAACTTGATTTGCCAACAATATACCTACAACAAGAAACTGAATAGGATTCCTAAGTCTGTCTCGAAGGAGGGCGCCTGGGTCTAAATTTAGTGCGGTGTGACGTGTTTATGTACTGCATCTTTAGTGCACTTTAGAGAGAGATTTTTTAGCAATACCAAACAACTCTAACACTCACACGTAATTTGGGGCCTGGAGCCCTGTTCACGCGCGCGCGAGACGTGCAGACAGGGTTGCCAGGTGAGAGCGAATGGCGCGGTTCACGCCTCGCACAACAGAGAGAGAGATGTTCACTTTAGAGAGAGAGATTTTTAGCAATACCAATAGAGTTGTTTTTGTTTTGCACTTTAGCGCGAATTTAGTGCGAATTTAGAGAGAGAGATTTTTAGAAGCCAACAAGAAATTGCAACTTTAGTGCAAATTTAGCGCAAATTTAGCGCAAATTTAGTGCGACTTTACATCCAGATTTAGCGAGGTTTAGTGCGTCTTTAGTCCAGCCGCGCAGTAGGATCCAGCCGCAGCCCCTCGCTGGGCCTCCCTCCCCCTGTCCCCCTGCAGTCCCCTGCCCACTCGCAAAAGTTCCCCGTCCCGTCCCCAACCGAACGAAGTCGAAGAAAGCAGCTGAATATCAACCTCCGGTGCTTTCCGGGTTGCTTCTCCGGGCCCCGCCGAGCGGCAAAACGATTGCCGGGAAGCGGGGCGTGAACATAACGACTTTACTGCGATGGCAGAGCAGACGATGGTGGCGCTGCTGTGGCAGCAGGGAGATGCGAGGGGCACGCTCAACCTGCCGGCGTCGACCAAGGTGGAGGACCTCAAGCTGCGCCTCAACGCGAGCGACTGCGATGCGGTGATGTTTGACGCGGTCATCATCGAGGTGAGGAAGGCCGGCTCTGTCCTCAAGCGCGGTCGGAGGTGGGGTTGTGCGGTCGGAGGTGGTGCTTGCGGTGGCGCATTCAACTGTGCTGGTCCTCCTCTCGGGAATCGGTGCTGTGCCTGTGCTCAGTCGGGAGATCTTGCTCTGGAGGGCGGCATATCTAGCCTCACTGGGAGCCTGCCTTTGGGTCATGAGGGCAGGGGCCAGGCATCTCCTGTGGTGCATTCTTGGCAGCCAAGGAGCAAAGCACGCGGCCCTGGCTAGCTGTGGTGTGGCCGGGAAGCCGTGCTAAAGGTGCGTGCCCGCACTAAAGATGCGGGACCCACACTAAATGTACTGCAGCTGCCCGCACCTAAAGTGAACTAAATGTGGCGCTAAATTGGAGATAAAACACACTAAATATGTGCTAAATATGTGCTAAATTTGCACTAAATTTGCACTAAATTTGCGTTAAAGTCGCACTATATACGCACTCGAACACGCACTAAATAGCGCACTAGGGGGACGACACTGCCTCGGCAGCGTGCACCTCGATCCTGTACCGTGTTTGTTATGACCCCCCCCAATGAACACACCAGTGAGGGAGGGCGAGACGATCGAGGGGTCCCGTACCATGCGGAATCGACCCTATCCAGTGCTCAAGTGCTCAAGCGCACTAAACTATCACTAAAGTTCATTCACACGCACTAAATTTAGACCCAGGCGCCCTCCCTCGAACCGGCCATCAGCGCGCTGCGTATCGATACTTTCCCCTGGTCCTCGCCATCCTCTAACGAAAGAGCGCGTGGAAGCGATACACACAAGCGCTGCTTGCGAATCGGCACGGCGGCATGCTCGGTGGCATTCGGACTGCCGTTCTACGCCATGTCTCTCGCCTCCTCCACGGCTGCGGCAGCCTACTTCACTGGCTCGCGGCTCTCTGCACGCCGAGGCTGAACGACCACGTGCGTCCGGTCCTATGCTTTGGCGACTCGATCACCGAGGGCTACCACAACATTTGGCCTCACAAAACCATCGCGCCTCAGCGCACGCTTCCGGCCAATGTCAACAGTCACGAGCACGCCGCGCTCCTCTGCCACCCGTACAGCATACGCCTCGGCTCGCTGCTGGCGGACGACGTCGGCGACGGCGCAGGCGGCTACAAGGACTCGCTCCGCTACGCACGCGCACGGGCCTACTCGGGTTGGACAGCGGAGGAGCTGCTGCCGGTGCTTCGCCGCTCGCTGCGCGAGGGTCCGTGGCGCTGCGCCGTCATCATGGCCGGCTGCAACGACATCCTCTGGCGGAGCGCGAGCGCGGCGACGACCCTGACGCACCTCGAGGCGCTCTACGCCGCGTGCGACGAGGCGGGTGTGCCCGTTGTCGCGCTGAGCAACACGGAGGCCGACCTCGGCGAGTTCTTCAGCGGTGAGCAGCTCGCCGAGCGGACGGCCGCGCTGCGCGAGGTGGCGGCGGGCGTGCTGCAGATGCGCTCCAAGCGTGCTGTCGCCGACGTGCGCGCCGCGCTGCCTCTCGGCGCGCAGCATTTTGACGACGCGCTGCATCCGTCGCCTGCGGGTTCCGACCGGATAGCGGAGGCGGTCTTTCAAGCGATCAAGCTGCACGGGCTGTAGCTGCCTTCCACACACACACACCCAGGTGCTGCATATGTGAGAACGCCATGTGCGCCATGTACCATGTTACAATAAATTACCCTGTCGCTAGCTCAGAAACACCACATATCTAGATGCACAGTCACACACAACCGCAATATCATACACGCTAGACAGAGCTCAGCCGGACAGTTGGACAATTCCGACACACTCAGTCTCAGATACTGCGCGTCGCTCCCCACGCTCCAGCGCAGCAGCACACGACACAGCTCACAGGGCTCAATACACAACACACCGCGAGAGAAACACCGCTCACCGTCTGCATGTACATGCATGTCGGAAGGGGAGAGCATGCCTCGAACTGGTCACATGCGCCGAGCCGCCGAGGCGACCCACACCCTCCCACACCGCCCTCCCCGACTCGGTCACCTCGCCCTCGCGGCCGGACGGTCGCGCCGCCCTTTCTTGGCGCGTCCCCGCTCGCTCCTCGGCACCGGCAGCGGGCGAGGCGTGTGCCGGTTGGTGCGCGAGTGGCGGTCCGCCACGAAGGTCGCCCACGCCTCCGGCTTGACGAGGTGCCGGAACCCCATCGCAGACACGTACCCCGTCAGCATCTTTGTGTGCTGCGACGACTCGCAGCCCGGCGCCGTGTTCGAGTCGATGTGCACGCGCACGACGTCGACGCCCTGCCGACGAGAGAGGGGCGTGTCTGGGACGGGCCTCGAGGACGTGTCTAGCCAGAGGCGGAGGCGGAGGCGCCTTCTCGCTCAGCTCCTGCGCCGCGTTGAGAGCGAGCTCGACCTACAGTCAGCATGCGCGAGACATGCGCGAAAAGACACGTCCTGCAGCAGCTCCTTTGTGAGGCTCCACCTCGCGCAGTAGCCGGGTCTGCAGCACCGGAACTGTCTGCAGCGACTCCTCGCGCCGCGCGTAAAAGTAACGTCCGGCGTGGCCGACGGAGACGACGCAGACCACGACGGCGAAGGTGACCCGGTCCTGCGGAGGCGCGAGAGGACGGGTGGCCGTAGGAGTCTCCAGGCTTCCGGAAGTGCGTAGAGTGTGACTCACCCTGTCGACTGCCGAGTCGGCCCCGACGTGCACCTCGACCTGTTGCCGACTCTCGTGCGCACGCTTGGCCTCTGCCACCAGCCTCTCAAACGAGGTCCCTTTGCCAGTTCCATCGCGCCAGTTCCAGACATCCACTTGAGCGGCAACAGGAGAGCCGACTGCTCCGCCGACGCTGACGCCGCCACCGCCGCCGCCGCGCATGACTGCACGCAGGTGCGCACTGCTATCTCCCACTGAATAAGCGCTGGACGGCGAGGGGGCTAAGGGCCGCAGGAAGGCCGCGGAGACAGCGGAGAGGACAAAGTGCATCGCAGCAAGGTTCGAACTTTTTCCGGGGTACGGGATCTGCTGCACGGCCTGAAGGGGTGACTTATGGTCCTGACCGCCCAAGACTAGCCCTACCATACCTCCAAGCAGGGTCTGCCAGCAGGCGCGGGGGGGGGGGGGGGGGGTAAAGAATGTCTCAAACCTTGGGTTGGCCACCCTCCCCAATACCATACCCCGCAAAAAAGTGCCACCCCCTGCTCAGAAAAAGACCCGTTAAAAACGAACCCGGGGGCCCCCCCTTGGGGGGGGAAACCCCCTGGGGGGGCCCCGGGGAAAATCTTTCCGGGGGGGGGAGCCCCAGGGAAAAAAAAGGGTTGAAAAAGTTGGAACCCTGGCCTGCACTGGGCCTGCATATAAAAGAATTTTAGACACAAAAGAATTCCACTACGCCACAGGACCCGCCGCCGTTGCAGCTGCCAATGCCGAGAAATGTTGAGAGGGATGTGTGGGATGAGAGAAGTCAGGGGACGTCTGAAGCGGCGAGCAAAACTAGTTGTGTTTAAAGCCATCTCGACCTCGTCGTCCTCGTCGTCCTCGCGCATCCGCTCGCGCGCACGCGACAGGTCGTCCCACAAGAAGACGCATCCCTCGCCGCCGGCGCATCCTTTCGACCGCCGAAAATGGAAAAAGTCTCCTCCCGACACCCCTGCTCACTGCACAGTAGCACACTGGTGACCCCCGCTGAGCTCCTGTGTGTCTCTCGCGAGTCGTGTGTGTGGCTCGCCCCTCCCCAATGCACCACCAATGCATCGCGGTAGAGTCCTCTCAACTCACTTATTATATGCACACACATATGTCACCGAGACTCGGTATACACAAAATGCGCCTGCGGCGGACCCACAAAGCTCACAGCTCACATACCGCATGTCGAATAGAGGGGCTATCACCGCCGCCACTGCTGCTGCTGCCACTGTCTACTCGCGCCGCGGGCCGCGGCGCCGCGGCCGGAAGGCCCTTAAAGGCGAAATTGTGCTCTGTTCCGGACCCGCGCCCTCGCTCTGCAGGCGACTCTGTTCCAGATCCGAGCCCTCGCTCTGCCGGCGACTCTGTTCCAGATCCGAGCCCTCGCTCTGCCGGCGACTCTGTTCCAGATCCGAGCCCTCGCTCTGCCGGCGACTCTGTTCCAGATCCGAGCCCTCGCTCAGCCGGCGACTTGAATTAATCTTGTCTGTGCGAATTCGGCGTTGCAGGATGTCCTCCTGGGATTCGACTGGAGCGCGTATGCGAACGAGCCGCGCCACCGACATGAAGTGGCGGAGCCGCTGCAGCTTCCGCCGGAGCAGTCCCGCATCGCACGACACGGCTCCCATGTGGCGCAGCACGTGGCGCAGGCTCACCTTCCGGTGCTCGGGCGAGCCGTAGAGGGGTATGGCGAGCGCGTTGTAGAGGCTGTAGGGAGGCTGCAGCAGCACTTGCGGCGTCTGCCCTTGAAAGAAAGTGGAGAAGGGGCAGCCTCCGAGGTTGGGCGTCTGCTCGTGCACCATCGCGATCGTGATGTTCCGGTCCATTGCCGCCTGCACCAGCCGCGCGACGGTGCCGTCTGGGTCGTACCACAGGCGGCTCGTCATGTAGAGCAGGAGCACGTGATGAGAATCGTCGACGCGATTCTCGAGCGCGTCGTCCGCCTCGCGGATGGCCACGACGCCGTCCTTGGCCGCCTCGGGCGCCAGCGCGCGCCCCTTCTTGGCCGCCTCCTGGACCTCCTCCGCCACAGACCAGGCGCCGTCGTTGTCGCGGCACACGAGGATGGTGACGGGGCCGACAAAGGCGTACGGAGGAACCTCCCCCGCCACTATCACGCCCGCGGCGAGGGTTTCGGGGTGCCTCATGTAGTACGGGGAGTGTCTCAGCATGCGCAGCGCGATGGACTTGAGCGACTCGAGCTGGAAGGCGTTCACCCGCACCCACAGGATCGGGTCCTCTTTTTCAAAGATACGGGCCACCATCTCGGCCGGCCCTGAGTAGGAGGGGTAGGTGCCCAATCCGGCGTCGTCGACGCAGTTCGCGCGGCACTCGGCCTCGAGCACCTCGAGCGCTGCGCCGCCCTTCTCGACATCGGCCTCGTGAATCGGGATGAAGGGCCGGTCCAAGGCGAGGCCCGCGTAGAGCTCGCGGCGGCAGTTGCGGCTTTTGAAGTAGCCCACCGACAGAAAGACGAGGAAGGTGGTGGCGTCGCCGACCGACTCCTCGAGGGCTCCGAGGTTCTCCAGGCAATCCACATCCAGCCAGATCCTCACGTCGGGCATCACCAGCTTCATCTGCCGAACGATGGTGTGCGTCTGGTCTTGCCCCGTGGACCAGATGTGGCTGATGAAGCCGTGGAAGTGGCACTTCTTCGACAGGTCCATCACCGGGGCGCGTCTGTTCGAGAGAAGCCGGATGGTGGGCGCGCGGAGGGCGCTGATGGCCTTGAAGACGACGAGGACAAGCGACACGGCGATCATCGTTACGCTGAGCACGATGACAAACTCGCTCGCGCCGAACGCGCTCTGGAAGCCCACGAGCGTGTCGCACATGTCCTCGTAAGCGGCGCTCTCGCAGATCTGAACCACGGTGCCGAGGACGAAGCAGCAGGTCAGCAGCAGGTTGGCGGTGCACGCGAGGTAGAAGTCGTCGAAGCGCTTGAAAGGCTTGACGAGGGCGAGGGCGGTGAGGAAGAGGGCTGAGGTGACAGAGGCGACGACGAGGCGAAGCAGCTTGGACGATCCGTCGTCTGTCTGGATGAAGAGCACCAGCGATGCGAGGAAGAGCTTGCGGTACAAGTCGGCAAGCTCCCAGTAGTGGCAGCTAGCGTCGTAGTCGCGCCAGAGGAAGCGGCAGGCGCGAGAGAGCCTTGTCACACGCTGGGCCCGCACGTTGCGGCGGATCCAGAGCAGCAAGCCGAGGAGCACAAGCGGGACCAGCACCGGCCAGAGCACGAAGAAGGCCCAAAAGTAGGCGTCCAGCCCGCGGTACATCTCGTCGTCGGCGCGGCAGAGCACCTCGAGGTCGGCCACGAGGTAGCTGCGTCGCGCGGTCGCGTCAAAGACGCTGATGCCAAACGACTCGCACATACGTGCCTTGAAGATGGAGCGAGAGACGGAGGGAAGAACGAAGTAGGCAACGAGGATCGCCAAGTACAGGATCCGGCTCCGCGTCTCTCGGACAAGTTCGCGCCAGCGGTGCTTGTTGAGCTCCGAAACGGTGACCTCACCATCGCCATCTGTGTCGATGACGTCGACGTCCTCGATGTGGTCGGCGATGCCGTCACCGTCCGTGTCGACGGCGACGACACCACGGTCGGGGATGCCGTCACCGTCCGCGTCGACGGCGGTGACACCACGCGTACCAGACATGCCACCGCCGTCCTGGCCACCGTCGCCTTCTCCGTCGCCCTCATCAGAAACTGGACCTCCTGCTCCGGCTACTCTGCCAGAACTGGATTTCCAGAGCAAAAGCCACACTGCTAGCGCATGGGCGGCAAAAGCGGCGCTTCCGAGCAAAACGACGGCAAATGGCCACAGAGCGGCGAGCAGCAGCCGGTGGCTCATCGAGCCGATGCAAGCGTCCGGGTAGGTCAAGCCGAGGAGGTCGAAACTGAAGAATTCGAAGACACTCATCCAACTGGTAAAGTCCTCGTGCAGTCGAGCGCCGTACACGGGGCCGAGCGTCGCAGCGACCTGGTAAAAGCTGACCACAATCTTCAACTTGGGTTGAAACCCGACGCGCGCCTCAAGTTGGCTTAGCCGGGTCGCCACCTCAGGGCCAAAGATGCGGCTGAGCGCCTTGACGGCGATGCGGCTGAGTGCACGGTAGGAGAGGAATGCCGTCCCTGCGAGAGCGACGAGCGCTGCTGCTAGGATGCCAAACCGCCCCACTGTCGGGCAGTCGGCGCAACCTCTCTCCTTACGGCTGAAGTGCTGCTCGTCGCTCACGCACCACTCGCAGAGCGGGCCCGTGTGGCCCGCATCGCAGCCTGCGCCAGCGAGAGCGTCAGCGCCCACGTCGCCGTGCTCGAGGCGGCGGCGGGAGCGCTCCACGTTTGCCGCACTTCCTGAGCCGCTGCAGTGCTCGGAGGCGACGCACTTGTGCAGCTCAGTGGTCTGGTTCGAAGCGCGCCAGAAGCCGCGCGGGACGCCGAGGGCCTCGAGAGTGGTGTTGGGCGAGCTGCAGTCGGCGTTTGGCGGGCACGGCTTGCAGTGCTCGGTCGGGGATTCGAAGATGACGGCCGGAAGGACGCTCGCGTCCTGCAGGTAGTAGCCCGCCTTGCAGATGGAGCAGGTGACGCCGCCGCCTCTGCTGCTCAAGGGATGCGGACACGGGATGCACTCGCCCTGTCCAGGGTTGGCGGCGTATGTTCCGGCTGCACATTCGCTGCAGAAGGCGCCGCCAGCGCCGGAGGAGCCAGGCTCGCAGCTATCGCACTCGGAGAGGCCTTCCGTGGCGGCAAAAGTGCCAGGCGAGCACCGCGTCGGCTTGGTGGACCCCGTGGTAGCATAGTAGCCCTTCTCGGCGAAAGTGCACTGCGAGGCGTCCTCGAGGTCCGTCCTGCTCGAATAGCTTCCCGCCTCGCACGGTAGCGGCGACGCCGCACCCGGCTTGCAATAGCTGCCAGGGACGCACGCGTGGCAACCCTTTCCACCCGTGTCGTCTTGGTATGTGCCACCCGAGCAGCTGGCGCACTCGGAGAGGCGCTCTGTGGCAGCGTAGCTGCCCGCCGCGCACTGCCTCGGAGGCGCGGCGCCGCCCGGGCACGACGAGCCCGCCGGACAATCGAAGCAGTCTGGCAAGCCGTCTCCGTCCGTCATGTTGGCGTACGTGCCCGGCTCGCACGTCGCGGGCAGCTCGAGCGACGCGCCGACCGGGCAGAAGCTGCCAAGCCCGCACGGGACGCAGTCAGCAGCGCCGGCGTCGCTCTGGTAGGTTCCCGCCTTGCAAGGCTCGCACTCGGCGTTGCCCAAGCCGAGGGAGAAGCTGCCAGCGCGGCACGCGCGCGGAACCACGGTGCCAGTGGTGCAAGCGTGGCCCTGTGGGCAAACCTCACAATCGCCCGCCGACTCGAGGTCCGTCCTGTTCGAGTAGCTGCCAGCCTCGCACGGGAGCGGCGCCGCCGCGCCCTGTGGGCAGTAGCTGCCCGGCAAACACGCCTTGCACGCCGTGGCGCCGCCGTCGTCCTGATACTCGCCCGCAGGGCACTTCTCACAAATGCTCTGCCCCTCGCGTGCGGCAAGAGTACCCGGCGAACACGGCACCGGCTCGGTGCTGCTGGCTGAGCAGGCGTGGCCCGCACGGCAAGCGGTACACTCGTCCGGCGCGCCGAGGTCTGTGGCGTTCGAGAAGGAGCCGGCAGGACAGGGCAGTGGCGCTGACGCGCCCTCGGCACAGTAGTGCCCTCCCTCGCACTTGCGGCAGCTCAAGGCACCCGTGTCGTTCTGATATGTGCCCGGAGGGCACTTGTCGCATGCCTCCATCCGCTCGAATGGCGCGATCGTGCCCGCCGCGCACTTTGTCGGCACTGCGACGCCGCCTGCGCAGAAAAAGCCAGGCGCGCAAGGCTCGCAATCGTCCAGGCCGAGCACCGGTTTCGAGGTGTTGCTGTTGAACGTGCCAGATGGGCAATTTGCCGGCAGCTCGAGGCTACTGCCTGCAGGGCAGAATTTACCTCTGTCGCACTCGAGGCAGCCAGACTCGCCCGGCGACGGCTGGTACGTGCCATCATCGCAAGGGGAGCACACCGCTGCTCCCCCCGTAGCGTACGTCCCCGGCGAGCACTCCGTCGGCGGCGCGCCGCCGCCACCGCACGACTGGCCCGGGGGACAGACAAAGCACTCTGGGATGCCGTCGTCGTCTGTCAAGTTGGCGTACTCGCCAGGCTTGCACGTTGCCGCCAGCTCGTTCGACGCGCCCTGCGGGCAGAAGCTGCCCGCCCGGCAGCGGATGCACGTCTCGTTGGCTGGCTGGTCCTGGGTGGGGATGGCGGAGGGGGTCGGGTGGGGAGGGCGGAGAGGGTCGGGTGGGGAGGGCGGCGGAGGAGGGCGGCGGAGAGGGCGGTAGGGAGAGGGTGTGGTGGTGGGGCGGGCGGTGGGGCAGGAGGCGGCGGGGCAAGTGGCGGGAGAGCGAAAACCTGATAGTAGCCAGCGGGGCAAAGCGTGCAGACGTCGTTGCGCAAGCCGGCCGCGACGGTACCAGACCTGCACGGCGTCGGCTCCAAGCTGCCTATGGCGCAGACGTGGCCCGGCGGGCAGTCCGCGCAGTCGCCTGCCGACGTGAGACTGGTGGCATTCGAGAATGTCCCGGCTTCGCAAGGAAACGGAATGCTGGTCCCGGGCGGGCAGAAGTGGCCGCTCGTACACGAAAGCGGCTCGAACGTCGCTTCGTGAGGGCAGTACGCCCCCGCGGGGCAGGGGCCGGCGCAAGCGCTACTCGACTGCTCGTCGGGGTCGTCAGAGCCGAGGAGACCAGCGGCGCAGGCGAAGGGGAAGTCCTGCTCGACGGGCGACGCGGGGAGCTCGTAGAGACGCTGGCCGAGGAGGCTCGGGTCGCCGCCCCGCGCGTCGTCCCAATTGCAGGGCTGCACAAACGTCGGCTCCTGGCAGTACCAACCCTTTGGAGGCTCGTAGGTGAGCGAGCAGTCGTCTCGGTGGGCCAGACAAGCAGACTGCTGCGCCGCCTGGTACTTTGGGTGGTATGTGCAGGCCGCGCGGAAGATTTCGCAGCGGCCGTTTGGCAGCCAGCGGCCAGATGGGGCGGGGAGAGCATAGGAGACTTCGCCCTTGAGGTTTAGAGCGCGCCCCTCCGGGGCGGCGCAGCCGTGGACGAGGGTGCCGTTGCTCAGAGTGGTGCGGCCGGACGCAGAGTAGAGGCCGCCTCCAGAGCTCGTTGCAACGCAATTCGAGATGGATGAGCGCGAAAGGGAGAGGCCGTCCGCCATGGTGTACACGCCGCCGCCCAGCGCAGCGATGTTGTCGCGGGCCGTGCAGTCCACCAGCGCAACGGTCGACGGCACGCAACTTTGGACCCGGTTGCAGAAGGCGTTGGAGTGGACGTTCCAGGACGGCGCGATCATGATCCCTCCGCCCATGGAGTCGGTGTCGTTGGCCACGTTCCCGTAGATCTCACAGCGTCGCAGGATCACGTCGCCCTGGATGTGGTGGATCTTGATGCCCGCCCCATTTGCCAGACCGAGGTCCACCTCGGTCGCATTACTCTGCGGCAAATAGCCCCCTGTGATCTTCAGCCCGATGAGCTCGACTGTGTCGTGCGTGCTGGAGGTGTAGGGGCTATGACCAAGCGTATTGGTACGCCCAAAGTCGACAAAGATGGCGCGGCGCCCACGGGATCCTGCAGACGCGCCGCGTGCATCAATCACCGCCGTGCCCGGCACCTGAGCTTCGAGGACGAGGCCGCGGAAGATGCACAGCGCGGAGTTTTGGCCCTCTTCGGTAAGCCTCGCTATGCCGTTGAATGATGAGGTGCAGTCCGCACTCGTGTCAAAGGCGTACGTTCCTGGTCTGAGAACAATGCGGCTGGCCGTCACGTCTTCGACTGCCAAACGGAGCTCCTCGCTCGAGCTGACAACTCGTGTCGGCGGCGGAGGGGCGGGCGGCGGCGGCGGCGTTACAGGTGGCGAGGGCGGTGGAACCGGCGGTGGCGGTGGTGGGGAAGGCGACGGTGCCGAGGGCGGAGGTGGAGAGGGAGGCGGCGGCGGCGAGGGTGGCGGAGGCGTGGGCGGCAAGGGTGGCGGGGGGAAAGGCGGCGGTAAGGGCGGCGGAGGCGGCGGCGGCAACCGGGGTGTCGGTGGCGGAGCCTGTGGCATGCCCTCTGGAATGGCGGGCGGGGCGGGCGGCGACGGCGAGGGCGGGGGCGGGGGGGGCGGCGGCAACGTCGGTGGCGGTGGGGAAGGCGGTGGTAGCGATGGCGGCAGCGAGGGCGGAGGCGGGCTGGGGCGCGGAAGAGAAGGCGGCGGCGGCGACGGCGGCGGCGACGCGAAGTTGCGCTCGTAGCAGTGGGCGGACCACGTCGCGTAGCCAACTTTGGAGAAATCCGGAACGCAAGCATCGCAGCCAATGTTGCCCCAGTTTTGGTCGCAGCCATCCTCACCTTGGGGGCTGGCGTACGTGGATTGGGCCGCCCTGCAGTCCTCCACATCCTTAAAGTGGAGCCAGCACGCGGACCGGGTAAGGTGGAATGACGTTGCGCCGCACTTGTCGCTGCGGCTGCACAGCTCCTGGCACGCCCCGGCTGCGCTGCCCATCTCTTCGATAAACCACCCCTGGCACTCGCCGTCGGTTTCGAGCTTGACATAGGGCGGCGGCGACGCTGCGCGGCTGGTGGGAGGGGCACTGGAGGTGGCTTGGGCGGCCCTCCGCCGCCGCTCGGCGCGCCCAAGGTGCAGTGGCAGCCCCCGCCAGGGTGCTTCGAGCGGCCCGCTTAGCTCCGTGGCCACGCTTTCGAGGAAGGTCGGCTGATTCGCGGAGGCTGTGATCTCCTCCGCAGCCGGCCCTCCCTCGGCGTGGACGAGGGTCACGCGTACCCTGCTATCGCCGAGGTCCTCGAGGGTTATCTGCTCGGCAGTGACATTCACAGGCGGACTCCCGGCGGCGAAAGACTCGAGCACGGCAGCCTTGACGGCATCCAAATCGAGGGCGGCCAGCGCGCGCTGCCGGCGGGTCGTGCTCAGCGGCAAAGGTGAGGGCGGTGGCGACGGGGGAGGCGGCAAGGCCGACGCGGATGGAGGCGGCGGCAAGAGCGAGGCGGAGGGAGGTGGCGGCAACGGTGGAATCGAGGGTGGCTTCAGCGTCGGCAGCGGCAGACCCGGAGGAAGGGGGTCACCTTTGTCGACGAGCGGCGCAGAGGGCGGTGGTGATGTTGGAGGCGAGACTGGCAGTGGGCGAGGGGGCGGCGAGGGAGGCGGCGAGGGCGCCCTGCCGGGTGGGACCGGCGGCGGCGAAGAAAGCACGAGCGGTGGCGTCGGCACGCTCTCACTGTTCACGCTCACCCGTCGCGGCAGGTGGCGCATCGTGTGCGGCGGAGCAAAGGGGAGTCGGAGCGGCGCGTCCTCCTCCCCAGTCGGCTCCTGCAGAGCCCGCGATCCCAGCGGTGGGCTCGAATCACGAGCCGGCATGTCCGCCCGAGTGCAAAAGCGCCAGTCGCGAGCCTCTGGAAGATACTCGAGGGTCTGCAGTCCGCGGGGGGGGGGGAGGATGAGGAAGCGAGGGTGCACCCGGGTGGGGGTGTGGGGGCGCGGGCGCGCGCGTTCGGGAGCGAAGTCGGGCAGATCAGGAATCCGGCCCTGCCGAGCACGCACTCCATGTGCTCCTCGTTGTCGTGGAAGAAGGGGAAACGGCACGGGCAGTCGGAGAAGTCAAACTCGCCCGAGTCCTCGCACGGCGTCGGAGAGGCGGAGCCGACGAGCCCCTTGGCGAGGAAGAAGCGGAGCTGGTCGTAGCTCATGTACACGTCGTCTTCTCTCCGGGCCCAGCTCCCGGACCATCGGTCGCGCGGGCTCGGCCGGCGCTGCCGGTCCTCGGCAGCACACGTGTCGCATGCCAGCCTGCAGGCCCGGCGAAAGTGCAGTCCTACGACGTCCTGTCGCAAGCATGCCCTTCTGACCGCCGCGGATGCGCACTGCGGCGGATCGGCTTGGCCCGCGCACAACTCCGACATGTACGGCGGTGAGGCCAGCGGTGGCGAGGCCGGCGGCGGCTGCAGCGGCAGCGGCGGCGGCAGCGGAGGCGGCGGCGGCGGCGGCGGCGGCGGCGGCGGCGGCGGCGGCGGCGGCGGCGGCGGCGGCGGCATCGGTGGTGGCGAGGGCGACGGCGGTGGCGGCGAGGTCGATGGCCGTGGAGACGCGGGCAGGGGCGGCGGACGCTGCTCGCTGCCGACGTCGCCGATGACGCGCTCCATGTACGCGAAGTAGGCGGTCGGCGTCGGGTCGACAGGGTCAGGCAGGCGCTTGTTGGCAGCCTCGAGCGCGCGGCAGAACTCGGAGCGGACGTCGGTGCGGTAGACGGTCTGCGCCTGCAGGTAGTGCCTGTTCGCGGCCGGCAGAATGCCCGCTCGCACGCGCGACACCTCGTCGCGGCACTCGCGCCCACAGGACTCGGAGTCGAAGTCGAGGAATGGGCTGATGGGGAGCAGCCGGGCCCCCGCCGCGTCGGTGTCGACGGGCAGCTTGAAGTTTCTCGCGAGCGTGAAGTCTGAGGTCACCTGCATGAACCAGTCGGTGCTGATGTTCGCCTTGCAGATGTCCCACCATGCCGAGACGGACGTGTCGCGCAGCCCAATCTCCACGGGGACACCGGAGGAGCCGTCGCAGAGGGAGCTATCCACGTCTTCCTCCTCCTCCGGCAGTCCGCTGCGGCAAAGGCGGAAGTGGCGCGTGGCGCGGCGCAAGAAGGACATGGCCGCCCTCGCGGCCGACCCCGCCTCGTTGGTGAGCACGGCGACGCGGCTGAAGGGGAGGGGCGAGCCCGCGCACGCGGGGCGGGCGAGGTGCTCCTCCGCCGCCTGCGGGGCCAAGCAAGGTGCAACGGTTAGGTGAATGTCTCCACGCAAACCAGTGGTGGGGCAGGGGAGGGGAGAGGGTGGGGGGCAGACCCGCAGGCTCGCGAGGAGCCGGTCGATGTCCCCGTCGCCAAAGTCGGAGATGAGGAGGGTGAGGGAGGTGCCCGCGCCCGCGGCGAGCATGCTCCGCGGATAAGACCCCGCCCGGTCGGCTCCGAGCCCTGTCGGCGGGCAGCCGGGCACCGGCCACTCTTGCAGGTAGACCGCCCCGTGGGCGAGAACGACGGTGTCGGGGATGTCACGCGGGACGGTCAGCGTGGCGGCGAGGTTCGAGATCAGCGGCGTCGTCTTGTAGCCGTACACCCGCTCCGCCTCTTCGAGGCTGACGTTCCTGTCGCCGAAGAGCCCCTCGGACAGCTGCACGTCGAAGGAGGAGTGTTTGACGGTCGTCCAGAGCTCGTCGCTGTACTGGGAGAGCGCCTCCAAAAGGAAGGGGTGAGACACATTGTACACGGCGTTGCCGTTGAGGTGGCGCCGCAGCGTGACGGGGATCTCCTCGTCGGAGAAGGAGTCCCAGTTGGAGCCGCGGTAGGTGGAGCCGAGGACGGAGAAGGGCCTCTGCGCGTGCATGTCACGCATCAGCCGGTCGAGCCAGAAGCGCGCCCTGGCGAGAGGGGGAGGGGAGGGGGGGGGGGGGTTGGGGTTGGGTGGCTCATCTGGTCGGAGGCTCTTTGCCGGTGTGTCTCTTTGCCGGTGTGTGGGTAAGGGGCGCGGAAGGGGGAGGGTGTGTGTGCCAGGAGGGTGGGGGGGGGGGGGGGGGGGGTGAAGACTGGGCGTGGCGGAAGTGTGAACTCTGCAGGGCTCGGCGAGGGCGCACAGCGGCACGCTGTCCGGATCCATGTAGTAGACGGTCGTCCCTGGGCGAGCGGAGTAGTACGCAAGCATGCGGTAGAACTGCACGCTCGGCCCCGAGCTCCAGGCGACCTCAGAGCCCGCCGTGTCGCGCGTGTAGCGGTCCTGCGCCTCGGTCAGGTTTCCGCCGAGCAGAGACACGGAGCCGAAGCAGCGCCTCCACGGCTTGGACGAGGCGCCCTGGAGGAACGCCTCGAGGGACGGCCAGGCCGGCGTGCCTCGGAGCTCGCGGATGCTCTTCGAGTAGTAGAGCACCAGCGGCGGGGCGGGCGCAAACCCAGCGCCGACCGCAGCGCACGGAGCCACCACCTCCCATCGAGCGAACGAGCCGATCAGCTTTGACGCGTCGTGCGTGGCGAAGGGGCGGACGATGGCGAGTGCAGCTGGCGGTGAAAATGGCGGCGGTGCTGGCAGCGGCGGTGGTGGCGACGTTGGCGAGGGTGGTCCCCACTCGTCGTCCTCCTTGTCGTCCTCCTCCCCGTCTGGCGGTGGGGCCGGTGGCGGTCAGGTGTGTCATGCGAGAGCGAAGGGAAGTCGGGGGCATGGCGGCGGAAGCGAGGGTGGGCAGTGTGAGGGGCGTGGAGGGTGGGAATACCGTCGCCCGGCGAGGTCGCCAGCGGCACAGCCTGCCCGGCTGGGATGGCCGACGGGGCGTGCGGAACCAGAAGGGGATTGCCCGACATTGGCGGTAGTGACGGCCACTCTTGTGGCTGTTGCTGAGCTGGAATCGAAGCGAGCGCGGGAAGTAGTACCAGCAGTCCTGCGCGCCACAGGAGTCCAAAAGAAGCGGGCGCTCGACGAAAGGCGAATGGCGTGACCGCCACGGCGCAGAGCCTGACCAGAGCACCAACTGCGAGCCCGGTGGCCGCCGTCGTCGGCATGTGCACCTGGGAGACCGCCGGTTTTCACAAGCTAAAGAAAGAAACTAAAATCGGAGGACAAGCACGCCGGTTTTTCGATGGTTTTATTTTGTCTGCGAACTCCTCCATCGCCCGTATCTTCTACAGGTATCTGAGGCATCACACGTTACTTTATAGTGCGCCGTATTTCGCCTTTTCTTTATCGACGCCGACTTTTTCGGTTTTTCGGTTTTCGTTTAGAGGCACCGCCTCCGTAAAAAAAGACAGACCCTCGCCTGAATAAGACACACCGACTTTGACCGTGTGCCATTTCCGAACGGCTTCGAGTTGCGCCCCTTCCGGCTTGATGCCTAACAGAGCTCAGTCTACAGTCAGGTCTCTCACTCATCCAAGGCGGAAGCCGCAACTCGTAGCCGTTCGGGAATGGCACGTTGTCAAAGTCAGTTGTCTTAGGTTAGGTTAGGTAGGAAGGTGAAGAACACGCCAGGCTCGGACTGGACACCAACGCGGTATGGGTGGACGCGAGACAGATGATGACGACACGCACGAGCGACACACAGACACAAACAGGCTCACAAGACACACAGCCAGTTGGCTGCCACACACCCTGAGTTGGCGTACACATAACTCAGGGCCACCGTCCTCCCTGTCCGCTGTCGCCCCCCCCCCAGCCAGCACACACGGTGCCACAAGGGCACAAACAAGGGCACAACAGGCGACAGGGAGTAACGTGCGAGGCTAGAGCAGACCGCTCCACCTCCGCCGACCGCAAACGGCAAGGCACGGACAAGACCGTGTGTGGGGTCTTGTGAGTGAGGCGTCTATGGACTATGGACCCTCCCTCACCAGGCTAGCGGCCTACTGCTAGCCCTAACTCGCACTCATGGGTGGTGTCCGTTCATTGTATGAGTGTATGCGAGCAGAAGCGCGTTGTCTTCTGGGTGGAAGCTTATTCAAAGAGGCGGTGCCTCACCTCGCGAGCGGGACTCGAACACTCGATCTCCCCTCTGGGTGGGTGGGGTCCCTCACTCAGCAGCGTGTACCTCGATCCTGTACCGTGTTTATTATGACCCCCCCAATGAGCACACCAGCAAGGGAGGGCGAGACGATCGAGGGGTCCCGTACCATGCGGAATCGACCCTATCCAGTGCTCAAGTGCTCAAGAAGGTGAGGAAGTTTCCGTGCAAGCGAGCGCCAAGCTTTCGCGCCGAGTAGGCCCGACTTCCTGGTTGCTGTGACAGTGATGGCCCCTTGGTCCCTGTCCTCCATCGCCGCTCTGCTACTTCTCGCGGCGGCATCGGCCTTCCGCGTTCCCTCACCAAGCGCGCCAGGCCGCCCGGCCGTGCGGGCGCACGCGCCCCGCCTCGTCGCCAGCACGCCGCTGCGCGACGATGACATCATCAACGCGTTGGCGGACGAAAAGTATGCGATGGACATCTCTTCGATCACAACTGGCAGCGAGCTGGAGACGTACATCGGCCAGGGCTCTGGCGTCAACGAGGGCGCCGGCATCGGCAAGCTCGCCGGCTGGGTGAAGGGCGCAGTCGGCCGCTACCTCGCGTGGAAGAACCGGCCCGTGTACGAGGAGCTGTGGAAGATCATCGAGGACGATCTGCTGGGGATGGTGCAGGCGCACGAGCCCAAGCTCGAGCAGCGGCGCACCTGGTTCTCCGAGCCTGGCGCTTCGCCCAGCGCGCACACGTTTGCGACGGCCGACGGCAAGTGCGAAGGCACAGTCGCGGGGTACAAGGGGGGCAAGATCGACTGGATCACGACGTGCAAGTTCTTCTCGAAGGAGCTGGGCTTCGGGAACCTGCGCATCGACGGCTGGGCCAACCGCGAGACCCGCGCGCCGCACGTGGCGGTCCACCTCTGCATCGTCTTCAATGTGCGCCGGCAGAGGGAGGGAGCGAGGAGGCGGGCAGGGAGAGGAGGAGGCACCTCTGCGGCGTCTTCCATCGTGCAGCCTGCAGAGAGACGGAATGCCCTCTGAATCCCCGCCGTCCGGTCGCGGGCCCTTGCTCCGCCTTGGCCCTCGCGCCCTCTCCTCGCCACACCCCCTCCCCACCCCCTCGGCGCGGCGGCAGGTCCTCTTCATCTACATCGGCTGCCCGCCGCGCACCAACCTCGTCCTCGACGACGCGTACAACGACCACGTCTACGGCACGGCGCGCAAGTCGACCGGCCGCTCGCTCAACGACGTCCACGTCGACTGCGTCGAGGACAAGCGCTTCAAGCAGTACGTCTCCAAGTCGCACGTCGTCAACGCCTTCATGGTGACGCCAACCAGCACTTGCCCCCGCACCCGTTCTCGCTGCTGTGAGACGGCGGCACGGCGGCTGTAGGTCGCGCCGACGACGCTGCTCTACACGATCCCCTTCACCAAGAAGACCTTCGCAAAGGTTCGCTCGCTCGCGATGGAGTACATGACCGCCTGGCTCGAGCTGCTCGACGAGACGGAGGGCGTCCTCGTCGACGGCATCGACACGCGCGAGACGCAGACCGAGCTGCTGCAGCTCGACGTGCGGACGCGCCAGTTCTGCGGCCGCGACCCAGACACGAAGAACGTCGCCAACATCTTTGGCCTCGAGAAGACGGACAAGCTCGTGCGCACGCTCTGGGGCGACCCCGACGACCCGATCTGGCAGTCGCGCTGACGCGGCCGCCGGCGACGGGCGCGCGCGCCGTGCTGCGTGTGGGGAAGTGGACGAGCTGCGACTCGAAGCCGCGACGGGGAGCGGCGAGCGGGCTGGTCGTATGTTGGGTCGTTTGTATATATTTTGGTTTGCGCTTCCCACCCCGATCCCCGTCGTGTGCTCAAGTGAACTGGTGCCGCGAGCACAAGAGCTTACAGGAGCTTACAAGGAACCCTCAAAAAAGAAAAGAAATCCCGCGACGAATGTGTTGCCCCCTGTCTGGCTCCCTGCTCAGTCGTGATCGGTGTGCGTGCTACTGAATTCGCTACTTTCATACGCCTCGCATGCCGACTGTCTGCACGCGCCGCTCTTGGAGGCGCTCCCACTGGCGCGTGCGGCCGCGCTCAAGCCACCATGGCTTCGCCGAGGCACCAGGGCCGACCGGAAAAGCAACCCACAACGGCACAGCAAGCCGAGCCGTGCCAGCTAGAAAAGGCCCAGCGGCAGCGAGCGTGCCCAGGATGCTCCAGTTTCAGCGCGACCGGGACGCGGCGGGCGGCGGCGTTGTGCTGCGCAGCGTTGCCGACGCCGCGCTGAACGATGCGGCGGCGACGCCCGGCCTGCGGCGAGCAGACGCAAAGGCACATGTCCTGCGTTCCATCGACCGGCTGCTTTCGGACGAGGCGCGGACTGCGGCCCTCGAGTCGGCGGCCGATGCTGCCACCGCGGGTGGGCGCTGCAGCGCTCTCGTGCTCGGCGCCGGCTCGCTCCTGCCGGCGCTGCTGCTCGCTCGGCGCGGCGCGGCCGTCTGCGTCGTCGAGGCGAGCCCTCTCCTCGCCGACGTCGTGCGCGCGGCGGCAGTGGAGAACGGCGTCCGCCTCGCCGTCCTCTCCTCCCTCGCCTCGGCCTCCGCCGCCTACCGCCAGCCCGGCGTCTCGCCGCCAACTCTGCTCGTGTCGGAGGCGGTGGACGACGGCCTTCTCGCCGACGGAGTGCTGCCGTCGCTGAGGGCCGCTCGCGCCCTCCTCGCCAGCAGTCGCGGCGGCGGCGGCGACGCAGTGGCGGTGCTGCCTCGCGCCGCGAGCGTCGAGGCGTCGCTGCTACAGCTCGGCTTCAGCGGCGTGCCTGGCTTCGGGCTCGACGGCGTCGACATAGACCTGCGCCACTTCGACGCGTTGCGGCCGCGGGGAGTGCGGGCGCGGCTGCCGCCCGGCTACTGGCCCGTGAGGCTCAGCGAGTGGAAGCAGCCGCACCGTCGGCTGAGCGACCCTCTCCCTGTCTGCCGGGTCGACTTTGAGCAGGCGACCGCGCCGGGCACGCCGCCCGGCGCGGGCGGCGCGGGCGGTGTCGGAGGGCCCGAGTCCACTGTCCGTGTCGAGGTGGTCGAGGACGGGCTCCTCAACGCCGTCTGCTACTGGTTCACTCTGGACCTCGGCGGCGGCGGCCAAGTCTCGTCTGCGCCGCCGAAGAGGCGAGACCGGCCGGGCTCGTGGCGTGCCGGCTGGAGGCAGGCGGCGGTCTACCTCGAGGAGCCGCTGCACGTGGTGCGGGGCGAGAGCGTGCGGCTTGCTTGGCGCGTGAGCGACGAGGGCATCCGCTTCTCGGCGAGGCGGGAGGAGTCTGCCTCCTCCCCCCCTCCTCCGCCTCCTCCGCCGCCGCCGCAGCAGTTGGCCGTCACGGCGGCGCTCCCCTGCGCGGCGTACCACTTCGCGATGATGGCTGACACGGCGCGGAACGCGGCGTACCGCGCGGCGGTGACGCGGGCGGTGGAGAGGGCGGCAGCGCGGCGCGGCCCTGCCGGCTGCCGCGTGCTCGACTTGGGCTGCGGCGCCGGGCTCTTGTCGACCATCGCCGCGCGGGCAGGGGCGGCGCACGTCGATGCCGTAGAGATGAACGACGTGCTGGCGGCGACGGCGGCCGCCACTCTCTCCTCCTCGAGGGTGGGCTCCTTCACGGTGCACCATTGCGTCTCGACTGAGCTCGCCGTCGGAGGGGGCGGCGGAGGTGGAGGAGGGGCGGGACGCGGCGGCGCACGCTGCCTCGCCGCGCCGGCCGACCTGCTCGTCAGCGAGACGCTGGACACGTCCTTGATCGGAGAAGGGGCGCTACACTCGCTCCGCCACGCGGCGCAACACCTCTGCCGCCGCGGCGCGCAAGTCATCCCCGCCGCCGCCACCGTCTACGTGTCGGTGGCTCACCTCGAGCCGCCGGAGACGGCAGGTTTGCGGTTCGGCTGCTTGGACGCGCTGCGCGAGGGGTACACGCCTCTTAGGCTGCACACCGTCGCCCACGCTCTCCTCGCCGCGCCGCGCGAGGCGATGCGGATCGAGTTTGGCTGCGCCGAGAGCAGCGCCGGGCCGACCGCAGCAACGCGACTGACGGCGACGAGGGCGGGGTTATGCAACGCCGTGGTGTGGTGGTTTGACCTTCATCTCGACGAGGAGACGACCATCTCGGCGGCGCCGGGCTGCGCGGTGAGGACGTGGAAGCAGAACGTCACCTATCTCGGCACTCCGCTGACGCTTGAGCGAGGCGACGGCCTCGAGGTGACCCTCCTCAACGATGGCGACGACAACTTGCACGTCATGGGGGTCGAGCGTGTTCAAGGGTCAAGGAAGGAAGAGAACTACGCAAGATAGTGCGTTTATGTCCTGTAGTTGTAGCCCCTATAAATTTTGTGCTGTGGTCACGCAAAATTCTCCTGTCTCAAAAAGGTACACCATGCGGTAATGACAAAATACGCGCAGCACTAAGCAGGCGGCAGGCAAGCACAACGCGGACCGACTACACTCCGCTACACATACGACGCGACCTTCTCAGGGGGAGTCCGTCGCCTCCACTTTAGCCGTGGCTTGGGCGCCGAGCCCGGAGCGTGTTCTGAAGATCGCGTTGGTGAATTGCCGATCTCGCCGTCGCCATCCATGTCGATGCGCGTGAGGCTCTCGGCGAGCGCGGTGAGGCTGCCGATCACGCCCGAGTTGTGCCGCTCGATCCTGCGGCAGATGAGATCGAGGTTGTTGAGGACCAGCCGTACAGCCACCGCCGCGTGCGGCTCGTCGAGGAGCGGCGTGGCGATCGGCCGGTAGATGCCCGCGGACACCAGCTCGGCGGGGGTGCGGCGGATGATCTCGTCAAAGCTGACCGCCTCCGGCACCGACCGCTGCTCGTGCACCAGCACCATGGGGATGCCGTCGTCGAGAGCCCTCCTGACCAGGCGGACGAGCCCCTCGCTCGCGGCGCCGTCCTTGCTCCTGTCGGGCAGGCCGGCGCCGCCAAACGTGGCGCCGTCGAGGTAGAGCAGCAGCGCGGCGGAGGAGCGCATTTGCTCCGCGTCGGCAGTTGCGCGCAGCTGCTGCTCGCTCGCCCTCTCGAGGCGCGCCACCAGCTCGGCCGCCCCCTCGTTGTCGCGGGAGTAGCAGAGGTGCCACGTGCGCTTGGTGGCGAGCTGCGGCGGCGGCGAGCGGCACAGGTCGCCGGGCAAGAAGATGGGCCTCTCCGCGCCGGGCGCCTTCCACGCGCGAAGCAGCTCGGCGATGAGCAGCCGCATCGAGCACATCTGGAAGGGCCTCAGCCGGTGCCACGTCACCAGCGGCGCGGAAAAGACCTTCGCCCGCAGCTCCGCGGGGCAGGCGGACCGGTGCACCTCGAGGGGGACGCCTCCGTGCGTCGGGTCGGTCTCGAGGACGAGGAGGAGGGGCTTGCTCCGCGCGACGGCGGCGTGGAGCTCCCGCAGGCAGTTGGCGCTCTGGGACGAGGGGAGAGAGGGTTGAGGGGCGTGCGAGGGGGGAGGTGGGGGGCGGAGGGCGGTGCGCACTCCAAAGTAGTCCGACCTCGCCCCTCCGGGTGGCGAGGAGGGACAGGAGCGGGCGGGCGTGGAGCCAGTCAGTAGCACAATCACAACCTCCGAGTTGCCGACGTGCTCCTCCAGCCGCGCGGTGTCGTCCAGGTTGTCCACGTCCAAGAAGGGCTGGATGTTTTGGACGTACCTCTGCAGCTGCCCCTTGAGCGCACGCGCCTGGTCCTGCCCGCTCGACCACACGTGGGAGAGGAAGCAGTGGTACCGCTCCTCAGGCAGTCCGACGGCAGACACCACCCGCGGCCTTTGCCGCTTCGGCAGGCTCCTCACGCCCCTCGCGGCAGGCGAGGCGTTTCCAGAGCCCGGCCGCGAGTCGCCCACGTCGGTGCCGCGGAACGACAAGCTCGACCGCACCCGGAGGATGGACTCTGTCAGCTGCGCGCGCAGGGCTGTGGCGCCACGGTGCTCCTCCGGCAGCGGCTCCCACCTCGCAAACTCTCTTTCCGCCTCCTCGATGATACCCTTCAGCCGGCTCCGCCGCCGCCGCTGCACCACACAGCAGAGCACTCCGATTAGCAGCAGCACGGCGAAGGTTGCCGCAAGCGACGCCGGCAGGAGGGCGCTGGTGGGCGGCGACGACTTCGCCGTGCAGTAGCCGTGCGCCTCCCCTGCGAAGAGTCGGCATTCTGGCTTCTCGACGTCGGTGCAAGGGAAGTGCTCCGCGTGGCAGAGGGTCTCCTCCTTGGTGGCGGCGAGGAAGAAGGCTCTGAAGCCGCGGTACGGCCGCGGGTTGTTGATGTCCGTGTCGAATCTCAGCGTGAAGGGCGGCGGGCCATCCAGGGCGATCGCCTCGCCCATCGTCGGGCGGTTGGCATTCGAAGTCGAAGAGAAGGTGTCGAGGATGGTGCCGTTGCCGTCCAGCACCCGCACCGCGTCTGTGGTGGACGAGCGGATCCCCAGATCTGGGTTCGTCACTTGGGGCTCCTCGAGTTCGAAGAGCGAAAAGTTGAGCCGGAGGCCGGTGACGCTCAGCGGGGGGTCCAGCGACTCAATCGTCGTAGGCATGGCCAGCTCCCAGCGGCACGCCACCGAGGAGAGGTAGTCGTCCTGGCTGTCGTCGATGGCCTGGAGCATGCCGGCGACCGCGCCTTCGATAGTGCTCAGGCCGACGCACTTCTCAAACGAGCACGTGGGCCCGTATGCCCCGACGTCACAACGGCACTCGCCGTCTCTGCAGCTCCCTCGGCCAGAGCAGTCCGCGTCCGTCTCGCACGCGGCCTGCTGGGCCGACCACGCCAGCTCGAAGCCGCTGCCGCTCCAGACGCCGTCGCTGGTGAAGGCAACGAATGCAGGCGTCCGGACGGCGAGGGTGGCGGCGGGGGAAGAGCCGAAGGTTGAGAAGAGGAAATCGTCGGATGTCGCGGAGGCGGAGAAGGAGGCGGGGATGACGCCGCCCTCATAGACGCGGACCTCGTCGAATCCGAGCTCGAGACGGATGCTCGAGAGGTTGAGCGCGACGAAGGGTGCGCCGCCGCCAGTCAGCAGCCACCCGCACCTCGAGTAGGCGTCGTACCTCCCCACCGCTGTCGCACGCACCGCGCCCTCCGCCTCGGAACGTGTCACCACGCCGTTGCACGTCTCGAGCTCGCACGATGAGCCAGCGTAGCCCGCGTCGCAGCGGCAGCCGCAACTGCCGCCAGCCGAGTCGGCTACGCCGTGCGGCCCGCAGCTGGGGCAGTCCGACGCGTCGCCCTCGAGGCTGACCGACGCGCGGAAGCCGACCGCGGTGTAGTTGCCCAGCTGCATCTCGTCGTGGCCGTCTGTGCTCCACCGCAGGAACATTGCGAGAAAGGCGCCGGCCTCGGGGAGCGACACGTCGAGGTCCCGATCGGCTGTAAGCGCCGTGCCGACTGCGGCGGCGCCCGCGAGGGTGGTGCTGTTCGCACACGCGCGCACCGTCGCGTTCGGCGGCGAGGCGCGCCCTGTGAAGGAGGAGATTAGCAGGCCGGAGGAGGAGAAGACCTCGAGGACGTCGTGCGGCGGCTCCGACGACAGGAAGGGGAGGCGGAGCTCCACGCACTGAGTCGGCTCCTCCACCGCCACCGCCCAGACGCACGACTCGTCCGTCCGGTACGCGCCACCTCCGCCGCCGGCGTGGGGCGGGGGCCAGTGCGGCGCCAGGACGGGCGCGTGGGACGCGTTGACCACCTCGACCGCCCAGCCCGCGCACGGGGTCAAGACACTCTCTTGCTGGAGAGGCGCGAGGGGGGAGGCGCGAGGCCCGTCGCTGTCGAAGCCCGAGGCGGCGCCAGCGGCGAGGGCAGCCTCGAGGAAGGAGGCGTTGAAGTACGTGGCGTAGACGGAGGCTCGTCGGGCTGCTGGCTCGCCTGGCCGGCGATCGAGCTCGTCCGTGCCGCTGGCGTTCGGGATGGAGGCGAGGACCTTTTGCGAGAACATGAAGTCCGCCTGCTTCTCGATCTGCGCCGCCAAATAGCTCTGCTCCTCCAGCTGCTGCTCTGCGGTCGGGTACTCGAACTTGGCCACGCGATCCGCCACCCGGGCGAGGGTGACATTGCTGTCGTAGCCCGGCGCCTCGAGGGCCACAAAAGCGGAGACGAGGGAGTTGTACTCCCCACCCGGCCCCGCCGCCCAGCGGCCGCGCTCCGAAGCGAGCCTGTAGTCGGCGTTCGCGCGCACTATTCCCGCCGCCAGCCTCTCCACGAGCGCCTCGTTCCTGGACAGAAAGGCGTTGCGGACCGCGAGCACGTTGAGGGTCTCGTATCCCCAGAGGGCGAGCATCTCCGCGGTGATCATCTCGTGCGCCGGCTCGGGCTGGCAGCCGGAGGGATGGCTCCCGCCCCAGTCCGCCGAGGTGAGGTTGACGAGAGTGTTGCCCCAGACAGCGCCGCCGTCGATCCGACCGGCGCTCCAAGCCGCCTCGATCTCGGTCGGCGAGATTGTGACGACGGTCACCCGGTCGGCGGCGGCAGCGGCACCGGCGGAAGGCAGCTCGGCCGTCTCGACATGATCGAGACCCGCCTCGTCAAGCGCCGCGAGGAGGATGTAGTGGGTGGTCGAGTACCTTGGTGTAGCGATGGTTGTGCCGCGCAGGTCCTGTGGGCCATGCAGCGCGCACCGCACCACCAGCGCCTGCGCCGTGCCCTTGTTGTGCAGCACGGCCACCGCTGTGAGCGCCGCGCCGCGCGCAACCGCAGTGGCGTAGGGCGTCGAGCCGAGCATCGCCACGTCGAGTTCGCCAGAGTCGAGGTGAGCGACCGCCCGGCCGCCCGAGAGCTGGCGGTAGTAGACCCAACACACCTCGTCGTCGTCGAGCCACTGCGACGGAGCCAGCGCAGCGTACGGGTTTGCCTCGTCGAAGGTGCCGAAGCGAATGTGTTTACTGCACTCCGAGGAGGCTGGACGAAGAAGGGCCGCTGCTGCGAGCGCAGCCGCCGCCAGGCGCCGCATCCCTGAAGCAGCGAGAGAGAAGCGAGCGGCGGTCGTCGCCGAGGTAGGCTCGAGCGACGCAGCGAGAGGAGCGCGGCGGTAGAGGTCGCGCCCAACAAGGTGGGCGCAAAGAATTTTTCAAAAAAACCGATGCGGGCGCGGCGGCGGCGGGCCCTCGCGCCAGTCGCGCTCCCCCTCCCCTGACTCGCCGCCCGCAAAGCGCGCCACCTCCGCCGACTCCTCCGGCTACGACTCCGAGACGCCCGACGAGGTCCAGACGGAGGCGGTGCGCAGGGTGTGCGGCGCGCTCGGCATATAAGAGAGAGAGAGAGATTCTTCTTCTCTTCCCTCTTCGGCATAAGGGAGCGGTTCGACGCGGCGCTGGCGGCGGGCGAGCTGCCCGAGCTGGAATGGTTGAGGCCTCCATCCGTCTCATGCGGGGGTACATGCGCACGGGGAAGTGGCCCGAGCCCACCCTGCCCAGCCCTGAACCGGAGCGCGGCCGCTCGCGTAGTAGCTCACACTGCCCCTCAGAGTGGTCGGAGGATTAGTGCCCCAAGAGCGAGGACCCCGAGGGGAGCACCAATAGGAGGCCCAGCCTTGCCCTCGTGCCGCCGAGTGTGTATCCTATGCGAGAGAGATCCCCTGTGCCCTGTGCCCAGCCCTCTCCACGCCGCGATGCGCCCCCTCCCCCTCGCCCTTGCAAAATCCTGCAAAGGTGGGGACGTGTCTGTCCTCGACCCAGCCCTAGCTTGGGATATCCGTTTTATTTATTTATTTATTGCACGCAAACTTCATTTTTTTTTCACGCCCCTCACTAGCCGAATAAAACTGGGGCAGCCGCGCCGCGGGGGCGCGAGGTTAACCGACTCGCTCTTTCTCTCGAGGTTCTCGAGGTGGATATCCTTTGGCCGCGTTGGGTAGCGAGGATTGGTGTAACCCGAGCCACGGAGGCGTGTTTTCTGACGGCCGACCGTCAGTGCACGGAGTTGCCCCTTCTCCGACTGCCCCGGCTAGTTCACGAGTTTCGCGGGAGTGACCCCATGCGTCAAACCCGAGACCTAGCACGGGTGGGTTGGAGGGGGCTCGCTGCAAGGAAGGGCGGTGTAAGAAGCCGATCCCCGTAGCAGTGGCGGGAGTCATGGACGCGCAGGACCGCGCCGCGTGTGGACCGGTGGCGCTTCGGGTGGCGTAATCGGGCCGTCAGAGGCAGATACGTGGGTCGTGGCGCAGCGAGTGCGAATACATGCGATAATTCGCACGCACCGTGCCGAGGCAGCCGACCCGCGTGCACGATCGGAGCACCTCGAGGCGGCGCGAGAGGTGGTGTGTCGAGGTGCCGCGGCCCGCCGCTGCAGCGTGTCGAAACGGCGCTCTCGAAGGCGCCGCGGTGGCGGCCGAGCGCGCGGAAACGGCGAGAAAATTTGATGGCGTGCCGGCCGTGGGCCCGGACGAAGGCGCCGCCGGCTCGGATTGAGTCCAGTGGCATCAGGGGCGCCTCCAGCACTCAACACAGTAGCACGCTGTTTCTGTGTTGGCCGCCGCTGACGCCCAGAGAGAGAGAGATTGTTGGTCTTCAAAAATCTCACGCCCAAATCCTATCTCGAGGTCTCGTTGGGTTGGTGACTTTGGCAAAAAAGAAAATCCGAGCACCGAGGCACCGCGCCAACACGGCGCGCTTCGCCGGCTGCGACTGCGCGCCAATCATCCAAGAATCTCACAGAGGGCGCTCCCAACTCCGACTGTCCCTGCTAGCAATCCTTGGATCTTTGGTACGATTGTGAGCGCAGCCGCTCACAAAAAAGAAAGAAAGAAACAAAACAAACCCATGGGAGGGATGGGAGGACGGCACGCCGCCACCACACAGGGATTTTAAGGAGAGGGGTGTGGTGCAGCACCGGTGCTCGAAGGCAAGCTTTATGCTGTGGGAGGCTTCGGCGACGACGCAGCTACCTCAGCTCAGTCGAGCGGTACGATCCGGCTGCCAATGCGTGGGAGGCGGTGGCGCCGATGGCGACGGCGCGGGTTAATCCCGCCGCGGCAGTGCTGGACGGCAAGCTGTACGCTGTGGGCGGATGCAACGGCGGCATTCTCAGCTCAGTCGAGCGGTACGACCCGGCCACGAACGGGTGGGAGGAGGTGGCGCCGATGGCGTCGGCGCGCTCGGACTTAGACGGCATGGTGGATGAGTGTCTTTGCACACACATGGCGGTGCTCGACGGCAAGCTGTATGCTGTGGGCGGCTTCAACGGTGACCACCTCAGCTCGGTGGAGCGGTACGACTCGGCCGAGAATGCGTGGGTGCGGCGCCGCCGATGGCGACGGCGCGACGGCGACGGCGCGAAGCGATTCTATCGCAGTCTTGATGTAGAGCGCCAAGATAGTGTCCCAGCCAGCCAACGGGCAGCCGACGGGTCTTTGCGCTGGGAGAAAAAGAAAACATCTTGCCCAACACGGCGCTTTCCCTTCGCTGCCCAAGTGGCTGGCCTCCCCGGAAGGCCGGAAATCATCCAATCATTGCGCGACGATGACGACGCCAGGCCAGCGCCCGTTTAGCGCATACGTCCGGCTGTGGGCCATCGCCAATCTCCTTCGCATCTCGATCGGCCTCAACGCCGGCACCGGCCTCGTCGGATCGACGCTCGACGCCAACTTCTTCTCTCTCGCCACCCTGCCGGCCTTGGTCGCGCTGGCAGGCCTGGTGCCGGCTCGCTGGTCGGGTGCGCTGCCGCTGGTCGCGCTGGTGGCGCGAGCCGCCACCAATGCGGCCAAGGGCTCGATGATGTCCAACTCCCAGATGTGGGCCACGCAGATGGACGCAGCGCTCGTGCTGTCGCTCCTGCGCCGCCTCGGATCTGCCGCCCGCCACGGATCGTCCTGGAGCAGCCCGCTGAGTGCCGAGGACGAGCGCGCGGTGGTCGGCGGCTGCGCCCGGACGGTGCGGTGGCAGCTCGCCATCTTTTACTTTGCGAGCGGCTTCTGGAAGGCAGCGCGCACATCCTCGTGGCCCTCCCTGCCCACGCACCCAGCCCTCACCCCGCGCACCGTGCCTCACCGGCCCAGGCAAACACGTCCTTCCTCCACCCCTCGTACTCGTGCGCCGGCCTCTTCATGGTGCCGCCCCACCCCCCTCTCCGCCGACCGACCAGCCTCGGCGCCTCTCCACAGCAGCCGCCTCTCTTGACCAGGTGCAGCCGTCACCTTCCCGACGGCACCAACTGACCTTCACAGCGGGACACGCCTGCGGAACAGGTGCAGCCCCTCGAGTACCTGCCCGACGACGTCCTCTTCGCAGCGAGCGGCCTGGCCGCCTCCGCCGTCCCCGCCCTCGCGCGCGCTATCGCCGCAACCGGCCTCCCGCCTCGACCGCCGTCGCGTGTGTGGCGGTGGGAGCAGCGCCTCGCCACAGAGTCTGGACGCGTGAACAGGTCCGGCCTTCACGCTCGTCCTGGAGGCGGTGGTGCCGGTGCTGCACTTCCTCGAGCCTCGCCGCTTCCCGCGCTGCGCCCTCTTCGGCCTCGTCCTCACCCTCGCTTTCCACCTCGTCATCGGCCTCACGCCGCCGCCCTCCAACGTCTCCGCCCGCAGAGCCGCCGCTGGCCCGCAGCTCGGCACATCTCGGCTGATCTCGTGCCCGTCTCGCGCGTCCAGGTCTCCACCTACGGCGTCACCACCTGCACGCGCCTCTTCTTCGTCTTCCCAGGCGAGGTCTCCACCTGCAGATCACACGAGATCACAACGAGATCACACGAGGTCACCACCTGCAGATCATGCACCCACCTCTCCTCTCCTTCTGCCCCGGTGAATCGCCTGCCCCCGCCCCGCGCCATCAGACGCCGCCGCCGCCGCCGTCGGCGAGATGGGACGGCCGCATACCGCCGCCGGTGCCCTCCTCTGCGCCGGCATGGCTGCTGCCGCAGCGGCGACCTCGTCCCTCTGCGCCGCCCCGTGGCACTGGCTGTGAACGGCGTCTCTGCACGCCTTCTGCTTGTGGGCAGGCGACCCTCGCCCTCGTCGAGCCCTACCACGCCGTCGCCATCAGCACGGTCCAGGGCGAGGGCAAGGACTGGCACGCCGGCTGGTACGCCGCGCTGGCAGTGCTGCTCACGCGCGCCGCGGTCCTCGAGGCGGCGGGCGGCGAAGAGGGGGAGGGCAGCGTGTGCGGGGCGCCGCTTCACGCCCCCGGCCGGTTGCGAGCAGGCGGCAGGCGGCGGCGAGGCGGCGTGCGGCAGCGAGGGCGGTCTTCCCGCGGAGAAGGAGAAGGCAGAGCCCGCCGGCAGAAGGGGCGGAGGAGGGGGGGGCCTTCTCTAACCCTTCTCCCCACCTTTCCCGCAGAGCCGCGAGGTGGAGGGGAGGACGAGGGAGGGGCCTGCTTTGCGGGGGCTCGTCGCGCTCGCGCTGCTGTACGCCTTCGCGCTGCCCGTGGCGGGCCCTGCTGCGGCGGAGAGGTGGTTGGCGCGTGACACCGCTGACGCTCTCGCCGGCGTGAGCAGGCGGGGCTGCAGGAGAAGGCTGGCTGCCTGATGTTTTCGCAGCTGCGCCTGCACGGCGGCTCCAACCACCTCCTGCTCCCCACGTCGCTGCTGCAGCGCGAGCTCGGCGGCCTAGATGCGGGAGAATGTTCCTAGAATGTTCCTAGATGCGGGAGAATGCCGACGCCAGTACAGCCAGTGGCCTTGTACTTCACCGATGCGCCGGCATTGCACGGCGCTGATTTCGAAAGCTTGCATTCGAAGCCCCTCGTCCGCCCGCGCTGCAGGCTCGCCTCCGCCGAGCCGACGAACGCCTTCGCGGGCGGCGTGGTCCGCATCGAGGCGCCGCTCGTGCGGAGAGAAGGCGGCGGGCGGCGGGGGCGTGTCACAGTGAGCGTGACTCGATTGCCTCAGGAGACGGACCTCGAGTGGGTCGGAAACACCTTCGCAGAGCACATGGGGCCGCGCACGCTCCGGCTGATCCGCGAGGTGGGGGGGCGTAGATGGCAAGCTCTCATGGCGGCGCTTGAATGCGCCGGAGTCTGGCCGCCGCCGTCTGGGAATCCGCACTCTCACCCCGCACCGAAGCAGCAGGCGATGCACAGACCGCGCCCTCGTTGCGCGCCCCCTCTGCATGATCCCGTCGCAGGTGGCGGCCGTGCCCGCAGAGTACGTCTGGGCGGCCAAGTCGAGTTCCGCCAAGCGAAGCCGCCCGCCGCCGCGGTTTCGCCGCCACACCCTCTCCGCGCTCGGCCTGCGCCGGCTGCTCGCGACGGCGGCGCGGCAGAAGGACTCCTTCTCGCTCCGGCACACGACGCTGCTGCCCGCTGTCGGCGATCCGTGCACCGTCTCTCTTCACACCTGCTTGTGAGCAGGTACACGCGGCTGCACGGCGCCGTCGGCGACGAGGCGTGGCGCACCGGCTCGGCGGGCAGCGAGTACGTGGTCAGGGGCGAGGGAGGCGCGACCCGCTGCGCGCGCCTCGGCTTGGGTGGCAAGGAGTCCGTAGAATGCGGCAGCTCAGCCCCACCTCCCCCTGTGGTCGCTGGGAGGCCGCCATGCCGCTTCAGTAGTAGTTCTGGCGCCATGGCTCGGCCTCGCGCGGTCCTTTCGACCACCTGTCTCAAAACACGTGGCGTCGGCGCGATGCACAGCACTACGTACGCGGCTTCACATGCGCCCCTCTGCCTCCCCCCCACGCACAGGCAAAGAGTCGCCGTGCGACGCGCGGGAGGAGGCGCTGATCGCTCCGCCCTCGTGGCCCTCGTCGGCGCTCGCCGCGTCGCTCGCGCCGCCGGCTGTGCATCCACTTCACTCGTGCGGCTGTGAGCAGGCCTTTGCGTTCCTGCTCGAGCCGCAGCCCAACCCGATCGTCGACGGGTACACAGACGAGATGCACTGCGTCACCTGGGGATGATGCGCGGGTGGTTGCACAGCTGGGAGCCCGCAGGGGCCGCGGGGGGGGGGGGGGGGGGGTGTAGAGGAATCCTGCGCGCGCCTCCCCACGCCAGGCCGCCTCAGCGCCGATTTTTGGAGAGCCCTGGCGAGCGTCGCCCGGCCGGATGCATCGCGGCGCGGGCTTCGTGGGAGCTAGCCTGGGAGTTGGCGAGACCCGCCATAGGGGGGGGGGTAGCAATGGGCATGTGCGTGGCGGGGGAGTTTGGTTCGCGGGGCCGGGGGGTGGGCACGAATCTCGAATGTGCTCAGACGCCTCTACCCCCCGCGGCCTTTTTTTTGCTTTATGTGTGGGATTGTGTTGGCTTGCGTGATGTGCGTCAATAGTGGAGAGACAGCATGTACAAATATTGCACAAAATAGGGAGAAACACCGCTCCTCCTCACCCGGCTCATGCTAGGAGCCGGCGCAGGATCTTGCCGCTCGGCGACTTCGGGACGGTGTCAATGAACTCTACCATCGCCGGCACCTTGAAGGAGGCGAGCCTCTCGGCGACGTGCGCCTTCACCGCCTGCTCGTCGAGGCCGGTCGCGCCCGTCCGCCGCACCACAAACGCCTTTGGCAGCTCCCCCGCGCGCTCGTCCGGCACGCCCACTACGCAGGCGTCGCTCACGTCGGGGTGCTCGAGGATCCGGCCCTCCACCTCGGCGGGCGCGACCTGCATCCCCTTCACCTTGATGAGCTCCTTGACGCGGCCGGTGATGAAGACATTCTCCTCCCCGTCGACGTAGCCAAGGTCGCCAGTGTGCACCCACCCGTCCCGCACGGTTCGCGCCGTCTCGTCAGGCCGGTCGAGGTAGCCGACCATCACCTGCGGGCCCGAGACGCACAGCTCGCCCTTCTCGCCCACGCCGCGCGGCGCGCCCGTGTCCGGGTCCACCACTTTGAGCCGGGTCCCCGGCAGCGCGCGACCCGAGGAGCCGGGCACGGGAGGGAACGAGAGCGGCGAGAAGGCAGCCTGCGAGACCTCAGTCATCCCCCAACCCTGCCTGATGGGCACGCCGAGCTGCTCCGACACCGCCACCTGCGTGCCAGCGTCGAGGGTCGCCGCGCCAGTCACGATGAAGCGGAGCGCCGAGAGATCGTACTCGGCGACCTGCGGGTGCTTGGCGAGAAAGAGGATGATGGGCGGCACGATGAAGGCGCCTATAGCAAGCTGCCACGCTGGACGGCAATCGCGTCACACCCGGCGGTTCATCGTCACGTGGAGGCGCCGGTGATGCGGTGCCGCTGCATTGCCTCGAGGAAGGGCAGCGGCTCGAACTTTGGCAGCAGCACGAGGTGCGCGCGCGAGGCGAGGCTGAAGCCGAGGATGAGCATGCCGTAGATGTGATACAGAGGAAGCACGCCGATGAGCCGGTCGCCGGCGCGCACATCGTGGCGCAGGTCCTCGTGCGAGAGGGACTGCAGGACGTTGGCGCCGAGGTTGCGGTGGCTCAGCATCACGCCCTTGGGCTTGCCCGTGGTGCCGCTCGAGAAGGGAAGCGCGACGAGGTCTCGCGCCCCGTCGATTGGTGTGGCTGGCAGCAGCGCGTCGGGGCACAGTGAATTCGCAAAACAGTCCGGCTCCTCGACGTAGCTGACGCGCCGCACCCCCGCCTGGAGAGCGGCGGCGTCCACCGTCTCGCGCACCGACGTCGTGCTCAGGACCGCGACTGCGCGCGCGGTCTCGAGCTGCTGCGCAAGCTCGGCGGCAGTGTAGGCGGGATTGGAGGGGGTGACGGTGCCTCCGAGCTCCGTGGCGGCGAGGAACGCGATCACATTCTGCTCGCAATTTGGGAGATGAATGCTGAGGACGTCGCCTGGGCGAGGGGTGCCGGTGGCTCAGGTCGAATGTAGGCTGCGGGCAGGGTGAACATCAATCAATGATCCGTAGATGTCTGCGATTGAAATGTGATTGGCGCCGAGGCGTGGCCGACGAGAGAGCCCGGGAGAAGAAGAGAAACGATCCCCTCGCCCCGTGCTCGCCTCTACCAAAGCCCTCCCGCGCGAGGGCGGCCGCCGCGCTGGCAACTCGCCGTTCGAGGTCTCGGAAGGTTAGCGTCCTGCCGGTGGTGCTGCAGCTCAGCGCCGGCTGCTCCGCCGCCCTCTCCCACTGCCCGTACTCCCGTAGGAAGGAGAAGAAGGAGCCGCGCGGGATTTGCTCCAGCTTTGGCCCCTCCCACACCACGGCCGGTGGCGGGGAGGGCTCGGCGGCGGGCTCCGCCGCGGCTGCTGCTCCACTTAGTCGCCGGTTGACTGGAGTGGCTCTCGGAGGAGGCGGTAGCTCAACCCGTCTCCCTGCGTGCCTCCGTGCGCAGCGCAAGGCTGGGTAGCGAGCAGTCTGCCGCAGGCAATGCCCTGCTCGACTCGACATTCCGGTGTCACGCGCGCGCTGGGAGGCGGCGGCCGCCGACGGAATGCGGACTAGGTGCACCGCGCGAAAGTTGCTGCAAGGATTTTTATCAGTGTACGTACGTACTTATAGCTTCTCTCTCTCAGTGTATGTAGCTCTTACGAACATACCCGTAGGTGAACTGCTGACAGGGTTTTATTCTCTCTCAGTGTATGTAGCTCTTACGTACATTCCCGAAGGAGGACTCTGCTGACAGGGTTTGCGATGAGGAGCGACCCGAAGGGTTTCTCGGAGGTACTCGAGGCAGCGGTTGAGCATTAACGATCCATCGTCGGGGTAGGCAGGTAAATCCTGCTGTTGTGACATTAGCTGGTACTTAAAAATACCTCGCAAGTTTGAACCGCTTCCTATTAAAAAAGAAAAAACTACGGTCCAAGGAAAACGGACGGCCGAGCAACCACGACGGTCGGGAGCCGAGATGGAGAGTCCGTTGCTGCAGGAGCACGTCATACCCGCCGCTGGGCGACAGTGGTGGACTTGGACGGCCCTTGCGGCCACTGCACTCGTCCTCTCTTGCCTCCAACTCATCTCAATTCACCGAGTTGGAGAGTTGCAGTCGGCGGTCGCCCCGCTGACGTTGCAGCTCTCACCAGCGACTGAAGCCGTGCAGCTGAGTCATCTGACGATCAAAGGCAAGTTGCTCGAAAAGCCGGGAAAGTACCTCATTGGAGGCCTCACTCCGCCCGTCGACCAAGGCTCGCGCGCCAACTGCTGGCTCTTCGCCATCGTCGGCGTGCTTGAGGACTCGTACCGCCGTCAGGGCATCGAGCGCGGCTGGCTGAGCGAGGACATGTACCTGTACCTCTCTCGGCAGTCGCTCGGCATATCCATCATGGACATCTGCAAGAAGCACCCGAGTGGGCTGTGCCCGGCTACGACCAGCGCGGACGGGTCGGTCATCGCCTGGGGGAACACGACCAACTGGGCCGACGAGAAGCTGCTGTGGTACCTAAAGGAGCTGGGCACCAAAGCCCTCCCCGGCTCCGTTTGCCCATACACCGTCTCGGCGACCGGCGAGAAGGTGTGCGAGGGCATGGAGGCCGCGCTGCAGACCAACCCGCTCGAGTTCAAGGTCAAGCGCGCCGACATCTTTTACGACATTCCCGACATGCAGCGCGCGCTGATTGAGAAGAAGCGCGCGCTCACCTTCTCCATCTCCGTGCTGAAGGCTGAGTTCTTCTTCCCATGCACGAAGGCCACCGCCAAAACCTACAAGGGTTGCGACCCGGAGGGCGACCAGTGCGTACCCTGCCCGCTGACCAGGGCCTTTGTGGGCATCGCCTGCTGCATCCCGCAGACGCGCGCCGCGGTGACGATGGCGGGCGAGTGGTACCACCGCCCCAACGGCAAGCAGCTAGTCCTCGGCGGCCATGCCATCAACGCTGTCGGATATTCGGACAGCTACACAGACGAGTGGGGCAACAAGGGCGGCCTCATCGTGCGCCATGCGTGCACGGTGCGGCCCGGGCCATCATCGGCCGGCCCACTCTGCTCCGCCTCGGCCGTAGGTGCGCAACTCGTGGAAGGACGGGCTCGGCTTTGCGCACGGCGCCACGGGCCATGGATCACACTCGGCCGCGTGGTACATGCGCGAGGTGAGCGAGAAGGACGAGGCGCTCGTCTGCCCGAACCCGCACAGCCCGCGGGTCTGGGCGACGTGCAGCAGCGTCGAGGCACAGCGCCGTGACGCAGAGAGTCGTGCGGCGAAGGCTTTTGGCGGCGCCTCTTGACTGCTGTGGGTTCGAGTAGGAGTGCGTCGGCGCCAAGGCGGTCCTCGACGCCAAGCAGGCGCACCAGCCGCTCAACCTGACTTGCTCCGACAACTCGAACTTTGTCGCCTCCGGGACCGTCTGCGTCAAGGGTGGAACCTACTTTCTCAACAATCTCACCGAGTGGGACGGGGATGGGCTGTTCATTGCTTGCTTCGTCGGCGACGGCCACCCAGAGGCCCGCGCGCCGCCGCTCCTTCGTGGCGTAGTACGAAGGGGCGCACTCCGCACGCGGACGAGCTTGTGAGCAGGTGTGTGCTCCGCCCCTCCTCCTCGACGACCTCTCCTCGATCATGGTCCCGAGCAAGCTCGAGCACATCAACGACCCGGACGTGTGCGGGTACAACTTCATCTCGTACGCGACTATCGAGAAGACCATGTCCCGCATCGGCGGCATCGCGGCCGGCGACTTCACGGCGGGGCGGCCGCGCTGCTCGCCTCGCAGTCCAGCGCGCTTCCTCACGGCGCTGGTGCAACCTTTAGGTGGAGTGGTCGCGCACGTCGTATGAGTCGCAAAAGGACTTTTACACGCCGACGCCGCGCAACTACTCGCTGATTGCGGCGAGCACGCGCAAGATGCCAAAGACGCGGATCCAGGCCGGTGGGCTGTGGCTCTGAGACTGGAGCGGGAAAGGACAAAGGACGGGTGAGCGGCTATCAGGGAGGGGGGAGACAGGGCTGGTGATGGGAGGAGGTGGTAGGAGCCGCATATACACTGTGCCAGTGAGTGAAAAACGGGGAGAGCTAGGGGGAGAGACGACGACCTTGGCGCTTGGCCCCTTGGGCCCCTTTTTGGGGGTTCTCTATGAAGCCTTCTATTGTTGTCATGACAACCCCTGCCTAGACGAGTACAGCTAAAGAGTACCCGGGGCTCCCCATGCGGGGAGATCCCTGTGGGGGCCCGTGAACATCTTTAGCTTGTGAGAGCCAGGACAAAGAGGGTTCCTGTGATCTGTGATCTGTGTGGTGAGGGTCCGCCCGTAGGCGCATTTTGTATACCGAGGCGGTGCCCGGTGCCGAGCGCAGGCAGAGCCCACAGGTCGGACCTTAAGACAGCGTTGTAAATCCCTGGGCGAGGGTGGTGGAGGGGGGGGTCCGGCGGCGGAGCAACCACCTCCCTCCCGTGCCCAGTGTTGTGCGAGGGAGTTTTGTTGTAAGATTCTTTTTGCACAACTGACTGTTCTTGGACACTGTTGTGTTAGGTATGTTGTTGGCCACTGCCAACCAAGCAAGCAAGACACACACAGTGCTCACACCGAAATCATGCGCCAGTAATATGGAGAGAGAAGGAATATGTATGTAATATGAAGGTGAAGAACAGCCGATTTCGGGCCCGGGGTTGTGCGTTTACGTGAAGAACAGCCTTCCCTGGACCCCGTGTTGCGTGACTGTCTCTCTGCGATTTCGGGCCCGGGGTTGTGCGTTTATGTGAAGAAACAGCCCTCGGGACGGGACAGAGAAAAAGAAAATTCCGTGCAGTGCGGCGGCGGCATACGAGCTCGTAGCTGACCACGATGAGGCTCATATATGTGCTCCTCCTCGTCGTCGCCAGCACCACCGTCGGCCGTGCTCCGCCGCCTCCCAGCGCGGCAGGCTCGCTCGCTCGCGCGCTCGCGCGCTCCGCGCTCGACGCTTGGGCCGACGGAGGCGCTGCTGGTGGCTCTGCCGACATCGAGTGGGACTCCCGGCTCGGCCGAGCGCTCCTCTCGCTGCTGCGGCTGCTCGTCTCGCCGGCGGTGCGCGTGGCGGCTGAGATGGCCGAGACGATGCTGCCACCGGGAGAGCTCGTTCAGGCGCGCGAGCCCGCCGCGAGTCTCGCGCGGCCGCACGTCAGTCCACAGTCGTCCCTCTCTCCACTGCAGGGCGAGCGGCTGTACGCGCCAGCGCGGCTCGCTCACGCCGACTTGAACGCCTCTGAGCTGCGCGTGACTGGGCTCCGCTCTCTTGGTGATAGCACTGCCATCTCGAGATGCCTCGTCGCTGTCCTCACCCCTCTTCCTCCCGCGTCAGGCGAGCTTACCTTCACCCCTGTGGGCGCGCGCGCCGTGAGGGCGGCCGCCGACTTCGAGACCGTCAACGCGTCCATGCTCGTCGAGGCGCTGCTGACTCCGCTCGGCCTGCCTGGCGCGTCGGTCGGGACTGCGGGCCGCCTCTCGGCCTCGCTTGAAGGGGTGCGCCTCGCCGTCACCTTCTCGGTGCCGCCCGTCTCCCGCCGCGTCGCGCTGCAGGCCCTCTCGCTGAGCGGCAAGGAGGAGGGCGGTGGCGAGGAGGACGCGCCTCCGCAGGCGGGGCCGCCCGCCGCCGAGTGCACTGCGGCAAGTGAGGCCGGCGGCGGCGCTGCGGCGGCAGAGGGGGCGGCGGCGGCGGCGGCGGTGGACTCCAGGGCGAAGGCAAAGGCGCGGAAGGCGGCGTCGCCCTTGCGGCTCGGCGTGACGGCGGTGGAGGTGAGAGTGGGACACGTCACAGCGGCGGTGCTGGACCCGGAGGACGAGATTGGGCCGCCGGGGCTGCTGTGGCGCGCCCTTTCGTCCGCCTTCTCCGAGCAGCTGCGCGGACTCGTCGAGCTGCACCTGTCGCAAGTGTTGCGCGAGTCGCTCGATGAGCTGGTGAGAGGGGCGAGGTGAGACGTGATGGATGTTCGGAGTTTGTACTTTAACTGAGGCCACCTGTCTCCTGTCTCCACAATCCACCGCACAACCCGCAACTGCGACATCGCCACCAGAGTGTTTTAGGTGTGCCCCCGCGGAGCCGGCCGGCGAGCCACGCGAGCGTTGCGCGCTTAGAGTGGCACCTGCTCCCGCTCCCGCCCGGCACATCGTCACAGCTCATCCCCCAAGCCCCGCCTCGTCACCCGCCGGAGGTGTCCATGGCCGACGATTTCGCCTCCGCCTTTATCCTCGCCAGCTCCTCGCGCGTCATGCGCGAGCCCGGCTCCCTCGCCGGCGCGGCGCCCACCGTGAAGCGCGGCGACGTCGAGTCCGCCCTCTCCGCCGCCCCTCCCTGCGACGTGCCGCCCCCCTCGGCCGCCGCCTCGGCCGCCTTCTGCTCGGCGGCCAGCATCCGCTTCATCGCGGCGGTCGTCATCGACACGCCGCGCTGCCCAGGCGTCGCTGGCTGCGGGAAAGCGTCTGGCGCCGCCGCGGCCGCCACCGCGCCGCTCACGTCCATGTCGGCGAGCGAGCGCGCGCGCTTCACCTCCGGCTTGGAATCGTCGTCGGCCAGCCACGCGTCCTTGAGCGTCTCGTCGGCGGAGGGGCGCGACGCCGCGTCGATGTTGAGCAGCTGCTGCACCAGGCCCGCCGCCGCCTGGCCGCGCTTGGCCGGCAGCGGCGCGCTCGGCACGCCCTTTTGGATCATGCGGATGAGGCCTACTCCATTCAAGGACGCATCGACGCTCAGCGAGGCGCTCGGCACGCCCGATTGGGCCTTGCGGGCGAAACTCTGCTGTCGTGCCTTCTCTCTCTCTTCTCTCTTCTCTCTTCTCTCATTTTGCTCGCCTCTCTCTTCTTCTCCCTCTCTTCTCTCTCTGCGGGCGAAGCCCTGCATGTCGTCGGCGTCGAAGGGGAGGCGCGAGGCGAGCATGCCGTACAGGATGACACCGCAGGACCACATGTCCGACTTGGACGCGTCGTACCTGCACGAGGGCAGAGTACCCTCGAGAGGACTCCAGGCACGAGCGCGCGTCCGACTCGGGCGCATCGGCGCCCGCCGCTCTCGAGGGCGGGAGCGGCGCCCATCAGCTCGGGCGCGGCGTAGAGCGGCGAGCCGCAGTGTGTGGCCGAGTGGTTCGTGTGCGGCCGCAGCGTCGACAGCCCAAAGTCGGCGATCTTCAGCAGCGCGACGCCCGCCGCCGGCCGCGGCGCCGCGTGCATGTCGATGGAGGCCGACGAGGTGCGGTCGGCAGCCTCCCCCTCTGCGGCCTCGGCGACCTCTGCGTCGGAGGCGGTGGGCGGCGGCACTGCGGCGGGCGTGCAGAGCATCAGGTTCTCGAGCTTGAGGTCGCGGTGGAAGACGCCGAGCGAGTGGCAGAAGCGGAGCCCGTGCAGCAGCTGCGAGAAGAGCGAGCGGACCTCGGCGGTGGGGAGCAGGTCGTTCGCGTTGATGTGCTGGAGCAGGTCGCCGCGGTCGCAGTACTCCATCACGAGGTAGTAGCGAGACGGCGTCTTGATCCAGGTGAAGAGGCGGACGATGTTGGGGTGGCGCAGCTTCTCGTGGTACGCGACCTCCCTCTTCAGGAGCAGCTCGGCGCGCTCGTTGAGCTTGTTGCGCCGCACAATCTTGACGGCCGCCTGGTGGCCCGTGCGACTGGAGGTGGCGAGGCGGACCTTGCCGAAGCCGCCCTCGCCGAGCGTGGTGCTCGTCATCTGGTACTCGTGCAGCAGCGCGCGGTACGCCTCCCCGTCCGCAAGGCCGGCGCCGCTCACGATGAACGACTCCTTGTTGACGCTGGCCAGCTTGGGCTCCTTGTCCTCGAGGTCCTTGTTGATCTCCACCTCGGCCACCTGGTTGCTCTGCTGGTTCCCCATCCCGGATTTCCTAAGCTCCGACTTCCTGCGCGATGCGTCGGCCGGCAGCCCGGCGACAGAGAATTTTACAAGGTTTCCCTCGCACAACACTGGGCACGGGACTTGGCGCGCACTGGCACTAACACAGGTACACCACTGGAGCCGCCTAAGCGACTCCTGCGAGGACGGCGAGGCACTTAGCTCCGTGCACTCGACCGCCCTCACCGCTGGCAAGCTCATTCACAATCTGCTCTGCGATGGCCGTGTGTCAGGCCGTGTGAAGAACGACTGAGATGCGCTGCTTCTGCAGCCCCAGCCAGCTCTTGGTGGTCCAAGTCACCTTATCGAGGTACTGGGCCCGCGTCAGCTTGTTCTGCAGCACGTTCGCCGCCCCCCAGAGGATCTCGCCGACGACCCCCTTCCCAAACCCGCCGAACGACTCGAACAGCAGCAGCCGCACGTCGACGTCCTGGCGAAGAGAATTTGAACTTAGGCGAGGCTTATAGGTTGGGGATCCCTGGATATGCTGCGAGGAGGGCAGAGTTGCGCCGAGAGGGGCAACAATGAGAGGCGAGGGCAAGGGATCGGCAGGCAGCGGCGGCGTCGCAGGATGAGGCAGAGGAGAGCGAAGCGACAGAGGAAGATAGAAGCGACAAGAGAGAGAACGACGAGAGTGGGAGGACCGCGAGGTGGCATGAAGGTTGCAGCGAGAATCGGCGAGGGACTGCGAAGAGAGATAGGAAGAGGCAGACGCCCAAGGGTGGGCGACGGATAGCGCACCACACCCCTCTTCACAAACAAATCTCTCCCCTCTTCTTAAAATCCCTGTGTGGTGGCGGCGTGCCGTCCTCCCATCCCTCCCTTGGGTTGTCTGTTTTCTTTCTTTCTTTGGGGAGGACCCCTCCCCTATCCCTCGTTTGGGTTGTGTGTTTTCTTTCTTTCTTTCTTTCGGTTGGGGAGGGGTGTCCGTCCGGCAGGCACCACTCCCTCCCTATCTCCCTTTGCTGCAACTCATAAAATCGTTGGGTCGCTTCTGTTCACGTGGGCCGGCCCCCCCGTGGGCCGACCCTCCGATTTTATGAGAAGAGAACAAAGGGAGTGGGCAGGCACGAACAAGAAAGCCTGCCGCCGCGTCCGTGGCAAGAAGAGCAGAAAAAGAACTCGTGGGCGTCGCCAGGTGTCGCGGCGGCGTTGCTGGCGCTCCTATGGAGTACGAAGAATTTCAAGCCTCGCAGGCGAGCCAGCCGTTCGCCTTCGAGACCCAGGACGACGACGACGACACCCCTCAGCCCTTCAACTTCATCGACGACCACGAGGAGGACGGCGGCGGGGGCGGCGGTGCCGATGGCCCGGCCGCGGCGGGCGCAGCGGCGGACGACATGATGACGTGCGCGGTCTGCGACGACGGCGGCGGCGCCTCGGCCGCCTCGGTCGGCGCCGGCGCCGGTGACGGCCTCGAGTTTGTGGAGGAGGACGAGCGTGAGGCGCCGGTGCCGTCCGAGCTGCCGGCGTGGGCGTGCAGCTACTGCAACGTGCACACTCCGTCGGCGGTGGTCAAGTGCGTGACGACGGGGCGCTGGTTCTGCAACTACCGTCCGCCCGGGCTGCCCGCCTCGTGCATCGTCTACCACCTGATCAAGTCTCGCAACAACGAGGTGACGCTGCACGCAGAGTCTCCGCTCGGAGAGATCACGCTCGAGTGCTTCCTGACCGGGACGAAGAACGTCTTCTCGCTCGGGTTCGTGCCGGTCAAGGAGGACCTCGTCGTGCTGCTCGCGCGCGACGTCGACGTGAGCGGCATCGAGGCCGCCTCCGACTCCACCCTCGCCCCGTGGTGCCCCGCCGGAGGCTGCACTGACGCATCCCGGACGCGTCCCTCGCAGGACGCCTCGGACTGGGACCTGACCAAGTGGCAGCCGCTCGTTCGCGAAAAGGAGCCTCGCCCCTCCCGCCGCCACGTCTCCTCCCTCTCCTCCGCCCCCCTCCCGGCCCTCCTCCTCCCCTACACCCCTCTGCCTCCCGCCTCGCGCAGGCCTTTGTCCCGTGGCTTGTCAAGCAGCCAACCGACTCGGAGGCGCTGCGCGCACGCCCCTGCTCGGTGGCGCAGATCTCGCGGCTCGAGGAGCTGTGGAGGACCAACCCGGCCGCGACCTACGCCGACACTCTCAGCGCCGAAGGGGACGCTCTCGACGGCGGCGAGCCGGTTCCCAGACACTTCTTGGACACTTCCCAGATACTTCCTAGACCCTTCCTGGACACTTTCTGGACACTTCCTGGACCCTTCCTAGACACTTCCTAGACACTTCCTAGACATCTCTCGACAGCCGAGCCGGCGCCACAGCACAGCGGCGGCAGCAGGGCGGCGGCAGCAGGGCCCGCTCGGCTGTGAGTGAGTACGCGTGGCGGGATCACTGCGTCAGGCGCCCATCCAGCGCCAGTACGAGGACGCCTACCAGTACCAGTCCATCATGGGCCCGCTCGTGCGGCTCGAGGCGCAGAGGCAGCCGAGATGCAGCCGAGAGGCAGCCGAGAGGCAGCCGAGAGGCAGTCGGGATGCAGCCGAGAGGCAGCCGAGAGGCAGCCGAGAGGCAGCCGAGAGGCAGTCGGGATGCAGCCGAGAGGCAGCCGAGAGGTAGCATGCACACCGGCCAAGCCCCGTCCTGCTCGGCTCGAGGCGACGACGGCCTGCGGGAGGCGCACTCTCACTACTTGCTGTTGTGATTGCGATTGTTGCCGTTCTTAGGCCGAGAACGACCGGCAGATGCGGGAGGCGCAGACGCAGGAGGCGCTGTCTGTCCGGTGGGACATGGCGCGACACACGCCGCTCCTCTTCGCCTCCCTTGAGGAGCCGTCCGCTGAGCGGTCGCCCCCCCCCCCCCCCCCTCCCCCTTCCCCCTCCCGCGCAGGCGCTCAACAAGCGCAGGCTGGCCTACTTCACTCTCCCCTCCAACGAGGCCGAGCTGAGGCTGGTCGGAGGCGGCGGGCCGGCGCCGCCGCCGGCATGTGAGACGCGTCGCTCCTCACGCGCCTCGAGCGTGTGAGCAGGCGACGAGCTGCTCCTCCGCCACCCCGGGGACGCTAGCCACCCGCCCTTCGAGGCGCAGCAGTCAGTATGCATGGGACCGAGCAGACACTCGCCCCCTAGCCGCCGGAGCACGAGGAGGGCCCCCCCACCTTACCCCCCACCTTGCACTCCGCCGCACCCCTCCCGCCCTCATTTGTGGGGCTTGACTTGCAGGGCTGCAGTTTTTTCCCAGGGGGGCCCCCCCTCCCCCCCTCCTTCTTCTTCCCTCTTCCCCCCCCCCCCCCCCCCTGTGGCCAGGCGACCGGCACGGTGGTGCGCCTCAACCACGCCAGCGAGGAGGTCGGGCTCGAGCTGCGCTCGGGCGGCGGAGCGCCGACTGACCTCAGCCACGGCTACTCGGCACCGAGACTCTAGCCGGGAGACAGGCCGACGGATTGAGCCGGGAGATTGCGAGACATGGCCGCGTAGCCGAGACGGGTTGCTGCGAGCAGCTTCTCTTCACACCTCCGGCTGTGAACAGGTCGACGTCGTGTGGAAGTCGGTTGCGTACGACCGCATGCAGGCAACCGCTGCCCCACCGCCGGACATTGCACACCTTTGCATGCCGGGGGGGGTCCTGCTTGCGAGGGATGCAGACGCTGCACCTCTCCCCTCACACTCTGCCCACACACTCTCCCCCCCCCCCCCCTTCCCCTCCCCAGACGGCGCTCAAGACCTTCGCCGTCGACGAGACGTCCGTCTCCGGCTACATCTACCACCGCCTCCTCGGCCACGAGGTCGAGCAGCCGCCGGTACGGACGCCGCTGCCGCGCCGCTTCGGCGCGCCCGGCTTGCCCGAGCTCAACCACAGCCAGGCGAGACGTAGCCGAGACGCAGCCGAGATGCAGCCGAGATACAGCCCGGCTTACCCGGAGCTCAACCACAGCGAGGCGTCTCTTCTCCCGCCGGGGAGAGATTGCGATCTCGCACCCAACCCCGCCCGACCGGCCGCCTGCCCGACCGGCGCAGGTGCTCGCGGTCAAGACGGTGCTGCAAAAGGCCCTCTCCATTGTGCAGGGCCCGCCCGGCACCGGCAAGACCGTCACCTCCGCCTCCATCGTCTACCACCTCTGCAAGCAAAACACGGGCCAGACCCTCGTCTGCGCGCCCTCGAACGTCGCCGTCGACCAGCTCTCGGAGAAGATCCACATGACAGGGCTGCGCGTGCTGCGCTTCTGCGCAAAGTCGCGCGAGAGCGCAGACTCGCGCGTCGAGTACCTCACGCTCCACTACCAGGCGAGAGACAGCCTCCCCCCGTCCCACAGCACCCCGACTCGTGCCCCGCCCCCCCGCCCTCCCACAGCGCTGACTCGCTGACTCGTGCCCCCTCCCCCCCCCCCCTCCAGGTCCGCCACCTCGACTCGCCTGCCAACGCGGAGCTGCGCAAGCTGCAGGCCCTCAAGGAGGAGCTGGGCGAGCTCTCGCAGGCGGACGAGAAGCGGTTCAACTCGCTCCGCCGCCGCGCCGAGCTCGAGATCCTCTCGGCGGCAGACGTGGTCTGCTGCACCTGCTCAGCGGCGGGCGACCCGCGCATCTCGTCGCTCCGCTTCCGGCAGTGCCTCATCGACGAGGCGACGCAGGCGCCCGAGCCGGAGTGCCTCATCCCGATCGTGCTCGGCGCAAAGCAGCTCGTACTCGTCGGCGACCACCAGCAGCTCGGCCCCGTCGTCATGTGCAAGAAGGCGGCACGCGCCGGCCTCGGCGTCTCGCTCTTCGAGCGGCTCGTCGAGCTGCAGGCCCAGATCACGCGAGACTGACCCGAGAATTGCATGAAGCAGGGGCTCCCCGTCACCACCCCCAGCTGCGCCGCCGCCCCCAGCCCCCTCCTCCCCCGCCGCTGCAGGTGCGGCCGATCCGGCTGCAGGTCCAGTACCGGATGCACCCGTGCCTCTCCGAGTTCCCGTCAAACACGTTTTACGAGGGCACCCTCCAGAACGGCATCACCGCCGCCGAGCGCGCGCCGCTCGAGGGCGGCTTCCCCTGGCCCGACCCGTCGCGCCCGATGGTCTTCCACTGCTGCCTCGGCACCGAGGAGGTGTCTGGCTCGGGAACCTCCTACCTCAACCGCACCGAGGCGGCCAAGGTCGAGCAGGCGGTCACGCGCTTCCTCTCGGCGGGCATCGCCCCCGCGCAGGTCGGCGTCATCACGCCGTACGATGGGCAGCGCGCCTACATCGTCTCGACGATGCAGCGCAACGGCAAGCCCGCGCCCGGGCTGCACTCTCTCGGCCGCACCCCGCGCACGACCTCGGGTGCGCCTCGGGCGTAGGCACCCTGGCGCAGGAGCTGTACGCGCAGGTGGAGGTCGCCTCGGTAGACGCCTTCCAGGGGCGCGAGAAGGACTTCATCATCCTCTCGTGCGTCCGCTCGAACCAGTCGCAGGGCATCGGCTTCCTCTCCGACCCGCGCCGCCTCAACGTCGCCCTCACGCGCGCGCGGTACGGCCTGGTCGTGCTGGGCAACCCAAAGGTCCTCTCCAAGCAGAAGCTGTGGAACGCCTTCCTCGCCCACTTCAAGGCGTTCCGCCGACCCCCTCGGCCTCGCCACCCCTCCTCCCCTCGCCCCCTCCGTTCGCCACCTCCTTCTCCCCCGCTCGCCGCTCCTGCCACGCCTCCCCCTCCCCCGCCGCTCCTCTCCTCTCGCCTCTGCCGCCCGACCTGCCTCCCCTCGCCACGCCCC